CAACTCCAAGGAGAACGGCTGCAGCTGGGTATTGAACCTGCAACCTTCTTACTGCTAGGCAGCAGTGCTACCAACCTTGCCACATGGTACCTGCACCCCTACACCTCTACACCAAGCTTTTGTGAATTTGAACGTTAACCATATCTCTTGTAGACCATGAAAAAAAATAAAATGAATGGGCAGTGATTATAAACAAAATGTTTGCTGTAAGTAAACCATCAGATCAACCGAAGTAAGCTGAAGTACCTTCCGTTATACTGTGTTTTGCTTATATTAGGTCACCCAGGAGGCCGGGCAGTTCATCATAACGTTCCCGTTTGCCTATCATGCCGGTTTCAACCATGGCTTCAACTGTGCTGAATCCACCAATTTTGCCACACATCGTTGGATCGATTATGGAAAACAGGCATCACTGGTAAGACAGAAAGCATCAAAACCGCACCTTGCCCCAGAATGCATGCAGACCTTTATGATCCATTCATATTTGGTTTATACCTTTTCTAACTTCTAATTCAGATATGTTAAACGAGACAAATTGTGCAAAACTTATTTTTTGCATCCTTTTGTGTGACCGTGTGAGTCTACTGCCTAGCCGTGTGAAAACCACACCAAACCAGCAACAAGCCTATCAGGCAGAGGCCACAGTGATGATATATTTGCAACTTCGCCAAGCAGAACTTTTGTTTGCACCTACAGGTGCAGCCGGTCAGTGCAATCAAGGTCTGCACAACTGCTCATCCAGGTTGGATGTAGAGGGTTGCATAACTTTTCCTAGTGTCAGACTTTAGAAAATGCAAATCCTGACACAAAATTAAAGATTTAAAATTGGTTAGGCCTCTGTGTATTTCATACCAAAGACTCATTGTGATTAGTGTTCTGGTAGGTTGGTGCGGTGGTATTGTCATCTGACTGTGGATTCAGTTTCTAGGTTTCTGATGGGGGCCAGCAGAAGGGATCATATCACTTCCATACTGGCCTTTGGTTTCCCATTTGTTTTAGGATTTATTCTCAGATTCTTGCTTTTGTTCTGAAGTCACTGATGGGACCTGCCCCACCATATCTGTATAACCTTCTAGCCCAATTTCTTGGGCCTAAATTATGGAACCATCTCCCACTGGCAGTCAGGCAAAACTCCGTCACTGGATGCTTTTAAGAGCAGATTAAAGATCCATTTGTATTCTTTAGTTTTTCTAAAGGAGTTGGAGTGAGTCTTGTTTGTTTTGTGCATTTTTTTCTCTTTTTCTTTTCTTTTTTTTTAATATCCCGTTTCTTTATTTCTTTATTTATTTTTTACTTTTATTCTTTTTTATGAAAAATGTCCTAACTGTACATAATGGTTTGTTCTTACTGTACAGCACTTTGGGCATGAATAATGTAAGAAGGTGCTTTGTATATAAATGATAGGGGTTGTATGAACTAGTCGACTAGTCGACTTCACGGCTCTGTAGTGACTTTTTATGCCTGTCATCGACTAGTCGCTGTCACGTGATAATGACTGACAAGATGCAGTCCTCCAGCAGGTGACGAGCCCCTGCGCGTCGGGAGGCGGAGGCGACGCACTGTGCCAGAGCGTCGGTACTGATACCGGCGGTAAAACAGACATTTAACCAAACTGTGACCTTTTCCCTCTTGCAGTTTTACCTTCCCCTCACCCCCATCCTAATCTTAACATGTTTGCGCGTGCAAAGCTCTGATCGTTGACACGCTCCAGACATCTGCGTCCTGAGCACCGCCAAATCAGGTGTCACCACCTCAAAAACAAATTAAACACGCGATCGTTCATGTCGGCTCATTTCCTTTAATGTTTTCTGTCTGTTATTTGTGCCTGATGCGTTTCGCTGCTGCGGAGCGAGGCTCTTCACCTGTTGTCCTCCGGTGACGCACCCCCGAAATTCCACTATCTCCGCTCCGCTCCGGCACGAACTCCGCAGCAAAAACGGTCCCGTTGTAGTCGGCCGGCGAGCAGCGGCACTCTGCTGTTTTTGCGGTCGGTAGATCTTTTAGAAACTGCAGTTCAAAGGTAACTCATGAGGTGAATATATATGAACCCAGGTAGCAGTTTTTCTTTAGGATTGAGAGGAGATGCAGGAAGATAATAAACAGGCAGGACAGAAAAATAGTCAAATAAAAACAAGTTAGTTTTTGTACCTGGTGGTTGCAACAAACAGACACCAATGAAGGTAATCAGAAGTGAGGAACAGAAAATGAAATAATTATTTTAATGTTTAGAGCAGCAGGAACTCCGAGAGGCTGCAGGCGCATCAGTGAGTTTGCGGCCGCTGTGCAGGGGGAGGGGAGAGGGCTGAAGCAGGAAGTACCGTTGTTAATTGTCAAAAACTCCAGCGAACCTACCGACCCCCCCCCCCCCCCCCCCCCCAGGTGTATGACGTCATCAACGACTAGTCGAAGTCGCCTCGATTTTCATTACTTGACTGTCGACTTTAAAAAAAATTAAGTCATGCAACCCCTAGTAGATGATGATGTTTTTTACAATTCAGCGTTGTTTGTTTGTGTTTGTTGTAACACTACTGTTGTACATTACCTGTGTTCATTTGGAAGAGGGTTCAAACATTTCCGTTATGACTGTAATGTCTGTTTTTCTACCAGTGCTCATGTCGTCAGGACATGGTGAGGATATCCATGGATGTGTTTGTGCGCAAGTTTCAGCCTGACCGTTACAAATTGTGGAAAGCAGGGAAGGACAACAGTCCCATCAACCACTCAAAGCCCACTTCAGAGGCTTCTGAGTTCCTCATAAAAGATGGGAGGAAGCTTTCTAAAGAGATTCCTGCTGAAACTTCATCTGAGGAGCCGGCTGTGCCAATCCAGGAAGACATAAGGTCTTAGATCTCTTTACTAACGCATCTCTTTACAATGTTTCACAGATGGTCTTATTTTAGCATCAGATCTTTGGCTATTAAGATAATTTATCTTATCATAACTTATAATAAGTAATAGTAATGTAAAGTGGGTGTTCATCAGAAGTTCAGTGTTGACTCACAAGAGGGCATTGGTGAGGTGTTTCATGTCTACAGTCAGCAGCTGTCTCACAGCTGGCTGGACAAAGACGCACATTTATTTTGTCTGGTTTTAGCTTCGTTACTGGGAACACATTTCCATTTAGCTTTAGGTTTTCTCTCAGATGCATCCGTTCCATCCTGTGGTTTTTATGTAACAGCTCAGGCTCTCGAGTTTCATCCAACATGTCTTCTTATTTCATCAGTCCCAACTCCGGGACAGAGTGTCGGCGTCGAGTTTTCAAGTCCTCAGAAGAAGTCCAGTCAGATGTGAAGGAGACGGAGGAGGTGGAGTTGAAGAAGGCCACGCTGACGAGCAAAGAGTCTTCTACAAAATCTACTGACAAGCAAGGCATGAAGTTAAAAATGTCCTACAAGACTTTAATAAACACGGTCACATTTTCACGCTCCCATCACCCTCTTTGTTGGGGATTTAAGTCCAGAAACAGAGAGCCTTTTCTAGCTAATGTTAGCATGTGTTTTAGCTGCTCAGCTTTAGTGCTCTAAGATAACAACAGCCTCTCTTTTCTCTCTTTCAGACACAGCCAGACCCAAGGAAGAATCTCCAAAGGAGCAGGACACTAAGTCACAGTCCCAATCTCAGTCTAAGGCCACCAACAAGAAGAGAAGACAGAGCAATTCCAAAAAAGAGAAGAATGTCTCTGCAGCTGCAGACACCAGTCCCCTGGAGCCTGTCGAGAGAACGGTGGTGGTTCTGAGTTCCGAGGAGCCAGGAGTTCGCGTGGATCCTCCTGTGGAAGCCAAGGGTGGCCCAATGCAAAACGTATTCCAGAGGACACTGAGCCCTGCCGATGTCCTTCATGTCCATAGCTATGCCAAAGGAGACTATGGAGAAGACGTCCCACCAAAGGAGGAGGAGAAGAGCGGAGGCGGTGACAGTGAGAAGGAGAAGGATATTAAGTGTGTCAGCAAAGTTGTGAGTGGATCCAGATATTCTGTACTCATATTTTTTTCACTTTTGATTAAATCATAGGGGTTGTTTCTGTTATTTCACCTTCTGTATCACTTCATCTGCAGTACTCCTACTTCTATTGTTCATCTAAAGAAAAACTACAAGTTTGTGTATCTTCTAAAGTACAAATGCAAAGACCTAAGTGGCTGCAGTTATTTGTTCAGATCATCTCTCTACTGAATGATCTGCTGCACAAATCTGAGGCCTTTTCCTATTTTGTTCCTGAGAGTCCTGCATGCACACGCAAGCAGACAAAAAAAATGCCATTTTTAATACTAATAATAATGCATTGAACTTATATAACGCTTTTCTAGACCCCCAAAGACGCTTTCACACACGCTCACATTCACACGCTGCTAGTGATGGTAAGCTACTTGTAGCCACAGCCGCCCTGGGGTGGTCTGACAGAGGCGAGGCTGCCATTTGGCGCCGTCGGCCCCTCTGACCACCACTAACACAGGCAAGTTGGGTGAAGTGTCTTGCCCAAGGACACAACAGCAGGATACCCCTGGCGGGAGCTGGAATCGAACCCATGACCCTCCGATCATGAGGCAACCCGCTCTACCACCTGAGCCACTGCTGCCCCCAAATTTTTAATTGTTGTTCTTTCTGTCAGCAGGTCACAGAAGCATTAGCTGCTGAAGGAGAGCCTGAGAGGGAACTGATGCAGTTGACAGACCACAGCCCTCTCATGGAGGATGGAACAAGTGTCAAAGGTTTACGTCATCACAAATGAACTCCGTCTCGGTTGCCCGATGATTTTTCAGTCAAATAAATCTGTTTGTTGTTGTGCCACAGAGGCTCTGGAGGAGCTTCCCCCAGTGGAGGAGGGGGGGTTGGAAGTGGAAAACTGGGCTAAGCCTCTGGCACACCTTTGGAACAGCAGACCTCCCAATCTTAAAAAGGAGAAGGAGTACAATCAACGTATGGGCTCCAAACCTCCTTACTGCTCCATCTGCATGCTGTTCCACACATACCAGCAGGTATCACCACATGTTCATCAGTGTTGATGTACACGTTACTAGTCAGAGAAGATGGGCTGGAAAGGTAGAAGCTATGCTGATGAATGAGTTACGTGTGTTTGTGTGTGTATGTGTGTGTGTCAGACGAAGTACGTGAACAGCGTGGGCAGTCCTGTGGTGTTGGCTGGCGGGTGGATGAGGACCAAGCCTCTGATTCCAGAATCGTGCTTCACCACCACCACAGAAGAGGACGCTGAATGTGAAGAGCAACCGATCAAACCCTATCTGGAGGACGATGGAAGCAGCCTCCTCATCAGCTGCTCACAGTGCAGTGTTTGGGTCCACATCAGTCAGTAAACACACACACTCTGCTGGAGTTCTTGCTAGTTCTGAAGATGTGAATTGAATGTTGCAATATTTCCTCTATAGGACATTGTGTCTTTAGTATGTTTCCTTGTTGTTTATTGTTCACCAGCAACTGCACACACACATGCACACACATTTAGCAGCAGATTTTACACTCCAGCATGTGTGCTTGTCTTCATACACACCAGGCTGCTATGGTGTGGATCCAGCCAGTGTGAGCAAGGAGTGGAAGTGTTCCCGCTGTAAGGCCAACGCCATGACTGAGGTCAGTGATGGGCTTAGTGCTGGTGACTGCTGATCAGGGGCGGATTTAGGACTGAAGGAGATCCGGGGCTTAACACACACACACACGTGCACACACACACGCACGCGCGCGCACTCACACGTGACACGCACTAGTCAACATCATATATATTTGTCTTGTGCAGTGTTGGGAGTAACACGGTACAAAAGTAATTAATTACTGTAATGCATTGCTTTTTGCTGTAATGTGGTAATGTAAGGCATTACAGGGAAAGAAAATGGTAATATTTACTCGGTACAGTTGTCAGTAACGCGGTAATTACAACGCATTTTTAAACCCAGAATCAAGATGCGTTTCTTAAAAATTCAAATAGCGGGAAACCCGAAAAAAGATCCAGTATCTGCATATATTACGTCATTTATGGACTCAGCTTTGCGGGCAGAGAGGACGCCGCGGTAACGGCTCAACTACTCCAGCTGCGTCCTCCACACGGCCGCTGTAACATTCACAAAATCGCTCCACTAAAACAAAATAATTCACCTGCGATCGTTCATATCAGCGCATGTTCTCTGGTATTCTGTACTTTTCTGACGTGCTTTGCCTCAGCTGAGTTAATCTGGGCTCCGGTGATTTCAACTCTGCTAGAGTACCGCACATGTGAAGATCCCTCTGGTTGATCGTTAGAAAGTAGGAAATCTAGGAAACAGTTTTTCTGGAAGACGGAGAAAACATGCAGCATGCAGGAAGGTTAGAGAGAGAAAGGGCAGGAAATTATTCAAATAAAATCAAGAAAACAAAACAAAGGGCTTGAAAAGAAAAAAAGCAGGTAGATTTATCCCCAACACACATTTTTACCAGTGAAAAGCAATCATATATAAGAATTTTAATATTTATACTAGTGATAGAATCAGATCACCCCAGAAGTCAGTCCCACATCCAGGGCCGTATTAAGGCATTTGGGGACCAAGACAAATAGGCTTGGAGCCCCCACCACCTTACTCGCCGCTCAGTTAATCTAAGATGGCAGCGTGCTGAGAGTACAGTTTGTTGTTGCATTTATTACATAAACAATCCTTCTAAAGAACTGTTTTTAACAGCAGTCCTAGCTCAGACACCACATCACCTTCCACCGGATGTGTCATGAGTTCACCAGGCATCAGATTACCAGATTCATACTGAAGTTGTTTTGTTGAAAGTAACTTAGAGTAATGCAAAAGTAGTGTAATGCCTTACATTTTAAAATCAGTAATATTGTAATGTAATGAATTACTTTAAAATGAGGGTAACAAGTAATAAATAATGCATTACAGTTTTGAAGTAACTTGCCCAACACTGGTCTTGTACCACATAATTTTTAATCTGAAGCTACATATTAAGCATTTTCAGGGCAGAGAGTTGTTCCTGTTGGTGTTTAGTGTGAGATGATAGTAAATATTCCCTTTCTTTCTCCAACAACTTTACCTGATAATCTAACTTTAGGCAAACCAGCAGCACAACAAATATTTTCAAATAAGACTCACAAACCTGAGTCAGCACCAGTCTCATCAAAGCTGGGGTTCTGTCGCCGTACTTTTGGTCTAAAAAACGTCCTTATGTCCATCTTCACTCATGCGTTTCAGGCAGAGAGTGTAGAAGAAGCCGGCTGCTGAAGGGCTTCTTCTTCAGTGGTGGAGGCTCAGGCAGGCTGTATACAAACTACTGCCAGCTGCTCCCTCTCTGTTGGACTTTGGTACTGCATGTTACTTCCGCGATTTAGATCCGGGGCTTTCCATGAAACATCCGGGGCTTCAGCCCAAGTAGCCGGGCCTAACGCCGCCCCTGCTGCTGATGCTCTTTGTTACTGAAGTCACCAGAGGAAACTAATGCATTGTTCAAGTTTTTTTTTTCTTTTTTCTTCATGCCCACAGGCAGATTTGCATGGGTGTTACAGGAAATAAGATTATTTGCTTCTAGAAACCTGCAGTGTCTGGCTACCTAATATTTATAGATTTTCTCCTAAGTATGTTTGATGTTGGAAGATAGATTGCCTTAATTTCAGCTGTAAGACATCCAGTCATCGAGAGGGTTTTCTGGTGGTTTTATTTGTAGTTCTGTGTTTGTGTTAGATGGATCTAGCACAGAGATTGGTGAGAACAAGTGAATGTATAGTTGGTCTGTGTGAGTTAGTTCTGCTCTTATTTCGCCTTTCCCGCGATCCACTGATTTCCCTCTTTCCTATTCATTTTCTCTCTGTCTTTACTTAAATTTTTATTTATTTATTTGAATCATAATTTAATACTTTTTTCTCATTTTGAAGATATTTAAAATTGTTTTTATTGAAATCGTTTTCATACGTAAACTTGTTTTTGTTTAGTTTTTGTGAAGCACCTCGTTATTTTTACCTTGAGAAAAGACTGAGACTGCACTTTTACACCACATTTGTCTCAAGCAGCACGGATTTCTCTCTCCTTTTCTGCGGGCTACCTTCTCAGTTCAGATCTTCCTTCTTAACATTTCGTTCGATAGGCACACCAATGGTGTGTTTGTTGAATGACAATAAAAACAAGTCTAAGACGTTTGTATCTTTTTATCAATCAAGTTTAGCCTGATTTTCAGCAAAACCCTTGGTTTTAGCATATGTTGACGTTTGTGTAGTTCCTCCTTTCTGCTCTGTGAGATATTTTGTCCTCATTCCTGATAAATCTTTCCATGCTGCCGTTTTACCATCAGCAAGTTTATTATGCAGCCTCTCTGGCTTATCACAGTCAACTGAGAAAGAGCAAAGGGTCAAGCATACATCCCTGTGGACCCCCTGTTTTTACAAGTTGTGACATTACATTGTCTGTTGTCTCTGACAGGAAACCTCAGATCCAGTTATAAACTTAGGTTTCCAGTCTGACCAGAGAGCAGACTCACTCCGTGATCTTTACCCAACATAGAAGTAGCACAAAGTGATCTGTATGTCACACAGAAACACAACACAGCACAACAATATTGGTGATGCTGAACGTTTCTGCTCAGTCTCTGGCTTTTTGTCAGACTCTGAACCAGGAAACTGCGGAAGGCAGAAAGTTCCTCGGCAACCAGTGACTCTGCCCCCCTAGCCAATTAGTGGCTGAAAGTTGCTGATGTTGCATTTTCTGAATGGCTCAGTATGCTACAAACCAAAGTGATGCAGGTACTGAAAAGTTGGGGAGAAAATACTGACCTGTGCTGTTGAAAAACGCTGTCCAATCAGACTGAACCCATCCAAGTCATGTTGAGTAGTGCTGTTAGAAAAGGGACTTTAGGTATTTCTACACGAGTCAGAAATTAGGAGCATTTCCAAAGTGTCTTTTGCACAAGCAGTGATGAGAATGACGGTGTTTAAAACAACAGTGTTACTAATGGAAGTTAGTTTTTTCAGTAATGATTCCGTGTGCCCCAGGACCACTGTGGCTACATTAGGGCTGCAACAACGAATCGATAAAATCGATGAAAATCGATTATTAAAAGTGTTGGCAACGAATTGCCTCATCGATTCGTTGTGTTACACAACTCTTCCAACCCCCCCACCACCACACACACACACACACACACACGCGCCTCCCGCCCACCGTTGCGCGAAGACCGGAGCAAGTCAGATCAGCGCGAGGGAGAGCCGGCAGGTGTTTGGAAGAGGAACATGGCAGAAGCAGCAAGACCCAAAAAAAGTTAAAACTTCTGAAGTTTGGGAGCATTTTCAGTTAAATCAGGCGAAGAAATTCGTTGCCTGCAACGTTTGTAGGTCAGACTTAGCATGGCATGGGAGTACTACGGTGATGATGCAGCATCTTAAACGCAAGCATGTCAGAATCATCAGCGAGGAAGGAGAGAGCTCTGTGTCCGAGTAAGTTAAAAACTTGTCAAAAGTGATTCACCCAAGCCCCGGATTATTACACAGGCTAGACATGCCCTAAGCTAGTAAAAAAAAAAAGGTCTATAAAATGGTAAGTGCGACGCTTATTAGATAAACAGGGGGGTGTCTTCCCGTAGACTCGCACTGCTGTGAACCGGTTCCGCCGTCACATTCCCGCAGAAACTGGTTGATCACACCGGGGCCAGACTACTAAAATGTGGCTTTACAACCACGATGTCCTCAGAAGCGAAAACACTTTTAAAAGGGAGGAGGGTTTCCTAACTGTTGCTGCAGGCGTGTTGTGTGAGAGTGCAGTTATATGCTGGTTAATTTATTTTTGGGTTCAGTTGCTTTCATGTGGCCTAATGTGAGTCTATTTAAAATATTCAGTTGTTGGTGTTGTTTTGGAAATGGAATTTGGGATCATTGGAATGATCAGCAGCATTTCTTGATGTGACTTTATGGCGGTTGCCCAGGGCGTCATCACAAGGAGGGCGGCATCCATTATTTTTTTGTTGAATTTGGTATTTTTTCAGTCATTTTTGGAAATAGTGATTAATTTTGATTAATTCACAGCCTATGTTTAATTACATTTAAAAATTAGTTGTTTGACACCCCCAATTATAATAAATGTCTACAGATGAGATCAAACAAGACAGATGAGAATTGCCTGAAGCTGTCTAATTTGGACCAAGCATTTTAGGTCACACATAAGTGTAGCTTAGGGTCTCTGTCTATACACCTTATCCTCCCTTGCTCATCCCCTTTCCAAGTATTCTGAAGGCTTCATTTCTGGTTTTTCATCTTTTGAAAAATAAGGCAGAAAGAGGTGTTGTCTGGCGAACCGCATGGTACAAGGTGGAGTCAACACTTTCTTACTTGCTATGCTAAAAGTTCATGTTGTGTCATAATAGGCTAACTTTATTCTTTATGATCTCCAGGGCAAAACAACAAACACTGAGCAGCTTATTATTGTCAAGCAAATCATGCACACCTCAACAAGCAGCAGTCGTCACAAATAGCAGCTGTAAGACATTTTAGGTGATAGCATGTTGTTTTTCTGCTATTGAACTATTTTATAATAACGTTGTGTTTAATAAAGTGAAGGAAGGAGAGGAAAAAAGTTTCCCTAGCAGTTTAAAAAAAATTTCCCCATGTAATCCGATTAATCGATTAATCGTGTCGAGACCCCATCCGATTCATCGATTATCCAAATAATCGTTTGTTGCAGCCCTAGGCTACATTTTAGCTCATCACCATCAGTGTGTGAATGTGTGTGTGTGAATGGGTGAATAACTGATTGTGTTGTAAAGTGCCTTGGGGGGTTATAGGACTCTAAAGGGGCTATATCCATGCCATTTACAATGTGAACCTGTGCTTGTCGTTTGAGCTTTTCTATTATGCATTTTGCAATGTTCTCATTGCAGACCTGCTGCCTGTGTTCTCTAAGGGGTGGAGCCTTGCATAAAACAACCAATGACAAGTAAGTACCAGTATCATCGATGAAATCATACAGAGCAGGCCTACTTTTTTTGTCCCAGAATGAATTTATTGTAAACATATCTGATGGTAGAAACTAAAACTCTGGACTTCCGGTGGAGCGTTCGAGAGCAATGGTAGCATAGGCTGGAGCTCCCACTAGTCCAAGGATTAAAATAACCCCCCACAACTCGCAAACCAAGAATACAAGTATAAATGAAGAAAACCACAAGAGGGGAACAATTCGAAGAGGACAAAGAGCCACCAAACCTTCTGGAGGAGCGAGTCATATAAACACTGAAAAACACAGATTGGTCTCTCTCCAGGATTATAACAACAGCTGGTCTCAACTGCTAGTAGAGAGGGCCACATTGAAGATTTCCTAAAAGCTCGAGGGCCGGTTCAGGGCGTGTCCTGCTGCTGTTCAGAGATGACATGACAGTTATGTAGTGTTGCTATTGTAGCTCAGTGAAAGGTCTGAGTGGACCAGTCCAGGGGGGTGAGGGAGGGAGGGAGCTGAGTAAGTGGGGCTCACAGTATGGCAGTGCTCTTGTATTTAAAGATCTGGTCCGGTCTGGTCCGGTGGCCCACGGGCCTCCTATTGAGTACCACTTGTAGGTTAACAATTGGATAAAAGCGTCTGCCAAATAAATAAACATAAACACTTTATCACACCCAGAATATTTTGATGGTGATGAGGATTATGACAATTTAAACAATGTTGTGTCAGTTTGTAGAAACTAGCTTTGATTAGTGTGTGTGTGTGTGTGTCTGTGTGTGCGCACGTGCGTGTGTGTGTGTGTGTGTGTGCGCGCATGCATGCATGTGCGTGTGTGTTTGTGTGTGTGTGTGTGAGTGCGTGCGTGCATGCGTGTGTGTGTGTGTGTGTGTGTACGTACATGTATGTGTGTGCATGTGTGTGCGTGTGTGTGTGCACGCGTGCATGCGTGTGCATGTGTATTTGTGTGTGTGTGTGTGTGTGTGTGTACGTACGTGTATGAATGTGTGTGTGTACGTACGTGTATGCGTGTGCATGTGTGTGTGTACGTACTTGTATGCGTGTGCATGTGTGTGTGTTCCAGGTGGGTACACGTGCTGTGTGCAGTGGCTGTACTGGAGGCGCGGTTTGTTAACATCACTAAAAGGAGTCCTGTGGATCTGAGTGGAATTCCTCTGCAGAGATTTAAATTGGTGAGCTCACACACACTACCATCAGAGGGGACTACGGTAAGCAGTTGGGTGCAATAAAACAAAAACAGGACTTGAAGGCAATTTGAAATAAGCGCCGCTCAGCATTAGCCAATAGCGTTAGACATCTGCTTACATACAGCTGTCAGTCACAGAGTGTGAGCGACTGTTTGCCGACGTATCTAAACTGATGCAGAGTTGGCGACATTTCTTTTGGACAAGTATGTCTGTATAAATAAACAGCATGGAATGAAAATTGTTTAACAGTTTATTTAGCTCAGTTGCCCAGCTAGTGGTGCACGTTCACGAACAAGAGGCTTTGCTTCCAACCAAAATAGTAAGGAGAGGTGTACATTTTTCTGCCACTACACTGACAAACACCTCCAGATTTCTGCTTTCATTTGTAATCAAACATAAATCAGCCAATGACGAGAGTAGAATAGTTCACATAATCATCACTCAGCCTTTATTTGTTATTTATAATCATGAACTAGTATGGGTTAATTTTATTATTAGTAACTGTCCAGAATGTCCCAAACTTCCCAGTGAAACCACAGATGAGTGCTGCATTTTGTTAGAGAAGAATTATTGCTGCTGTGTTTCATTCCACAGAAATGTTACTATTGTAAAAAGCGGATGAAGAAGGCCTCTGGCTGCTGTGTGCAGTGCTCTCACGGCCGCTGCCCCACTGCCTATCACCCCACCTGCGCCCAGGCTGCTGGAGTGCTGATGCAGCCAGACGAGTGGCCCTTTGTCGTCCATGTCACCTGCTGTCGACACAAAGGCCCCACTCAGACTGAGGTATGGGCCTTCTCCACCTCTGGAAACACTAAAGCTTGGTTTATGCTTGACGCATTCACTTTCCGCGCGGTGATGCGGCTCGCGGATGGAACGCGCTTCACAACTCGCAGCGTTTATGGTTCGTGCGGCTCGTCTCTGCGGTGAGCCAATATTCTCCCAAACTGTAGGGGGCAGCATGGAGCTCTACGGCAAGCATCCAACACTACACCATAGTAGAAGTAGAAATTACTGTTTACAACATGGCATTCCAGCATTTTTAACAGCGTTCTCGTCTTTTCCGACAGTGCGAGCTATTTCTCTCCAAGAATTATTAACAACATGTTGATCACGGTGATCTCTGTGAGCTGAATCATACAAATGTCTGTATTTACGAACCTCTGCCGTACTAGTTGTTGCCGGTCCGCCATGTTTTTCCGCGTCCGTCCGTCCGCGTGGTTAGAAATTTTCTGAGGTGCGCGTTGCGGAAATTCTAGGCCGTGCGGGGGCGCGGTGGAGGGGCGTGGTTGTTAAAATGACGCAAAATGACGCAACTTTTCCGCGCGGAGCCGTGCGGACCTCGCGGACGCGTCAAGCATAAACCAACCTTAAATGTCCTACTTGCAGATTTAGTTTTATTATCAAACCTGCTACTCGGAGAAGCTCTGTTTTCCTCGAAGAGCAACTGTGTTTTCTCGTACCGCAGCGTAATAAAGCAGCCATGCATGAGCTGACTGTGGGACAGAAAGTCATATGCAAGCACAAGAACGGCCGCTACTATCAGTGTGATGTGGTGCAGCTGTCTAAAGAGACCTTCTATGAAGTGAACTTTGACGATGGGTCCTTCAGTGATAACCTTTTCCCAGAAGACATTGTGGTACGTTTAACTTTTTGTCCTGAAGCAATAATGCAGTGTTACCTTTGAACAAAGACCACCAGCAAGTGTCTCAATAACCCTTTCATACTGATGCCTGACATGCTTCACTACGCATGTTCTGACAAAAAGAGGAGGAGTCACAAAGTCTTTTTCTTCTAAATCTTCTGTTAATGACTCATCCAGATGGAGACTTTTTATTCTGGTTCTGTTCTGGAGTCAGACCTGCTCCGTAGTCCATAGAAGAATGTGCTGACAGGAGAAAGGTCATTTATATTTGTGTCTTTATTAAGAATTAATACAACTGCTCTTCCACCAACGTTATCACTAGAATTCGGTGCGTGCTTTTAGTGTTTAGGACATAATGAGTGCTTGTCAGACCCATTTCTGGAGTCATGTCAGACTGTGTGGATGGGATTTTTCTGTGTTCTGCTGCCCAGAGTCGGGACTGCACCCAGCTCGGACCTCCTCCCCAGGGAGACGAGGTTCAGGTGCGGTGGACAGACGGACTGGTGTATGGGGCCAAATTTGTAGCAGCTCATGTTATTCAGATGTACCTGGTAAGTTTTGTCTCACCTTTATTAATTTAAATTGTTTTGTCCGTTGTAAATAATTTTTCCTTTATTAATCTTTCTATTTAAAGAGCAAGTCACCCCCAAATCAACTATTTTTTTCTGATAAACTATATAAATGCGTGTCTAATCATGCTGCAGACAAGTGTAGTCAACAGTTTTGCACTTTAGTGCATTTTAGTTATAATTTAAATTTTCTGCCTGAAACTGGCAGTGTTGTGCCGTTGTCAGGTAAAAACTCTTCACTGCATTTGAATTTAAATCTGCCACCGCTATTGGCTAAGAGGTATGCTATGATGTAAACTGGTACATTATGATGTCACAATGTCGTGAGTGTGTGTATTTGTTAGTGGCTCCACCCTCTCGGTCTGCTAGGCAACAGCATTTGTTGCATTTTTCAAACATGAAGTAGGAGTGGAGTATGCTTCTTGTAAGGGTTGACTTGCTCTTTAAAGTCAGCATATTATAAAACGGGGCTGCGTGATGGAGCAGTGGTTGCACTGTTGCCTAGCAGCAAGACCGCTACAGTTCCAGCTGTGTACTAACTGCATGGAGTTGGCATGTTCTCCCATGCATGGATAGGTTTTCTCTGAGCACTCAGGTTTCTTCCCACACACCAAAAATATGCATGCCTTGCTGGTTGGAGACTCTAGACTGTCTCTAGTGGTGCATTCACATCTGGGTCAGCCCGATCCGGTCTTGGTTAGGTCTGGCCGTCTCCGTGGGGCCAGGTTTTGTTCACACAGCCTTCTCAGGAACCCAGGTGGGTGGGGCACAGATGCACAGAGAAGTTCGTAGTGACCTCCTTAAATTAGTAAACAAAGGTGGCTGTGAACAGTGCTGCTTTTGCAGACTCTGACATGAAGCACACAGCTTCTCTCTCACTGAGGATGGGTTTTGCTCTCACAGCCGTCTATCCTCATGCTCCCCTTTATGGAGCTGCAGATCTGAGCTGCAGTCAGAGAAGATGTTTACCCCACTGCATCCAGACTGATAATTACTCATGCATGCAGGAAGCTGCTGCTGGCTGATTCTACCCACCAATAAGAGGCTCCCACTAGTAGGTAGGCATAAACTTCAGCCAGCTAATCGGTCTGTGGTGAGCATGTTGGGTCTGTTCCAGGCCAAGCTGACCATCAGAGAGCACAGATTACCCAGATGTCAACTCGGTTATCCTACCAGATCTAGACCAGGCTGACTCAGATTTGAACGCGCCATAGGTGTGAAGGGTTGTTTGTCCCTGTTACGGACTGGAGACCTGTCCCCCACCTCTCGCTTGAAGACCGCTGGAGTTAGAAATCAGCTCCCCGTGACACTACTGAGGAATAAGCCTAATAAATGATGGGTGGGTGGATATTTTACACCCTTTAAAGAGCAAGTCACCCCCAAATCAACTTTTATTTATACATACATGAATGTCTAATCATGCTGTAGACACGTGTAGTCAATAATTTGGCATTTTAGTGCATCATAGTTCAAACTTTAAATATTCTGCCTAAAACTGTCAGTGTTGTGCCCTCTTCAGGTAAAAACTCTACACTGCATTTGAATTTAAATCTGCCATCGCTATTGGCTTAGAGGTAGGGATGGGTACCAAATTCAGTACTTTTTAAGGTACCGACCGAATTCCACAGTACCGACCGAGCACAGATTCACTTCATTTGAAACGGTGCCTCGTTTCGGTACCCGTCCTTCATAACGAGAACTTGCCTAGACAGCTGCGCATGCGCAAGAGCGTGGTAGAAAGAACAAACGCTAAAGCTTGGGTCCACTTCACTAAATGTGATGGGTAACTAACCAGCGACAACGATCTAAGTGAGACATCCTCATCTTAATCTGCTCCGGTAGGTAAATAAAATGTTTAAGATAACGTTAGCTTGATTTGTTAGCTTCCGTTTCACTAATGGTGCGTTCGCTTTCTCCTCGGAACTCCGAAATTCCAACTGGAAGAACACGAACGCGCTCTTAAGTTTGGCTTCACTTTACTAAATGCGACAGGTGATTGAGTGAAGTTGAAACCAGTGACAACGATTTAAGTGTGAGGCATCATCGTTTAAATCTGCTCCAGCAGTTAAATAAACTGTTTAAGATAACGTTAGCTTGATATGTTAGCTTCCTATGCCACCATTGTTATCATCTAATGGTGCATTTGCTTTCTCCTCGGAAATTCTAACTTCCCAGTAAGAAAAATCAAATGAAAAGAGACGGCAAAACGAATGAAGATACACAGTAAATTTAGTTCACAGTAAAGATGTTTGCTTCAGTTTAATTATCAGCTTATAAAACTACAAGGACGATGTTAAAATACAAACAGTTGAATGTTATTTATCGTGATATATATCAAATATGGTTATATATTGAGAAAAATATATATTTAATTATAAAAGAGAATTAAAAATATTAAACACTCAAAAGTATCGAAAATTGGTACCGTTAAGTACCGGTATCGATTCGTAGGTACCGGGAATTAGTACCGGATCGATTCAAATGTCAAAGGTACCCATCCCTACTTAGAGGTACATTATGTTGTCACAATGTTGCTGTGAACCTGTGTATGTGTGTGTATTTGTTAGCGGCTCCACCCTCTCCGTCTGCCAGACAATAGCATTTGTTAGATTTTTCAAACAGGAAGTGGGAGTGGAGTAAGACTCTGCTAGGGGGTGACTTGCTCTTTAAGGTTTGCTGTGGACAGTTAAATGTTCCTTCAAATAATCCTTTACTCAACAGCTGACCTCAGACACTAAACCGTTCTCATTTTGTTTGAGTCTATCTAGGTGTCTTTGATTTATATACATTTAGACTTTCCTTCTGCAAATGTTTCACCAGAGAAACAGTAATGCTTAATGGTTGTTTACAGTTTATGCTTTTTTACTTTACAATGACCCCTGTTCAGACCAGCGGTCTTTGAACCAGGAATCCGGAGTTTTTTGTCAGCGTCAGAAAAATGTATGGCACCTTAAGCCACTCTCCCTACTTTGTTACTATGGCTGGAAGTTTGCCATTCATTCGTTAATGGGCACCTCCTGCTGGGCAACAGAGCTAAAACACAAAAGCCCTTTTTACAAGACACACCATGCCGGCAAATCAGCGTAGTACTACTGCAACGGTATGTCTATAAACGCGCCATGCCGGCATTGCGTTGCGCGAAATTTGCAGCATTCGTTCCGCCTCGCTTGGTAGTAATATTGCGGTATCGGTCTGTCGTGTGCGCCCTGGCGCAACAGAGGCAGATGCCATGATGACCTGGGGAGTTATTGCTGAGCTTCGGCTGGCAAATTGATTGAAAATGAAAGTAAACACAGGCAATGAGGTTTGCTTTTTGAACAAAATCAGCTGAGATGGCAAACTGGAGCACCGCAGCTCTCCATGAGCCTTAGAGCTGAAGCTCAGATCACCAGAGACTGCACAGGGACTGATGGGGACAGACACCTTTAGGAGCGGCTTGTTAAAAAAAACTTAACGATCACGGCTTCTATCGCAATAAAAGCAAGTTATGTCTAAGATAAACGGAAGTCTGCGGCAGCGCAGAGACCGCCCCCATACCCCCTTTATGCCGCCATCACCTAATCTTTTATAAAATTGCCACGATTGCGCCACATCACCGCCACGGTCTGATCTTATAAACGACCTTTATCCTCCCCAGGGAGCCGCGGCAAATCCCGTTTTGCAAACGCTCTGGTCCTGTAAAAACAGCTTTAGTTATACAGTTATTATTTTCACATTATGCTTTTTATTCATATACATTCTCAATACTTGTCCATAAGAAATGTTGCCAGCTCTGCGTCATCAGGTACTTCTGCAAACGCACGTGTGCGCTGTGATTGACATCTGTACGTAAGCCGTACGTCTTGTCTAACCCTACTGGCTAATGCTGTGTGGCACACAATTCAAACTGCATGGGGCTCTATGGGATAGGGGGTGGGCTTACCAAAATAAAAAGATAGTTTTATTCCAATTTGTCAACAGCACCAACATTCACCTCTAAGCAAAATAAAAGGAGTGCAAAAAATATTTAGCAGATTTTGTGGAAAAAGTCAGACAATATGAGCGTTTACATTGTTGACTGAGAGAGTACAAAGACGCTTAGAAAACTTTATTTGTGGACGGAAATGACAGTAAACGTGGGTCTGGAGGTGGCGACTGTATGAAGAGGTGGAGGAGAATGAGGGAGTCTCTGAACTACATAAACACAATTTAAACACCCAGTAATAAAAACTATTATTGACCAGAGACGTGACTGCAGTGGTGGCCCCCAGAACAATGCTCTGCCCTTTGTGGTCCTCCTGCAGTGAGTTGCTTTGTAACACGCCCCAGGCAACAGTGAGGTCTGAAAAGACAACATCTCCCATCAACCTGCAGATGGAGATGCATAAATCAAACTATCACTCTTACAGAACTCTAAAGAAATCATACACTATTCCGTCGAGGGCAAAACTCCGGATTGCTGCTTTAATTGAAGTTCCTACAGTCACACAACTAGCACTGGGGTCATGTTGGAAGTCTGTGGTGACTAGAGGTGGGAAAAATGATCGATTCTAAGATGCATCGCGATTCAGCCGTGCATGATTCCGCATCGATGCAGCAACGTGACATAATGAGATTTTCTCCCTATGTCTATGTCTATGCGAGGACAATAAAGTTTTGAGGTTTTATAATTACTTCTGGAGGCAGAGTTGCAATGACATGCGCACTGCATTGTCCTAGCAGCAATTTAAAACAGAAATGGCGGACAGGGATACAGGGCCAACATTACCAGTAATCAAAGATTTACCCGTTACATTTAAATCGGTTGTCTGGGCTAATTTCAGTTTTGGGATCCTGGATGTGAAAGAATCACTTAACACAGTATTTGTTTACTGTTTTTAAGTTCAGTAATATTCTATCTTAAAGCTGCTCTACCGAAAACATTATTTCTTATTTTATTTAAAGAGCACGTCACCCCCAAATAAACTTTTTTTTGCTGATAAACTAAATAAACGAGTGTCTAATCGTGCTGCAGACACGTGTCGTCAATAATTTGGCACTTCAGTGCATCTTAGTTAAAATTTAAATATTCTGCCTTAAAACTGGCAGTGTTGTGCCGTTGTCAGGTAAAAACTCTGCACTGTATTTTAATTTAAATCTGCCACCACTATTGGCTAAGAAGTATGCTATGATGTAAACTGGTACATTATGATGTCACAATGCTGTCATGAGCCTGAGTGTGTGTGTATTTGTTAGCGGCTCCGCCCTCTCGGTCTGCCAGGCAACAGCATGTGTTGCATTTTTCAAACATGGAGTGGAGTTAGACTCTGGTAGGGGTTGACTTGCTCTTTAAGTAATTATAGGCGGCACACTTTAAAAATGATTGCTCATTATAGTGAATAGATGAATGTTCTGTTTTTCAGGGATATCGAAATCAAAAAGAAATTGAAAACTATTCTGCTTTTATTAAGTAATGAAAAGTTTTGTGTGAAGAATCGTGATGCATTTCAGACTCAAATCGAATCTTTAGGCAGATAATCGGAATCGGATCGAATCGTGAGGCAGGTAGAGATGCACACCACTAGTGGTGACTGAACCATTTCTAACAGTAAATGCTGCTTTTATATCAGTTAACTATTCAAAAGGTGATGCACACATTATAACTCAGCTTAGCAGATGCACAGATCATCTCTGTTTATGTGTTACTCCTGTTCGTTGCTAAAATGCAGGTGGAATTTGAAGATGGGTCACAGCTAACTACCAAGAGAGATGATGTCTACACTCTGGATGAAGAACTCCCCAAGAGAGTCAAATCCAGACTGGTGTGTGCATCCTAACTTCCCACTCCCTCCTAAACACTCTGTTTAACCTGACCTTCATCTAACAAGCTTCATCAGCTGTGTAAATGCTGTTATTGTGTCTCACCTATAAACACTCATCTTGTCTCCACAGTCCAAAGCGTCAGACATGAGATTTGATGGGATTTTTGAAGAAAACGAGATTATCCAGGAGTCTAAGAGACAAAGAGTGATCAACTCGCGTTACAGGGGGGATTACATTGAGCCTGTGATTTACAGAGCCATCATGGAGTGAACACTCTGTCTCCGCACTAGCAGCACTGATAGACTGAACTGTGCTACAGCACCTTAACTGAGCAGCCAGCCTCAGAGTGTAGCGCCACAGGACTTCTTAAAGGAACAGCAGTGGGCTCTTCTCCTTTTTACTTTCACACGTCTCTCCATCAAAAGGAGTCCATTAGCCTTTCTTTTTGTTTTGTCGGTAAAACATTTTCTATGTAGTTTGCTTCAAATGACTCAGCAGAATTTATGGTAGCCGACTCCCAGCCCCCTCAGCGCCCCCATCCTCTAAAAGGATGCACTGGTCCAGGTGAAACGTTGCCTGTCACCATGGAGATCAGCATCAGCTGCCCCGTGACCCTGAACAGGAACCGGAGGATGAAGAAGGTGGTAGAGTGGATGGATGGAATCGACTGAACTATATTCTCCGGTTGTCTGAAACCAGTGTCTCTTCACTAAACATTTCCAGATCTTAGCCTAACTTTAAATAATTGATCAGCTTTATTTTAGCTGCATTGCTCCAGGTGTTTTGCTGCTGATCTCTGATACCTAAATTGAAGTTTCCCCCCCTATCTTTAATTCAGACCTAAGTTTTATGTTGCTGTTTTTAGCAAAGGTGTTGGGTTTGGTTATAGACTCTGTCAGCCATGCATCTAACATTGTTTACCTGTGTTTTTATATTGTCATGAAGGAACATGCTTAGTTTCATATTTATTCAGCTGCAGAAATCCTCAGCCTCTCTGAACAGAATGAAACATCTGGTTCCACAAGAGTTTTCTCATATGACTTTAATTATTCACATTGTGTGTGCATGCATGCGTGAGTGTGCGAGAGAGATAAAGAGGAGGCAATGCTCCATTCGTGATTAGCTCAGTTAGCACATCCAACATGTTCCAGGAGAGAAAAAGGCAGAAAAGCTAAAATGATACAACCGAGCTCCGTCTCTGTGGCTCAGTGGGCCTTCCGTTTATCGGCTGACGTTTGCCTGCCTCTCTCTCGGTGTGTTGCACTTACTTTACCTCTCAGTTGTTTTTCCTTTTAAAATCAAACATGTTAAATAGCTTCCATGTTAACCACCGCCAGCAATAACATTTTTCTCAAACAAGCTGAGCGAGCAGACGGCCACTCTAGCTGCACATTAACACGAAAACACATGTTTATATGTATGAAACCTGATTTATGTAAACATCTGGCTGCTGGCCTTGACCCAGAATAGTCCAGCATTAATGTTGGATTGGAGTGCGTCCAACTGTTCTGTCCTATTTTTAGATAAAGCTTGGCCTGTAATAAAGTATATTGTTAATGTAGTTTTAGATTTTGCTAAATGTTTATATGATTTTTTCGTGTCCGACATTTTATTCTTGTCCATTTTCTTCCTCTGCACTCTTGTAAGTTATTTTTGGAGACCAGTTTAGTTGAACTCATTCCAGCATTAAGTGGAATATTGAAGTTTCTTGTTTGTTTTTTCTTTAAACAAAGGAGCGATCCAGTTGGATCCAGTGAATATTTTAAACATTTTGCCTGAACATGATGTGTTACTTCAGTCAAATCTTCTAATTTGGTTAAAAAAAACAGAGTTTTCTGTAAAAGTGTTGGGTTGGATGTGCTTTAGAGAACAAAAACAAGGATATTTTGTTGATTTGGTGTCTTTAAGTTTACCCTGTGAAGCACGCGCGCACACATGTGTATGCTGCCTGATAAATCAGGCTTCAGAGCTGATTTGTAGTTTTTTTCTTTAATAGTTCTGTACAGATTCTGGATGCTAAATTAGAAAAACCTTCCAGAACATAAAAATGCTTCCCAGAAACATTTATCATTGTGCTGATGCTGATGAAGCTCCGTTTGTTGGATTGTTGATGCTCAGAAGGACACTAAGATAAATAAAGGAAGACATCTGTAGGGAGCTACCAGCCTCCGATTGTCTCTTGTTTTGTGTAAATTAAAAAATGAAAACACTGGCAGCTATTTTTCTAAACAAAGCAACTGGTAGATTTTTTTTTACACTGCAATTTTTCTTCTGTAACGCAGCTTCGGTACCTGAGGATCTGTGCTTTATCTAACCAGGATGTTTTTGTTACCTTTAAAATGTATTCGTTTTTCAAGCCGTTTTAAATGTTTTCCCAGTTTTTATGTAAAAAGGGGTCATTTTTAGCAATTACTGAAAAACAGCAGAAACGTTTAGATTTAATTGAACCATGAATGAGATGAGAAAACTCCGCGGACATTCTGCCTTTTCCTAACTTAAATGCAGCAGTAAAGAGTTATTTGTGAGGATGGCATTTTAACGTTTGTATGAATATTTTTGAAGGCTGCTGGGAATTTTTACACAAAATTCTTTACCAAGGTTTAGTTGAACTGAACGGACTGGAGCTTTACCAGTGGTGGATGAACAAGCTGAAGCTTATTTTATTAGCTTTTTGTGCTTTAAGTGAATGTTAATCTATGCTGGAGAAATTAAACATTATTTTCTTTTTAAATAATCTCTCATCCCTGCTCGTAGACTCCGCTTCAGTCTGTCCAGAGGCTCATGGGTTCTACCGGTGGATATAATCTACACTTTAAGGAAGGCTGTGCCATTTGTTGCTTTTATGAACCAGATCCCTTCACTGACCTGAGTGAGTCCTTTACATGTTCCTGTTTAATCCGTCCTACCCAGCAGTGCTGTAAGACCTGAAAGTCTGCAGTGTCATAATGACTCAGATTTTAATTTTCTTACCAGCTGTCAGTCGTCTAAATTAGCTTGCTGCACTTTTATTTAGACAAAAGTAGTGGTAGTGATGTTTATTTGACATGGACACAGCAATTACATTGTACGAACCAGATGCATTGTTTAGTGTGTTAGCACACGTGCTAATTTGCAACACTTATCCATAGAACCTTTCTAAAAAGTAGAGTACATTTAAATAAAATACAAAGAGACCAACAATAAATCAAACAGAAAACAGATTAAAATTGCAAACAATTTTCAATAAAAAAGAATAAAAAGAATAAAACAAGGCAATTTGAGCAGCAATGTAAGACTTTAAAACTATTAAAGTAATGTTTGACGTCTTCTGTGCTGCGGTTGGTAATTTGTAAAGAAACTAACAGAATATCTAAAGTTCAGAAGCCCTGCTTTCATGATTTGGTTTCATCATAAGACTAACAGACCTGTGAAGGGACGGGGTATTTTTCTATTTGGTTTTTTTCTGTTTTGTAAATGATGTTTGGCGTATCTTTACAGAACCCTATGTAATGTAAATGTCCTGTAGTCTAATGTAAACTGTTGATCTTGTACTGGCATCCTGAAACAAATAAAATAATTTTTAGCTTATTTGTTTTTCATTGAGTTTGTGTTGATTTTTTTCTCCCAGAAAGTGTCAAACTAACCATCCCGTACATGTAGCTACGTCTTTAGCTACTGTTGCGGTTTGTCTAGATTGCTAGAACACTGCTGCTAGCATACCTAACATTTGGAAAATAAAGATCGTAATTTTATCTCTGAGCTTTCTTTTTTCATTGTTAGCACAACATCATTTTGTTTGTGTATTTTAAACTAGATTTTAAAATCTGTTCTGTGTTGGCACATTGATTTTATTGTTTTATGTTCTTGCTGATCTTGCTCCTGTAAAGCACATTGATTTGCTTCTGTGTATGATTTGTGCTATCTAAATAAAGCTGTCTTGCCTAGATTTCTAGGTTCTAAAACTGCTGAGCAGCTCAGTAAATGATTGATGGTTTGATCTGCACAAAACGTGATTCTGTATTGTGTCTAGAAGATATTTGCAAATCCATCCATTTTCATCCGCTTATCCAGAGTCGGGTCGCGGGGGCAGTAGCTTAAGTCGAGAGGCCCAGACTTCCCTCTCCCCAGTGTAGAGGATAAATGTTGTGCTTTTAAGCTTAAATTACCTCTACTTATGACCCATAAGCTGTGATATTCTTTATAAATGTAGAATATCAACCTGCTTGGTATTTGGATGTTTAATCAGAAGATTCTAGGATTCTTTGCTTTTTCAGGGATCAAACACTTATTCTCAATTCAGACAGAGTCAGGTTTATAAAAGAAATGAAATGTATTCTCTAAACAAATAAAAACATGACAAGTTAAATAAGGCATCTGTGATGGATGAATCTTAAGTGGATGTGATGTCATGTATGGTGATTTAATGGTGTGTGTTTATCAGAACCTTGTATCTGGAAGAAATGAGTTCTGGGTGTTCAAAGAATACCCAACATGGGGGAGGGGGGGTGACCGTAAGGTACCGAAGTTGTAGAAAAGACCGCAGTACAACTAGGTCAGACCAGACTCGTCTCCCGGATCACACCAGATAGATTAAATCGTTTGCGTCTAGAACAGCTGTTTCTGAATAGCTGAAGGAACTGTTTTGCAGTGTCAGCTGTAGACAGCTTTTAGCTTGTCGAAAGCTGTGTGTTAAAGAGGGTTCGCTCCGGACGGCCTGTCCGTAGTTTTCTCTAGAACTGACTCACCGTCCAGTGAGCTCTGTTTTATTATTTTCATATTATGATTTCTTGGCCAACCGGGACGTGCCATGTTAAGGGGTGTTCACAAGCAAACCTCAGAAAGTCACGCCTCTTTCAGATACAGGATGTTCTGATTTGTGGCTAAGAAAATATCTATGTGTCATGACATTTAACTTAACGTAAATTTATCTCTAATGAACCTTGTGTCTGAGTGTGGATTATGATTCACTTGTTACATCTAAAATTACTGATCATAATATCAAAATGTTTCATTTCAACCACAGTAATTTAAGCACAGATTAATCAAAACATTATTGATCATTTCATATGGCATTTGTTTATTTCATTTCACGCTTGATTGACCCATATGAGCTGAAAATAGTCACTTTATTCAGAGGCATGAGGAATCCTGTTGAAGTGATTAGGGAAGCTTAGGCCTTGAAACGGGAACAATTTGATGACACTATGTTATCATGTGTTCCGAGCTGCAGAGAGGCCAGGACTCCAGCTGATGGAATGGCAGGATCCGGCAGATTAAAGGCAATAAATGTAGACTCCTGTCTCCATATGACCAGATACTGAAGGGGTCAAACTGTACATGAAAAACTGACCATTTGTGGACGTTACGCCAGCCACTTGGGCCAACTTCTCCGGGGAAATCCTAAGGTATTCCCTGGCCAGGTGAGAACCATAGTCCCTCCACCGTGTCCTGGGTCTAACTTTAGGCCTCTTCCCAGTTGGACGTGCCCAGAAAACCTCACCAGGGAGGCATCCTGACCAGATGCCCGAGCCACCTCAACTGGCTCCTCTCGATGTGGAGGACCAGCAAATCTACTCCGTGCCCCTCCCGGATGACCGAGCTTCTCACCCTATCTCTAAGGGAGAGCCCAGCCACTCTGTGGAGAAAACTCATTTCGGGCACTTGTATCTATGATCTCGTTCTTTCTGTTACTAGCCAAAGCTCATGATCATAGGTGAGGGCAGGAACGTAGATCGACCGGTAAATTGAGAGCTTCACCTTCTGATTCAGCTCTCTCATCACCATGACAGACCGGTACAACGCTTGCATCACTGCAGACGCAGCACCAATCCGCCTATCGATCTCACGCTCCAGTTTTCCCTCACTTGTGAACAAGGTCCCGACACACTTAAACTCCTCCACTTGGGGCAGGACCTCATCCCTGACACGGAGAAGGCATTCTACCCTTCTCTGAATCAAGACCATGGTCTCAGATTTAGAGGAGCTGATTCTCATCCCAGCTGCTTCACACTCGGCTGCGAACCGCTCCAGCGAAAGCTGAAGATCACGTTCTGATGAAGCCAACAGGACCACATCATCTGCAAAAAGCAGAGACCTGATCCTCAGGCCACCAAAACGGATGCCTTCCACACCTTGGCAGGGCCTAGAAATCCTGTCCATAAAGGTTATGAACAGAATCGGTGACAAAGGGCAGCCTTGGCGGAGTCCAACTCTCACTGGGAACGAGCCCGACTTACTGCCGGCAGTGCGGACCAAGCTCTGACACTGGTCATACAGGGACCTAACAGCCCGTATCAGAGGGCCTGGTACCCCATAGTCCCGGAGTACCCCCCACAGGGCCCCCCGAGGGACGCGGTCAAATGCCTTCTCCAAATCCACAAAACACATGTAGACTGGTTGGGCAAATTCCCACGCTCCCTCCAGGATCCCCCTAAGGGTATAGAACTGGTCCAGTGTTCCATGGCTAGGACGAAAACCACATTGTTCCTCCTGGATCTGAGGTTCAATGATCTGACAGACCCTCCTCTCCAGAACCCCTGAATAGACCTTACCAGGAATGCTCAGGAGTGTGATCCCCTGTAGTTGGAACACACCCTGCGGTCCCCATTTTTAAATAAGGGGACAATCACCCCGGTCTGCCAGTCCAGTGGGACTGCCCCCGATGTCCACGTGATATTGCAGAGCTGCATCAGCCAACACAGCCCCACAACATCCAGAGGAACTCCGAGCGGATCTCATCCACCCCTGGAACCTTGCTACAGAGGAGCTTTTTAATCACCTCAGTGACCTCAGCACCAGAGATTTGAGAGGCCAAGTCAAAGCCCCCAGACTCTGCTTCCTCACTGGAAGATATGACGGTGGAATTGAGGAGGTCTTCGAAGTATTCTGCCCACCGATCCACAACGTCCTGAGTGGAGGTCAGCAGCACACCGTCCCCACTATAAATAGTGTTGGTAGCGCACTGCTTCCCCCCCCCCCCCCCCCCCCCCCCCCCGAGGCGCCGGATGGTGGACCAGAATGTCCTCAAAGCCATACGGAAGTCTTGCTCCATGGTCTCACCGAACTCCTCCCAAGCCCGGGTTTTTGCCACGGCGACCACCCGAGCCGTGTTCCGCTTGGACTGCCGGTACCCGTCAGCTGCCTCTTGAGTCCCACAGACCAAAAAGACCTGATAGGACTCTTTCTTCAGCTTGACAGCATCCCTAACCACCAGTGTCCACCAGCGGGTTCGGGGGTTGCCACCACGACAGGCACCAACGATCCTGCGACCACAGCTCCGGTCGGCCGCCTCAACAATGGAGGCATGGAACAGGGTCCATTCAGACTCAATGTCCCCTGTCTCCCCGGAACATTTTGGAAGTTCTGTCGGAGGTGGGAATTGAAGCTCCTTCTGACAGGAGACTCTGCCAGACATTCCCAGTAGACCCTCGCGATATGTTTGGGCCTGCCTGGCCTGACCAGCATCCTCCCCAGCATCTGAGCCAACTCACCACCAGGTAGTGGTCAGTTGACAGCTCTGCCCCCTCTTCACCCGAGTGTCCAAGACATGCGCCCGCCGGTCAGATGAAACAACAACAAAGTCGATCATTGAGCTGCAGCCTAAGGTATCCTGGTGCCAGGAGCACATGTGGACACATTTATGTCTGAACATGGTGTTCATTATGGACAATCCATGACTGGCACAGAAGTCCAGTAACAAAACACCACTCGAATTCAGATCGGGGGACCGTTCCTCCCAACCACACCTCTCCGGGTCTCACTGTCGTTGCACGTGAGCGTTAAATTCCCCCCCGCAGAACGAGGGACTCACCGGAAGGAGAGCTCTCCAGCACCCCCTCCGAGGTCTCCAAAAAGGGTGAGTAGTCTGAACTGTAGTTTGGTGAACAAGCACAGACCACAGTCAGAACCCGTCCCCCCACACGTAGGCAGAGGGAGGCTACCCTCTCATTCACCTGAGTAGAGACCTTAACATCAATACAACTCCCACACGGCCAATAACTCATCGGGGGGGGGGGGGGGGGGGGGGGGTGTATTCATAGATAGGTTCTGCTCGTTAAGTAACAATGCCCAGCAACAGATCATAAGATGGAACCTCTCCTATTCCACTAAGATTTTCATCAAATGAGAAGCAAAACGTCTTCAAGAAACCAAACAAGTCCAGTTACCTTCATTCGACCCCCTTTGGATTACCATGACCTGGACTGAGAACCTTCACCAGCACACGAGACCTTAACTTGTTCAAGTCGGTCAGAATCAATCCGGCAGGTTTTAGTCTAATTTTTTGGTATTTATTTTTCCAAATGAAACTGAAATTATTTCTAGTCATTTCTTATTTTTTTTAAATAAATAGCGGAGTAATTGAACAGATATTGGAAAAGCAACTGATAATCAATTTATTGATTTCTCCAAAGCCAGCTATTTAGAATTAGAATGACTTGACTGCTTTCTATAAATCTGAATAACACCTAATAAACCAACCTGTTATTTGAGTGTTCCATAAAAAATCCAAAGGTGTGTGTGTGTGTGTGTGTGTGTGTGTGTGTGTGTGTGTGTGTGTGTGTGTGTGTGTGTGTGTGTGTGTGTGTGTGTGTGTTATACAAATGTAGATCAGAAGCTGTATAGAGGTAAAAATATAATTTTTAATAATAGTTTATCTCACAGACGTATATTGGCTAACATTTTTAGTGTACAGTGCCTTGTTTGGTTGTAATGCCTTGTGAATGCGCTTTATAAATAAAATTGGATTGGATTGGATATTGGTTTATCTTCTTATGCTGTGATAGACTTTTTGAGCTCACACTCCAGCACAGTAGGTGGCGGAAACGCACCTAGAAGTTAGATGCCACCCGCCAATAAACACGAAGAAGAAGAAGCAGAAGAAGACTTTTTGAGCTTCCGGACTTGCCGTAGTGTTGTTCGCGCGAGTTTTGGATTTGGTCTCCTGAAGCTTGAAGCTTCAAGATGCTTCTAACCCCGGAGAGAGCTTGCTGAGATTCGTTCCTGGATGTCTTTCAGTGCTCGTCGTCAACACTTTTCCTGGAATTTCGACTAGGAAACGTTTGGCGAACGGGTGTTCTTTCAGACAAGTTGCTAAAGCCAGCGATTGATTAGCAACATGTGAAACCTTTACAGCTTAGAAAATTCCAGAAAATGGTAAAAACTCACACAACTAACTCACGTGGTTTTAGGTTTTAGGGGTTAAACGTTAGTCTACTGAAAGCGTTTTAACTGAATGTCTGTTTGCAGAGGAGGAGTTTTGCTCCCAGTCAGGTTGCTAAACGGAAGCTAACAGGAGACTCTAGTGAGAACGATGATTGGACTACAACAGCTGTAAGTACCGACCTGTTTGTTCGGTGCTGGTTCGGCGGAGTTACTCTGAGACCCGTTTGTCTCACACCACAGCACCAATTTATTGACGAGAACGTTGAGAGTCTTTGTGGTTTTAATGCTGTTTTAATCAGGAGAAGAGGAGAAAAGGAGATGAGAAGGGGGGAAGCCAGAGTTTGCCCTGCAGGACGCCTCTGGCCCAGTTGAACACCTGTGCAGGTGTTCTGGATGTCAACAGACATGTGAGTACTGCTGATCTCCTGACCATCTTGTTCCCGAATGTCGTATTAAACCACACTCACCTGCTAAAATCTTTCCTGCAGGAGGCCTTTATTAGAAGTATTCTGTCCAAGCCTTTTAAAGTTCCTATCCCCAACTACACAGGTAGGTTTTCCTCTCAGTGAGGCCTTTGTTTCCTGTTCCTGACCTTAACCTCTTGACATCCTTTGTTCCCAGGCTCTCTGGGAATCAGAGCTCTTGGTCTGAAACGAGCAGGCGTCAGGAAAGCTCTCCATGATCCATTTGCAGAAGATGCGTTGGTTCTTTATGAACCTCCAGTTCTGAGCACCCACGAACTGATCAAAGCTGAAAAGTAGGTTAAAAAAACTAATTTCTTGTTCTAAACAGAGATACAAAACACAAGCTCAACAGTGAAAAGCATATCAGCTTTCAGAAATATGCATCTATTTAAAAAATGTGTTTTTCTGTTGTCTTTTGCAGAGAAAAGCTTCCAGTTCATGTTGTTGTGGATCCAGTTTTAGGAAAAGTGCTCAGACCCCATCAGAGAGAGGTACTTACAAATGTGTTTTCATACTAGCTCAAAAGAATAAAAAAAACAGTTTTACATAATAACCTCACAGTTCAGTTGTGAAGCAACACAATCTAACAATAGGATGAATGAACTCTCACCGACACTGGGCCAGAGGTTTAGTTCAGAAACCTCTGGCCCAGTGTCGGTATAAACATTTACCGGTTGTAAATACTAAATCCCATCATTTTGGAAGACTAAAGATTAATTCTGATCAGATCGATGAGCTAACGGCTAGTCTAATTATGAACAAGACTAATGTGGGTTACTGCCCTGAGGGCCCCTCCTAAAACCCCTCCAGTGTCAAAAGTTTCACGGTTCATCATGTGATCCCTATTTTAAAAACTTAACTGTTGTCCTGTGTCTTTAGGGCAGGGGTGTCAAATATGCGGCCCGCGGGCCGAATCCGGCCCGCAAGCGGGTTAAATCCGGCCCCCGAGATGGTTGTGTAAAATTTTATTTTCATACTTTACAATGTAGAGTGAAAATAAACTTATTGTGAGAAAGTTTTCTCTGTAATGAGTATAAATAAAAGAAAGCTGCGCTCAAGGCTCACACAAGAACTTGAATCCCACCCTGAAGTTGGCTGCCACTCAGGATGTGACTTGATATTGATGTTCTGGTGAAAGCTAAAAGATGTTAAGTAAAATGAGTCGAATATATTTTAAGTGCTGCATGAAACTGATCTTGCCATGTGATCTGTAAGCTTTGAATCACTAAGGAATGTTTTTTTTTTTTTTTTTTTTTTTTTTTCAAATTTTCAAGTACACTTCAGGTGTTGTACTTGTACTATTTTGGATACACTGTCCTCAGGCTCCAGCCTTGTTTTATATTGATTGTATAAAACAAAGAAAACAATCTGAAGTTTTTATTTAATTTACCGGTCCGGCCCACTTGGGACTAGATTTCCCTCCATGTGGCCCCTGAGCTAAAATGAGTTTGACACCCCTGCTCTAGGGTTAAGGTAACACCACCTGAGTTGATGAGCTTTGACTAAGATTTTAATTTCATTAGAACTCATTGGTAATATTGCTTATTAATGAGCTTTTTGGGCTTGAATTGAACCATCTTTCAAACATCTTCAACTTGCTCATATTTGTTTAACAGCTGACGACCCAGAATCAGGGTATCCGCGGGTCCTTAAAAAGTCTTAAAAAGACTTAAATTAGCTTTTCCAAATTTAAGGTCTTAAAAGTCCTTAAAAATGACAAATAATCCTTAAATACAGCTTTCAAAGGTCTTAAATTACCAAAGAACCAATAAACAAGATTCTTTTATTTCTATAAAATTTTCCTGAATTTGTAGTTGGTCTTCATTAATTATTTGTGTATGACATTGGCATAAGCAGAACCGTACACATTGGTTGGTTGTGAAAGGGGGCTATTTTTAGATGAGCACATTAGCTGGTTAAGCTAGTGGGAGCTTGCACCATGGGGAAATGCATGTTTATTGGTAACTGGATGGCTAATCCCACGTTCGCGACGTGGTTAGCACCGGTTCCAGGCAATAGCTGGAAATTATAGCTTAAATTTAATTTTAAAAATGGCTTAAATTTGGTCAAAGTGGCCTTAAAAAAGGTCTTAAACGTCTTAAATTTGGCTCCCTTAAACCTGCAGATACCCTGCAGAATGCAGTGTGACATGATGGAATTAAATGTTTTTTTAATAATAGAAAATCATCATTAATCATCTGGTATTATGGTTAAACTTTCAGCATCGAGTCTGGCAGCCATTATGTCTCCATGACCCAATAAACCTCCTAACCTTTAGACCTAGTTTGCTTTTAATGACAGATTGTTTGTTCTTTAAGAGTAAAATGATGTTTTTTTTGTGTCAAGGGGGTGAAGTTTCTGTGGGAGTGCGTGACGGGCCGGCGGGTCCCAGGCTCGTACGGCTGCATCATGGCTGATGAGATGGGCCTGGGGAAGACCTTACAGTGCATCACCCTCATGTGGACCTTGCTGCGGCAAAGCCCTGACGCCAAGCCTGAGATAGACAAAGTCATTGTGGTTTCACCTTCTAGTCTGGTTCGCAACTGGTATAACGAAGTGGGAAAGTGGCTGGGAGGACGTCTGTCACCAGTGGCCATTGATGGAGGCTCAAAGGATGAGATCGATAGGCAGCTGGGTAATTATTCAGCAGGACTTACTGCATCTCATGGTGAAGCCCTGACGGCTTCTTCTGCTGATAATCGTTGACGTTAGAATTGTGGTTAGAGGGGGTGCCAGAGGTCAGTGCTACGGGGTGGCATTAGTGTGTTAAGCCTGGTTTATGCTTCTCCGTCAGCTCCGCAAGGGACAGACACGCACGGATTGACGGAAGCGTTTTGCTCTTTTACTTCTCCGTCTCCTGGAGAGTGTTGCAAAGCAATTCCCCGGCAGGACCACAGAGGGCGTAGCGCTGTTCTGTGGTATCCTGTCATGTATCGGTCCAAGATAGTGTGTTTTTATTATGTTTTTTGTGTACATAAGAGACTTTTAACACGGACATATTTGTCTCTCATTCTCCTCCACCTCTTCATGCGCTCCCCACCTCTAAACCCACGTTTCCTGTCATTTCCGCCCACAAATAAAACGCTTGCTGCGCATCTTTTCACTCCTCCAGTCACGGGGGGATGAAACGTTCATATTTTTAGAGTTTTTTCGCGAGGTATTCTTCAAGCTTCTCTGTGTCTGCCGCTAGTTATCCTCGGCTCTCTTTGCAATGGCGGCGCTGTAAACAACAGCGGCGTCCTGACCAATCACAAGCTTGCGTAATCCGTCTCGTTCGACGGATGTTTAAAAAAGTGGGCTCGACTCCGTACGTACTTGCGTGCCTGCCGGAGCCCTACGCAAGGACGGATAATGGCGTTGCGTGTCTCCGCACTGACGCAGACGGAGAAGCATAAATCAGGCTTTAGTCGGTTCATTTCAGCTTCATTTGGAGATTTTCATCCATTTTTGTCAGTTTGTTTATTTCTGCTTACTCAATTCAATTCAAAAATACTTTATTGATCCCAGAGGGAAATTGATTGCTGTAGTAGCTCAGAATAATAATAATAATCAAGTCATCAAAGAGTTATTGTATGGCTGTTGGCAGGAAGGATCTCCAGTAGCGGTCAGTGTTGCAGCCAAACTGAAGAAGCCTCTGACTGAAGACACTCTTCCGTTGTCGGACAGTCTTGTGAAGAGAATGCTCAGGGTTGTCCATCATTTTCTTGATTCTCTGGAGAATCCTTCTTTGCATTATCTCCTCCAGCGGTTCTGAAACTGCCGAAACTCTGGCTGAGTCCTTGAAAGGGCTTGGAGTTCCTCCATCTTGTTGACCAGTGATCTCACATTGCCCATTATGTTCGATGGAAGAGATGGTTTGAATTTCCTCTTTCTCTGTCTCCGTTTTGCTCCCGCTCTGCACCCACGCTTCTTGCGTTTTAGCTCATTTGGGATTTGTGGCTTCAGTTGAGGTATTATTTCAGCCTTTCCAATGTTAATCAGCTGCTCCCGATTGTAAACCAGCTTGTTGCCATGGTTACGCATCATAACAAACGCTCAAAAAGTGAAAAAAAGCTAAAAAAAAGTAGCATTAAAAATCCTCCAAGCTTCACAGCACCAGAAACAGAAAAGTAAAATGTCCAAAAATACAGTTTTTCTTGAGAAACTAGAAGAAAAATGCCCAAGAAAAGGCAAAACTTACATATAGTCAACAGAGCTACTCCAACATGCAGCCGCCCAGAGCAGCGCAGTTCTGGAAAAAGTTACTCGTTGGACATTTGGTGTTGTTTCCACCCGTCTTCAATTAAAACACACACACACCTGCTGTCAAAACACCTGGTTTGACAGTCATCTGATGCATACTCATGTAAAATGTGTTTGGTCTGCTTCATAAATAGCTACATATGTCAGAAGTTCTCAAACTGGTAATTTAATGTTATTTTTTTTATCGTTTCTAGTGAACTTCATCTCTCAGCACGGTCTAAGAGTGCCAACTCCAATTCTGATTGTTTCATATGAGACGTTTCGACTGCATGCTGATGTCCTTCACAAAGGCAAAGTGGGCCTTATTATCTGTGATGAGGTATTTCACCTTTTTACTACGGCTCACACACATGAAAAACATTTTTAGGGGTTGGTGTTTGAGTACTGACCAGGTCCTATTTTAGGGCCATCGGCTAAAGAACTCTGACAACCAGACGTACCAGGCTCTGAATGCCATGACTGCGCAGAGGAGAGTGTTAATATCAGGCACTCCCATCCAGAATGACCTCCTGGAGTACTTCAGCCTCATCCACTTTGTTAACGCTGGAATCCTGGGTAAGCAGCTACACCAAATCTTTTAGAAAGCCACATTTATTTTAATTCATATTTCCTGGGATTATTCCTAAATCACTTGAGACGTCCCACCTCGTTTCTGATGCTTGTTTGTTTTCGCCCCTCGATGGCAGGCACAGCCCAGGAATTTAAAAAGCGGTTTGAACTTCCCATCCTGAAGGGCCGGGATGCAGACGCCAGCGATAAAGACCGACAGGCTGGAGAAGTAAAGCTCAGGGAGCTCATCAGCATCGTCAACAGGTGAGCCGATAGACACACACTGTCAGAAGGAAATATTTAATCTTTTTAAAATAAGATAAGATAAGATAGAACTTTATTAATCCCACGGGTGAGTTCCTTTGGGAAATTCGGTTTCCAAAAAAAGCAGCACAACACCGACAGAAGTTACAGAGCGTCAGAAAATGTTATATAATAATAAAAAATAGAAATAAAGATAAAAATACAATTGAATGGCACCTTCCAGATATCAAAGTCCTTAGCACCGTTGACTATTAAACCAAAATTTGACTTTAATTTGACATAAACTGTAAGCATTTATTGTTGAGAAATAAAGAGTTGTGATTTTATTTTCCCAGCATCCCTAAACACAAACCTAATAGAAAGTTTGGACTCGGAATGTATTTGAAATATCTGTGTAACTGATGTGTGTTGTTCATCAACAGGTGTCTGATAAGGAGGACGTCGAACATCTTATCCAAGTATCTTCCTGTGAAAATTGAACAGGTTGTGTGCTGCAGGTAAGACGACGGCTTAGACTTCCTAAAGTCAAACGTGGAATATTTCATTCCCTTTAAAAGAATGGGTTAAGGCAAAAATAACAAATGTACAGCATTTATTTTTCATTCATTAGTTTTATGTGTTAGACATTTTGACACTATTTGTATTTTGCACTTATTAGAACAAAAACAAAGAAGAGAGCACAGGTGTCTGCTGTTCAGTCTGAATAACCCCCGGGTCCATCAGTCCCGGCTCTGGTTTGGTCTTATGCCGGGGACACACCGGCTGCGGAAGCGCCGCGAAAATGGGACCGCCTTCATTCGGCGCCCTTGTTAAGCTATTCTATAGACCACATGGGCCGCCGAAGCGCCGCGAATCGCCTCGCGCCGTGCAGCTATCATTTCGGCGTCGGCTCTATTTTTTTCGCGAGCCGCGGGTGAATCGCGTCAATTCTGGCAGGAAGTCAAACCTAGACATAAGAGGAAGGCCGGTAAATTTAACAAAATAAAACATTTCAAAATAAAATTCCGCAATAGTCAAACGTGTTCATAATCAGACACTGCAGAAAAACCACACGAACACACACACACATCGAACTTGTGTGCGTGTGTGACCACGTGAAGGGGTATGTGGTTTTGGGTGTCTTCACCGGAGCAAACAGGACAGAGAGGCACAAAGTCTGAGGCAAGCAGTTAAGATGGATGACTTTAAATCAATTATGGAAGTTGAGAAACACAAGGAGCTGTACGACCCCCGAAAAACACGATTATTTACGTACCCATGTCGGAGGAAACTGCTACAGCTGCAGAATTGGAGCGGGTTCCAAGAGATTCAACTGGCAAAAACAACTGGTTCATACCATAGACACACACACACACACACACACACAGACAGACAGACAGACAGACAGACAGACAGACAGACAGACAGGAAAAGAGCTGAGAAAAGGCAGAGAGGAAATGGAGGACACCAAGTGTTTAAAAGAAAGACTACAGCTGAGCCGAGGCGCGCCTCGACTGGGGCGCGTCTGATCTGAACTGAGGAGCGGCGATCAGCGGCCGAATTTCGTGAGCGATTCGCTTCGCGGCGCTTCCGCGGCCGGTGTGTCCCCGGCATTAGTCGGTTTCTGCTGTGGTTTTTTGAGTCGCAGAATGGGCTGAATTCACTTTTCCCCTCATCATTCTACGCACAACACTCCAGAATGGCAACACGAATAAAGTTTGCTTCATACGATTTTTGCGACTGTAAAAATAAAATTAAAAACTGATCATGTAGAAACTGGTCTTCAGTCTGCGCCATTCAAATTTAAAAAACACATATTCCAAAATATTTTACCTCATTAAGATTTTAATAAACAATTACAAACATCACATAAAGCTTAAAAACAGACAAACTGGTCCTCCCAGCAGATCTGTGCACCACTGAGGAGTTACTAGGTAGTCGTTCTTACTTTCATTTATAATTTGAGAGGTGTAACTTTTACCTGTGAGACAATCCTTGCATACACTGTGATGTCAGTGGAAAGTGTTGGCATTGCCATTGAGAGTGTGTGGTTCCCAACAGGCTGACTTCTCTGCAGACAGAGCTCTATAAACGCTTTCTGAAGCAGGCCAAACCCATTGAGACGTTACAGGAGGGAAAAATAAGTGTTTCCTCGCTGTCCTCCATCACATCACTCAAGAAGCTGTGCAACCGTAAGTGCTTCTATAGGAGCCTGCATGTTTATATGAAACATCTGTTATAATATTATTTTATGCTGTGTTTGGCCCTTTTTTAGTCAGAGGTTTTAATGTTGGTACCTGTGAAATTTCCTAGCAGATGTCAGGTGTTTAAAAATTATTTGATCAACGGACTCCAGAGATGAGGGTTTTATCCCCGTTCCTTATGTACTTTTATGTTCATTTAAAAACCAAGTCACAGAGGCATCATTTCCTCTTGATTTGTGAAAGATTCGGTCTTGATGTTGACTCAAACCAGCAGTGGTGGAAAGAGTACTAAAATTTCCTACTTGAGTACAAGTACTAATACTTTGATTTGTTTTACTCAAGTACAAGTATTTGCCAAAACTCAAGTAAAAGTAAAAAGTATCATAAATAAATTGTACTCAAAGTTACTTAGTTACTTTTTGTTAGAGTAAGGATGGCTACACCTAAGTAGTGCAAAATCACAAGGCTAACTCAAAACACACACACACACACACACTTCTATTTATGTGCTTGTGTGGACCTCCGTTGACTTCAATTCATTTTAGTGACTCCACTATGCCTAACTCATATCCTAACCTTAACCCATGTTGTTCTATTCCTAACCTTAACCTAAACTCACCTCCAAACCTCAAAAACCTAGTTTTAGGATAGTTATTAACATTGTGTGGACCAGCAAAATGTCCAAACGTTACAGGTTAAAGGTAAACGTTTGTCCACTTAAACAAACATATAAAGACAAGTAGACACACACACACACACACACACACACACACACACACACACACACACACACACACACACACACACACACACACACACACACAGAGCATTATTTTAGAATACTTAAAATAGCTAATTTGCTGCATTGAACTGCTTTTGTAATAATTTAATCTCTTATTCTTGAGTAAAATAAAGAAACTGGCTAAATCGTCACATATCTGTGGCATCAAAAAGCAACTTCTGAGTTCATACACACACAGGTAGGAGGCACATAATGTTTACAACTGAATTAGCTCCAGTATTAAGTGTTTGCACACACAAAATGTTTAAACTCAGAGGCTGCAGGTCTCCCGCTTTATGAGCAGACCACGCTGGGAATCCGCTTGTTGTGAGCGCTAAAAGTTCTTTTGCCGCTGCCGTGAGAAGCAATTGGGGAAACGCATTTCAAAGACGGAACCGAATCCGGCTACTGAGCAGAATATTGACCAAGCCCCCACAATGCACCTCTAAAATTGAGGCAAACCCGGAAATGGAATAAATTGCAATTCCAGTCTCATCCACTGGGGGCTGGTGTCAGAAGCGAGCAAATCCTCATTGACTCCCATGTTAAAAATACCAATTTCACAGCAGAAATAAACATGTTTACAGCCTGGTACCAAAACATGTTTTTGGTTTAAATGATCTAGTTTACACTCATGACAACTCTGAGGGGGGTGAATTTTTTTTCTCACTCTTCTGTTTTAAGTGTATTAAAAGCCTAAAATTCTGTATAATTAATGAGCATCAGACCCACGTGACCACAGAGCTAGCTCCGTGGAAAGGCCTCAGTAGAGCCTCGGTCTGGCTTGGAAACTGCTCCGGGATTTTGAGTCTCTGTGTGAGTGTATTCTTTTTTGGATATTTTTTGTGCAATTGTTGGACAAAATGACTTGCTGTGGCATTAATTGCACTAATAGAGCATCCAAGGAGTCTCCACTTCATTTTTTTCGGTAAGTAAAATTATATTTATGTATTTTAGGTCACTGCCGAGCTGAGCTTAGATTTTAACATGTACTGTTTAACCATGAAATTTAAATGTAGTAGGGTAAAACCCAGTGCATTTAACATAATAATGCACTTTAGAAAATGGGTTGAAATATAACATGTTGGTGGAGCTGGGTTCTGACTATCGGCTTGTGGAGCTCTCGGGAGACCGATGTTTTCCACCTGTTTCTCCCCTGGCTTCGCGGCTTCTGTTTGATGCGCGGGCTGCCGGCTTGTGGAGCTCTGGGATGGAAACCTTTCCACTCGGTTCTCCCCAGCGGCAGCTCTGCACATCTCAGATCGCAGCGGCGCTTGTCTGCTGTGCGGCTGCCAGCTTGAGGAGGTCTCGGAGACCTCTGTGTTCCACCCGGTTTTACCCAGCGGTCAGCCCGGCGTATCTCTGACTCAGAAGCTCTGGTGTTGTGCACAGTTAACTCTGGTTGTAGCTAGGTAGCTACCTCCTGTAGCTTAGCTCCCACCTCCGCGTTAGCTTTGGGTTAGCCAGGGTTAGCTTCAGGTTAGCTTGTAGCTAGTTCGACCGGGTGTCGTCAGTTGATCCCAGCCTTACAGCCACACCCTCAGCTCCTCCTCTCTTCCCTTTTGTGGAATTGTCTGGGCTTGACGGAACCTGTGACACGGTCAAAATGGCGGTGGTGGCCACCTCCCATTTGGCCTCATAAACGTGATATTGGAGTTTATGGAAAGCAGATATTTATGTCGATGATATTGACATAACACCAGTGTACAAAGGTGCAGGGTTTAACCAACAGGAGAGGGACGGAGGGAGGGGATAAACAGCGAGTGCATCAGACGGCCCGGGCTGATGTTTTTGAGCAGAACTACGGGGAAAATTTGGCAGTTTAACGTCCTCATTATACAAAGTACACCCAGAACCCCACAGGTGAGACGAGACACTCATGCAGTCTCTTTCTGTGATATTTTAAATTTATTACCAAGCCTATAATTTATTTTACTCCATAATGGATATGATTGAAAGTAGTGAAGTACAATTCTTGAATAAACAACATAAAGTAAAAGTACAGACTTTTAAAAACGGCTTCAAAAGCATAAATACACAAAAACGCTACTCGATTACAGTATCGCGAGTAAATGCAATTCGTTACTTTCCACCTCTGCTAACCAGTTAACACTAAGAAGCTGTGTGTTAAAAGTGTTAAAACCTTCTTTTTTTTACAGAGAGTAACACCAACAAGCCAGACCCACAGTTAAACCTCTGCTTTATCCAGAGTTTGTTTGAAATGTGTTTGCAGATATAAACTCAGTCTCTGGTTGTTGTGTCTCACTGAGCTCTGTGCTCTGCTGCAGACCCGGCTCTCATCTATGACAAGTGTGTGGAAGGTGAGGAGGGCTTTGACGGGGCTCTGGATCTGTTTCCTCCTGGCTACAGCACCAAAGACTTGCAGCCTCAGCTCTCTGGTGAGAAAACATGTCTGTACAGCTATGATGATGTTAAGTATTTGTGAGTCAGATACAATAGATAAGTCTCCCACGCCTGTCTCCTGCATTAGCTTCTGATAGAAAACAGGCGGTGAAACTCTAGGATTGGAAAAGCCTGCAGATCTACGTCACACTGTTACTTAACATTCATGGACTCACCCATCTTGACTCACGACGAGGAAGGCGGTTGTTGTTTTTAACGTCCAGAAAACAACAGAGAACGCCTCTACTAGTAGAAGCTAACTGTTAGCGTTAGCAACTCCACCACACAGCAGAACTCCTTCAGATTTGTTTTATTTGTGGCGATAAAACATCAGTGTTGTGTGGCAAATTGGAGTCAGTGGTAGAGTCACTTTAATGTTAGCCAATCAGAAGAGAGATGTTGACATATCAGGAAATAAGACTCCAAATCCTGTCATCTGAAGCTACTTTCTGCTTTAGCAGAATTCTTAGTGCTGAAACAGGCCAAACAGAGCACCACCCACCCGTGAATTGAACGGTGTGTACACATTTCTCTTGTTTATCTTGATCTATAAGAAACTGAGCCACATGAGGGAATGCCAGACTCCTCCCACTGACACACCTCCATTTAAATAAACTGACAGATGCCAGCATGTCCTGCAGGTGTGATTCTTATCTCTGTGTGATCAGAAACCAGATTTATGAACACGAGGATGAAAAAACAATTTCAGGAACTTGAGTTGGAGATGCATGTAGCTGAAACAGAAACATTAAGGACCAAGGTTTTTTCAATACATCTGTAGTGGTCTCAAGTATAAATCTATGCCTTGTGAGTCGATCTTTGTGGGGGACAACGCTCTGATTCTCCTGTTTAATGAACAAGAAATGAGTGAGAGCAAAGGTGAGCAGAGGATGGCAGGAATTTTTTATTTCTTTTTCCTGTACGTTTTTTGATCCCTTGGACAATCTTTTCTCTGCATTTGACCCATCTTTACATTGGTAAAGAATTGTGTCACGCCTGGGGGGCAACTTGGGGTTCAGCAAGGATGCTTCAGCACATGGCCTGCTGGGACGGGTGATCGATCCCGTGACTTTTGGAACATGGGGCATCCGCTCTGCCCATACAATCAGTCTATTTGGAGTCCTATTTCCTGATATTTAGCCATCTCTCCTCTGATTGGCGAACAGCAGTACAACTCTTACGTTGACTGGTTGCTCTGCAACATTGATGTTTTATCTTCACTAATAACACAAGCCTGAAGGAGTTCTGCTGTGTGGTGGAATTGCTAATGCTAACGGTTAGCTTCTGCTAGCCGAGATGTTCTTTGCAGTTTCCTGGACTCTACAACAACAACCGTCCCCGTCGTGAGTAAAGACGTGTGAGTCCATGAGGTTACAGTGTGACGTAGATCTTAACTGCTTCTTATGACGCAAGCGTATCCCCGTCTATTAGGGATGAGTACCGAATTTGGTACTTTTTAAGGTACCGACCGAATTCCATAGTACCGACCGAGCACCGATTCACGTCATTTCAAACGGTGCCTCGTTTCGGTACCCGTCCTTCATAACGAGAACTTGCCAAGACAGCTGCGCATGCGCAAGAGCGTTATGTCGTTGCTCGCTGCGAGCCAGTTGTAAACAGAGCAGCACGGTAGAAAGAACGCACGCTAAAGCTTGGGTCCACTTCACTAAATGTGATGGATAACTGGGTGATGATGAAACCAGCGACAACAATCTAAGTGAGACATCCTCATCTGCTCCGGTAGGTAAATAAAATGTTTAAGATAACGTTAGCTTGATATGTTAGCTTCCGTTTCGCTAATGGTGCGTTCGCTTTCTCCTCGGAACCCCGAATCTCCCGACTAGAAGAACATGAACGCGCTCTAAAGTTTGGCTTCACTTTACTAAATGCAACGGGTAACTGGGTGAAGATGAAACCAGCAACAACGATCTAAGTGAGACATCCTCATCTTAATCTGCTCCGGTAGGTAAATATAATTATCTTGATATGTTAGCTTCCGTTTCGCTAATGGTGCGTTTGCTTTCTCCTCGGAACTCCGAATTCCCGACTAGAAGAACATGAACGTGCTCTAAAGTTTGGCTTCACTTTACTAAATGTGACGGGTAACTGGGTGAAGACGAAACCAGTGACAACGATCTAAGTGTGAGGCATCATCGTTTTAATCTGCTCCAGCAGTCAAATAAACTGTTTAAGATAACGTTAGCTTGATATGTTGGCTTCCATTGCCACCGTTGTTATCAGCTAATGGTGCGTTCGCTTTCTCCTCGGAAATTCTAACTTCCCAGTAGGAAAAGTCAAATGAAAAACGATGGCAAAAGGAATGAAGATACACAGTAAATTTAGTTCACAGTAAAGATGTTTGCTTCAGTTTAATTATCAGCTTATAAAACTACAAGGACAATGTTAAAATACAAACAGTTGAATGTTATTTATCGTGATATTTATCAAATATTGTTATATATTGAGAAAAATATATATTTAATTATAAAAGAGAATTAAAATAATAAACACCCCAAAGTATCGAAAATTGGTACAATTAAGTACCGGTATCGATTCCTAGGTACCGGGAATTAGTACCAAATCGATTCAAATGTCAAAGGTACCCATCCCTACTTTCAGCGGCTAAAGCAGGAAATTAGTGTAGAAAACGATTTTCACGTTAAGCTTGCCTGTTAAAACTTGGAGTGATTGATCATATTAAAAAAACAAACAAATATAAACTGTTTCTCAGTGTACTTGGTCTTTAAACACAGTTTGGTACGATGTGGTTAGAGTGAGCAGCATCAAAGCTGTAGTAGCAGCAGGTCATTCAAATCGGATCATATTATCACAACAAGTAGTTCTTTTATCAGAATCAGGTTTAAGGTGAGACTGGAACATTAAGCTCTGGTTCATTTACATGACTACAATAAATACAGACTCACTCTGGAGGGTGGAAGAAATCTGAGCCACTCTGACTTGAACTTAAAACTGGATGTCTGAAGTGACCTGTAGTGATGATTTTTGGAGGCACCCACACTAAAATCAACATGACAACATAAAACAGCAGATTATTAAATCAAATTGGTATGAGAAATAAAATAAAAAGGCATTTATTGGGATGAATCGGACCGCCTGCCGCTAAGCGCTCACCTCCATTGGGATTGTTTTAGAAACCTTAAAGCTGCTGATGATTTGGTCTCCATTGGTGGTTTTAAACAGGGGTCCACAGGGGCCTGGGCCCCTATAGAACCGGCCCTGGCCCCTATGCGCTGCCTCGGAGACGGGAACTAATGCGCTGCAGCGTTTTAAATGGAGCCTTTAGAGCGCAGCACACTCTGTGGACAGAACTGTTTACCTGGTGGATTTTTGAATAAAAGATTAAAAATGGTTTAAATGGGACCCAAAGAAATTCTTGAACGACTAACGGAAAAGACGCTAAGAGACGAAGGCAAGCAATACAGTTTATTTTCCTGACATCGATGAATTTCCTTTGGCAAAATTGTGCACAAGCACAAAATTAGTCTTATGGCGACGACAAAATAGAATTTTGATATTGCCCTAATTTTTCCTTTTTTTTTTCTTGCGCCCCCATGAAAAAATACTTGCCCCACTGTGGCCCCCCTGGAAAATTTGGCCTAGAACCGCCCCTGTTGGTCTCATGTGGGTCCAGAAACTCTTCTGGGACTCTGAACCCAGTAATAAGGCCAGAGCTGCTGTTGGATGTTCTGATCCACTTTGCTCATGCTTTACTACACTCTCATCTAACTCAACACCTGGGTGTAATAATGGTTCATCATGTGTGTCGGGTCTGAACAAGAACATTTTCACATCATGAACAGCAGCCACCAAGTGTCTCCAACAGACATAACTGTAGAAACACGAAGGAGTTGGTGTGGAGCGGAGAACATTTCTGTGATAGTTCATTATTAAAACATCGAAAGTTTAAGTAAAGAGCAGAGTCAAGTTTTTAGTCTATGCATGTTTCCTCCATGAGGTCCCTGGTGTTTGTGTCTGACGCTGTGATGCGATGGTTCTAGATTCAGAAGGGGGGCAGTGTAATGATTGTGCTTGCTGCTGCAGGTAAAATGCTAGTCCTGGATTACATTCTGGCAATGACTCGGTCCACTACCAGTGACAAGGTGGTGCTGGTCTCCAACTACACTCAAACTCTGGACCTCTTTGAAAAGTTGTGCAGAAACAGAAGGTAACCTTGATCCAGTCTGTGTATTTAAAGAACTTTTAGTTCAGATGAGCAGCATCCTTCCAATTTCTCTTTTCCAGGTACCTCTATGTTAGACTGGATGGAACAATGTCCATCAAGAAAAGAGCCAAAATTGTAGAAAGATTCAACAGTCCACATGTGAGAATGAAATCTAATTAGAAATGGCTGCTGTAGCCTTTAGAAGTCCTTTCTGATTACCGTTTGTTTCCCAGAACCCTGAGTTCATTTTCATGCTGAGCAGCAAAGCTGGAGGATGTGGTCTCAATCTGATTGGTGCAAATCGCCTGGTGATGTTTGATCCCGACTGGAATCCGGCCAATGACGAGCAGGCCATGGCTCGGGTGTGGAGAGACGGCCAGAAGAAGACCTGCTACATCTACAGGCTGCTCTCGGTCGGTCAAACACACGTCATTAAAAGCAGACAGTTATATTTTACATATTTTCCACCACTATGAATGAGCTCCGTGACCTGACATTAGGGTGGTGTAAACAGTCGTTCTGCAGAGGTTTGATGTGTTTCTTGTGCCAGACGGGGACCATTGAGGAGAAGATCCTGCAGAGGCAGGCCCATAAGAAAGCTCTGAGCAGCTGTGTGGTGGATGAGGAACAGGACGTGGAGCGTCACTTCTCTCTGGGAGAACTCCGAGAACTTTTTACTCTCAACGAAGAGACTACCAGTGACACACATGAGAAGTAGGAAACGTTTTTTGTTTTTAAAAAAATCCAATAATACTTCAGGAAAGAAAAAGGGTTTTGGTTTGAGCGGATTGCTGTTATGAAACCAGGTTATTTTATTCAACAGAGCTCTATTTAGGTGTTTCAGTGGTACAGGTGGGGATAATGTCATGATCATTCTGACGTCCAGGATAAATCTGAGGATATAACACAGGGGTGTCAAACTCACACGGGGCCGAAATGAAACTCTGGGACGGAGTCGAGGGGCAAACTTAATATTTTTTGAAAAAGTGACGGCAAATTTGCACATTTTCTTTATCAACATGCATGCAATTTTGAACCTTTAAATTTGGAAACAAACTTATTTCTGCGTTAACACTGAATGTGGAATAACCAAATTACACACGAGCAAGTCAGTTTTAAATGAAAGGCATCAGTGGTATTCATTACTTGTGGTATAATCAGCATTTTTAAAATCTTTTAAATCTTTTCTCACGGGCCAAAAACAAAATAAAATATCATTTTATCTTAAATGAAAATGCAACATCTCACCTGTTAACTTTCATGTTTTGGAGCAGAAAAAGAGCATAAAACCAACATATTTAAAGCTCAGTTTGCTCCACTGGTTTACTGTGATGCTCACCTGTTCCAGCCAGATACCTGCATCATGGGGTTGATCTGAGCTGAGGAGGAGACTCCTGTTGTTTTGTTCATCTTCATCATAATAACGACAACATTAGATGACAACAGGTGCTCACATAGGTTTGTGCTGATGAACGTGTCTGAGCAGCTTGACCACGTTGTTGTGTGTCGGGGAGGAAACACAACCACAGAGTCGTGCTGGTTTGAGCGTGTCGCTGCTCGCTGGAGTTATATCAGCTCTGTTCATGAAGTTAGTTGGAAAACTTTCTCTTTCAGTCGTGAACACATTACTGAGCGGCTAGAATCTCCGTTTCTGGGCTTCAACGTCAGAAAATAGCTGAGTGAACTCAGCGCTGAGTGAGAGGACTGTAGTTTGTCCGAGACAGCGGAGCTGCAGACACCGGCAGCAGACGCTGGAAAAAACACAAAGGAGGGGGCGCGTCGGCTCCGCGCTGACGCCGCAAAGCATCATGGGAGTTGAAGTCTTTGCGGTAAAATCGTCCAGCGGGCCAGTTTTAATATATTTTTGATATTTATCTTGCGGGCCACATAAAAATGCCTCGCGGGCCGCATCTGGCCCGCGGGCCTTGAGTCTGACATATGTGATATAACAGAATATGTTGATTTTCATTCATTATTTTTTGGGCAGTAATAGGAATATCCTATGAAATTTATTCTGTATTCTATTCATTCCATATTTATCCTAAAAAGTGTAATAAGTGAATAATGATTCAACAAATCAGTCGCCACAGAATTCAAGATGAAATGAATTTTATTTAACTTTCACAAATAAAACAAATCAGCAGTAGGTCTGTCAGCTGTAGTTTAAGGCTTTAAACGCCTTCAGCAGCACATCATTAGTCTTATCTGTTGGACCTGTCTCTTGTGTCGCTAGGTTTCGCTGTCGTCGCTGTGTGAATGCCAGAGAGGTACGGGCCCCTGCAGAAGATTCTGATTGTACCAGTGACCTTTCCCAGTGGAACCACAGCTTTGACAAAAAGGGCCTGAAGGACCAAGTACTGAAGGCGTCCTGGGATGCTGCTGTCTCCTTCGTCTTTCACCAGCGCTCTCACGAGGACCGGCGGATGGTGGTGTAGCAGCAGGAGCCCAAATGGCTGTATAGCTATATCTTCTTTGTATACCTTTATTTATGTCTGTAAATATAGAAGCTTTTGTTTGTTTAAATAAAATTGGAAGAAAAAAAAAAAAACGTTTTATCTGCCCAGAGACTTTGTGTAAATACTTGTAGGAAGCTGCTGTTTTGAGGGTCGGGAGATCCGTCCGTTCCCTCCTCTCCAGCTTCAAAACCAAATATTATCTCATTGAGCTGTTCTCCCCGTCATCTATCACCTTCTGTTACTTGTAGTGTGTCTTAATTCTCACTTTTACACATGCAGACATAAATTAGTGCTTTTGTATTTACTCTTTGAAAAGGGACCACTCCACTAAGCTTTCCACCAGCTTCCTGTTCTCCATCTCTAACAGCAGTTTGTCTCTCGTCGCCACTGAGCCATGCTGAAAGCTGGATGGTGTTGGAGCATTATATAATTACCGGCTTTCTATTAAGCTGGCAGGGATAACCGTGACAACCACTGGACCAGATGTGGCCAAGGTGTAAACCAGGGGTCACCGAGTCAAGACCTCGAGGGCTACCGTCCTCGCTCCAACATAGCTGATTTTAAAAAATGACTACCAGACTTATGGTGGTAAGAAGGATTAGTCATTGGTTTCAGGTGTGTTTGAAAAGGTCAAACTGGTAGTCTGTGATGACTGGAGTTGGTGACCCCGTTATAAAGTAAAACGGAACCATTACAAGCTGATACTGATTCATCACCATCTTGCCCCACACATTGAGCCGTAACAGGGGATTTTCTACTTTATTGTGGGCCTGCTAGAAAAGGAGGGGAAATGCAGGAAGCTTTGGATGTTTTTTTCCAACAGAAAAGGTCAGTAATCGTTTGTTCCTAATCGTTGGACAGCTAGTGATGTGTCGGTTGCAAACGAGCCGGCTCTTTGAAGTGAACGACGGGAGCCGGCTCGTCATTGGCAGCCCCCCCCCCCCCCCCCCCCCCCCGCCTTGGTGAAAGCTACAGGCGATTGGTCAACATGTGTAACTGTGTGTCCAGACTGTCCACGCACAGAGCAGTAGGGGCGGGGAAGAGGGAGGATCATACTCAGACAGACACACAGCAGAGCACATGCGGGTGGAGGGAGACGAGAGGGAATGAGGAGGAGGAAAAAGCCGAGCGAGAGAGAGGAGAGTGCGATGAAGACGGTGAGAAAATGAGCGCTAGCAGTCAGAAAGTGGAGATTTCTTAAAGTGTTCCGTTATTAAATCCATAGAAATGATAAATATTTGATATATAGCTTTTTTTTACATTAGTAAATTATTTTACATATAGTTTAGCATTATTTTGGTTATAAATGTACTCTACGCAACAGAAAATCTGAGGAGCCACTTGGGAGCCAAAAGAACCGGCTCTCTAGAAAGAGCCGGAATTCCCATCACTATGGACAGCACCGTGCACTCCGGTCCAGTAGGTGGCGATGACGCACCTTTACATTGGTTCTCAGTGGGAGGCTGGTAGACAGCAACATTAAATCGACTTCATTAGGCTTGATTCCGACCGGTACCGGTTAAGATGCCGGTGTCAGAGACGGATGGGAGCCTGAGGGAGCGATGTTTCCAGGCTGTCGGGAGGCATTTCGCCGCTTTGGGGACAGAGGCGGTTCTCGGTAAGAGCACCGTAGGCTAACGGCTCTTGTGTCGTTGGTATTGAGCGCGTTTCTCACCTAGCTGCCGTGTTTCTCCAGCTCTTCCGTCACGTCTCATCTCGGACCTCCTGCCCTACCTGACCGTGTGTCAGCTGGACCAGGTGCAGCCGGTCCTGAACCGGAGAGGTACGGTCCGTCCACACGAACGGTCTCCGAGCTGGGAAAGTCTCGTTCACCGTCAAGTGTTTTGTGTTTTAGGGATTTCCACCTTCCCTGGTTGGTTTAAGATCTTGCAAGATTTGTCCGGCTTCACTACGGTAGGTTTGACCCCTTTTCAGTCTCATAAATCAGCAGGATGTGTTTCTAACTCTGCTGTTGCGTTTCAGGCACTAAAGTTCAACACAGAAGAAAAGGCGAAGCAGGAAGTGATGAGATTTCTTTTTATACTCGTGTTTTATGGCTTTAGAAACCGCTACATCACGAGACACGGCACACATTTGAAGAGCAGGTCTTTCTTGTTGGCTGCTGCTAGTTGCATCGAAGAGGTTTTAGTCCTGGATATTACCAACAGGTGCCTTAATTCTTTAACTTGCGATCAGAGAGCTCTTATAACTCTGTTGGAGAAGAATGTTAGGAGGGTCGGTTGCTCTTTGGCGGACCTGGCAGGGACAGAGGCACCGGCTGTACTGTACACCCTCCATCGGCTGTTCGACCATGGGGCAGCTACAAAGCTTTGCATGAATATGGACTCTCCCACTGTGCTGGCCTGGCTCCTACATGGACGGGGAACCCAGTATGTCAACCCAAAGATGAAGAAGCCAAACCAGATCTGTTGCACTTCAGAAACATCTTCAGCCAATGAACAAGTAGCCAGTCTCCATCCTCATACAGAGGCTTCAGATGCTGAAGAGGATCACCGTACTCCAAGCAAACGCCCCAGGTTGGACAACATGGTACTGGGGGATTCTGGAGACTTGGTCTTTACTGTGGATCCACGTGTTCTCTGTCAGACCTTTGGTTGCTCTGCTGCTCCTTCAGCTGAAGTCTGTTCCAGGGGTCAGATTGAATGTCTGGAGATCAGATCTTGTACACCTGATTCCCTCAAAGTCCTGAGTCCAGCTCTACCCACATTTTTCTGCCTTCGCTCTCTAACTCTTCTGAACTCCTGTAAGTTTATTTCTGATTGATCTTTGGGGCAGCTCAAGGGCTCACACAAACCCATTTCAACAGTCTGAATCTTTGTCCTTCGCAGCTTTAGATACGAACCAGGAGCTTTTCTCTGCTGATGTGAGAATTTTAAAAAATAATTTCATTTTTCAGGGGGAACACCCTCATCCCCAGCCACCACCACCCCAACAAAACAAGCAAAAAAACAAACAAACAAAAAAAAAACAACAAACGAATAAAGTGGCTGTGGTGACCTATGACCCCTATAGGGTCGATGTATTACCCTGGTTCTGAATCTGTCTGACAGGAATGATTGCAAGGCCCTCCTGAGTCAGATGTGTTGGATAGGAAGCGTTCTCAAAAAGAGTCAGACTGATACTTCTTATTACATTTTAGAGGGAAGTCTGGGTCAAGAAGTGGTCCAGTGAAGGAAATCTGGTACTGTTTATAAAAAAAATATGCTCCACGTTTCCAAACATTGCTTTTAACAAGCATGTGTGCCCTTTTAAATTTAGTTTCTTCAAGGCCTCTAATCTTGCATGCACTGCAGCTAAAGTTGCTCCAGAATTATTTAGTCTTCCTAACTCAGTAGACCTCAGACTAGTCCATCATTGTAGGTTTAGATGGGTTAGTCTGTAGTAGAGCTGCTGAAGACCAGAGTAAAATTTAAACATTAGTGATCATTGCAGTGATGAGTCCTCTTTGAGTTCAGCCATCACAACTTTGTAATGTTTCTGTGCGTTTCATCATTTTATCATTGGAACCAGGTGTGAACGGAGGACAGAACGAGGCCATCAGATCCATGATGCGGATGCAGCTCTCTCTGACTATACTGTATGGTTCATAGAAGTCCATGCAGCTTTTTGCGAGGTTGATAGTGATGAATTTGTGGTATAGGCAGCCTAAGATCATAGGAATTGACTGGATTTAAGGTTCCAGATCATGCTATTTTAAACCTACGAGGGCAAAGGTAGGCACAATATACAATATACTACCATCGGCACTATTGAGATGTTAGTTTATCTTGAGTTATTTTCATCAGCTTGAATGTATACCTGGAAATGAAACCATTCGTTTCAGTGTAGCTCTGCCCACACCTGCATTAACAAAATCACACATACGTCAGCATCTTAGGCGAGCCTGTTGTTGTTGTATTGTCCTTGGTAGTCCAATTGTTAAAGAGTTGGCCTTTCGTCTTGTTTTGTCATCTGCTGACGCCAGTTCAACTCCTGATGTCGGCAGTAATTTATTTAGCCAGCTGAAGCAGATTTCATGTTTTCATATTTTCATATTTGTTTTGTTTTGTTCCTTCTCATTATTTTCTGAAATGTACTGATAAACATTAGACTTTCATATATATTAGATTCATTACACACAACTAAAGGAATGACGATGACAATGTGGAATGACCTTCCAAGCACTACCAGAACTGCGGCGTCCTTTTCAATTTTCAAGAAACTCCTGAAGACCCATCTTCTAAACTAGCACCCTCCCTGCACCCGTCCCCCCTCTCTACCGTCCACTCCTTTGTTCCCTCCTCTCCATGACTGATGTCAAGTTGTTGTTATTGTTGTTGTTAGCCTCAAGGGCAACATGCCAATTATCACTTGTAAGTTGCTTTGGACAAAGCGTCTGCTAAATACATAAACAAACATAAACATAAGTAGTTCAAGCCTTTTATTGTTTCTAATATTGGTGATTTTGGCGTACAGCTCATGAAAACCCAAAATTCCTATCAAAAAATTAGCATATTTCTTCTGACCAATGAAAGAAAAGTGTTTAATACAAAAAAAAAGTCAACCTTCAAATAATTATGTTCAGTTATGCACTCAACACTTGGTCGGGAATCTTTTTGCAGAAATGACTGCTTCAATGCAGCGTGGCATGGAGGCAATCAGCCTTTGGGTGTGAGGTGTTATGGAGGCCCAGGATGCTTCGATAGCGGCCTTAAGCTCATCCAGAGTGTTGGGTCTTGCGTCTCTCAACTTTCTCTTCACAATATCCCACAGGTTCTCTATGGGGTTTAGGTCAGGAGAGTTGGCAGGCCAACTGAGCACAGTAATACCATGGTCAGTAAACCATTTACCAGTGGTGTTGGCACTGTGAGCAGGTGCCAGGTCGTGCTGAAAAATGAAATCTTCATCTCCATAAAGCTTTTCAGCAGACGGAAGCATGAAGTGCTCCAAAATCTCCTGATAGCTAGCTGCATTGACCCTGCCCTTGATAAAACCCAGTGGACCAACACCAGCAGCTGACATGGCACCCCAGACCATCACTGACTGTGGGTACTTGACACTGGACTTCAGGCATTTTGGCATTTCCCTCTGCCCAGTCTTCCTCCAGACTCTGGCACCTTTATTTCCGAATGACTTGCAAAATTTGCTTTCCTCCAAAAAAGTACCTTGGATCACTGAGCAACAGTCCAGTGCTGCTTCTCTGTAGCCCAAGTCAGGCGCTTCTGCCGCTGTTTCTGGTTCAAAAGTGGCTTGACCTGGGAATGCAGCACCTGTAGCCCATTTCCTGTACACGTTGGCTCTGGATGTTTCTACTCCAGATTCAGTCCACTGCTTCCGCAGGTCCCCCAAGGTCTGGAATCGGTCCTTCTCCACAATCTTCCTCAGGGTCCAGTCACCTCTTCTCATTGTGCAGCGTTTCCTTCCCACAGACTTCCCACTGAGGTGCCTTGATACAGCACTCTGGGAACAGCCTATTTGTTCAGAAATTTCTTTCTGTGTCTTACCCTCTTGCTTGAGGGTGTCAATGATGGGCTTCTGGACAGCAGTCAGGTCGGCAGTCTTACCCATGATTGCAGTTTTGAGTAATGAACCAGGCTGGGAGTTTTTAAAAGCCTCTGGAATCTTTTGCAGGTGTTTAGAGTTAATTAGTTGATTCAGATGATTAGGTTAATAGCTCGTTTAGAGAACCTTTTCATGATATGCAAATTTTTTGAGATAGGAATTTTTGGTTTTCATGAGCTGTATGCCAAAATCATCAATATTAGAAGCAATAAAAGGCTCGAACTACTTCAGTTGTGTGTAATGAATCTAATATATATGAAAGTCTAATGTTCAGTTTCACTTTTATGTATAATTGGGTGTGTGTTTTTTATTAGCATTTCTATTACTCATAATCTAGTTAAAGCATATCTTATCAATCAATCAAAATCATTATAAATGACACTAGAATAGGCACAAGTCTTATGGAGGACTTATTTACTAACTTGGGTCAGACACAGACAAGGAAGTGCTGAAGCTGGGTGAAGACACTTGTAAAATTTAATGATGAATTTTTGATCTGACTTCTGAGCAGTGAACAGGTAAGTGGACATTCTTCACATGGGAAGTCCCACTTTCACCAACTGCAGACCTGCAGCTATATATCATTTTTTTGGCCCTAAAGTCTATGCCACCCTATGCCTGCAACTAAGAGAAAGTGGGCATTAGTGACCTACTTCCAGGGGAGGTGGGTTTCAGGTCCCAAGACCAGCTTCAGGGGGAGGAGCAGGGCCTGACGATGCACTTTGTTTGCATTGAGGCTTCTGCAGGCTTTTCAAAATAAAACTCAAAATTAGCTGTTTAGACAGGAAAGTGCATGAATATAGCCAAAAAGGTTGGGGGGGGGGTATTTTTCACGAGGATAACATTACATGGTAAAAATATGTTGAAATGTAGATTTTCTTGGATAGGACCCCTAAAGAACTGATCAGGTTGGGCCTGTTTTTGGCTGCAATGGGAGAATGTTTGTTTTCCCCTTCAGATGTTGATATGGTGGTGATGTTGACGTTTGAAAGGGGATGGCTTAAAATTAAATACAGTGGTTACCAGCCACCAATTGCGGAAGTTGTCCCACTTAAAAAGACGAGAAATCTGTAATTTTCATATACAATCCAGGAGATTCCATTGTATGATTTTTAAAGAATCTATTTGTAAAATGGTGCAGAAAATAAGTGTTTAATACATACAAACAAGCAAGAATTCTGACCCTCACACACCTGTTATTTCTTCTTGAAGAAGCTCTTGTAACCTCTACTCATTACCTGCATTAATAGCACCTGTTTGAGTTTGTTATATAAGACACCTGCCCACACATTTAAACAGTCAGACTCCCAACAGGAAAGCAGCTCAATGAGAAGGAATCAACTGTTGAAATGATATAAAAAAATTGCATAAGTACAAGATCAATGATAATCTCCCCTCAAACTGGGGCTCCATGTAAGATCTGACATGTTGGGGTTAAAATGATCTTGAGAAGTGTGAAGAAACTGCCCAGAACTACATGGTGGTGGTGGGGCAGTAAGGTTACTTCTGGTATCACACTAAGTCATCATGGATTAAAATCTTGCAGTGCTCAAAGTCCCCCTGCTTAAGCCAGCTCATCTAAAATGTGTAATGCAATGTGGTCCGGTGAGATCAAAATAAAACTCTTTGGTATAAATGGGTTTTGGCACAGGAGTTAAGTGCTTGCCCCTAATCAGAAGGGTACAGGTTTGAGCCCCGCTCAGTCTGCTGCTGTCATTTGTGTCCTTGGGCAAGACATTTAACCCACCTTGCCTGCTGGTGGTGGTCGGAGGGACCGGTGGTGCCAGTGTTAAGCCGGGCGTACACTGTGCGACTTTTTCACTCGTAGCACTCAGCTTCAGCTCAAACTGTACGACTTCCTCGCAGAGCAGATCTCACGAGTCATGCGCTCACACTGCACGACCCAGTTCTCGGATGCGACCTGACTGCTCACACTGTACGTCTGGTAGCAACACATCGGCCCTAAAAATATGCTAAAAATAGCTGTTTTTACACAACACGTAATTTGCCTGTTGTCCTTCGGGAGTGCTGCAGGAGGACACACAGGGAATTATGGGGGTTGGATGAGAAAAACGAAATAAAGAAAGTAAATCTGTGTTTTGTGATCAGTTTAATCTGACATGAACACAACAAACACGGTTTCTTGACAATCTTTGTGAGTAAAAAAACGTGTAGAAATAGTGGGCGAGTGGTCTTGATGCATGATTGCGCATGCGCCGTGAGCGGTTCTGATACATTTTGGGCTGCAGCTGCTCGCAGCGCCGCTTCAACAGTGCGATACCCTCACGAGGGATGAGCGAAATATTAAACACGCCAGAAGTCCGTGCAAGCTCACGATTGCTGATCGGTAGCTGGTCACATGGTGTTAATCGCCTCTCGTAACCCCCCTGTACACTACACGACGCTCGGCGCAAAACTCGCCCCGATCTCGTGGATTCTCGCACGAGTGTAAAATCGGCTCAAAAAAGTGAAAAAGTCGCACAGTGGACGCCCGGCTTTAGACAGACTGGTCTTTGTCAGTGCGCCCCAGGGCAGCTGTGGCTACAATGTAGCTCATTACCACCAGGGTGTGGATGGGTGAATGACTATGTTGTGAAGCGCCTTGGGGGGTTCCAGGACTCTACCGCTATCTCAAATACAGGCCATTTATCATTTAAATAGGGGGAAGAATTCTGAGTTGCATCCCTAGAACACCAAACCCACTGTAAACATGGGGTGGAAATGTTAGGCTTTGGGGCAGCTTTTCTTCTAAGGGAGCAGGACGACTGATTAAGGAAAGTATGAATGGGGCCATCATGTATTGTGAGATTTTGGGCAAAGCCTTCTATCCATGAAAGCACCTAAGATTAGGCATAGCTAGAGCTGCCAGCATGACAATGATCCCAAACACACACCCCAGACATGGGAGTACTACGTAAAAAGCAGACATAACATACAATGTGATTTTCCTGGATTTTTTTTACATCCTGTCTCTCTTAGTTGAAACAAACCTATAATGAAAGTTACAGGCCTCTTTACAGGGGGCAACTTGTACAATTGATGGCTACTAAATATTTGTTGGCCCACTGTATTTGGTAATAATGCAACGGATCTGTCATTTATTCTAGAGAACACCTCTGAACTAGCCTGGCAAGCCAGACTAAATAAATGTATTATTTAGAGAGTTGTGATTGGCTAGCCAGAGTCCTGGTAGGAGCTGCAGAGGTTCCAATGGAGCATGCTCAGACCAATCTTTGCAAAGCAAGAATTTGGTCTAGTTCACTAGGCTACCTCTGAACGGCCTTATTGTGAAAGTTAATTTTCATCAATGATCCATTTACAGCTATATTAAAAGAGAATGATGTGTTGGATGTGGCGGCAGCCCTGAAGAAGCTCTCTGACAGCTCCTGCAGCAGCCTTACTGAGCTGAGCATCGGTGTCCTGCCATCCATCGAGCTAATGATTAATATAGTGGAATCCTTCCCCAGACTGACGTCCCTCAGCGTGGAGATCCAAAAGGCCTTCTGGCTACCACCAGACATCTTTCATCCTCCCTTGTCTGCTGAGTCAGGTGATGTGAAATAAAAGGAAAGCGTGAGATTCAAACTCACATTTCCTCCTTTGAGCGACCTACCTCATTTCCCTCTTGAATTGATTGAAAAGAGAAATTTTGTAAATATTTGAAATTCATCTTGTTTATTTCTGTTTATGACAGCAAGTCATTACTATAGTAGAATTTTAAAGTAGGAAGATGCTTTTGGGAACAAAATCATGTAGATAAACCTTGACTAATGCTATATTCTTTTCATTAAAAAAAATTAGGTAACGCTTCCTTTTACAGTCCCCTAATTACTAAGTACTTACATGGTAATTACATAGTAAGTTAAAGTGTATTGTTGTTTCAGAGTTTTTAAGCGGTTATTACCATGTAACTGAGGTTCAATTCTGGTTTTTGTTTTATTAATCATTCCCAGTAAATAATGTTTTGCACAATAATTACACTTTTTTACAATTATACACTTTAGTTACACAATAAAACACTTTGACTTACTATGTAATTACCATGTAAGTACTTAGTAATTAGGGCACTGTAAAAGGAAGCATTACCAAAAATTACAATCCATTAAAACGTGACAGAAAATGTAACAAAGTGATTAAGGACCGAATTAGTAAAGTTGGTTAATGAAAGTGAACCTGGTTTGTTTTGTTTTGAGCAGAGCTGCCTTTGGAGAAGCTAACAGTCAAGATAAGTGACGACCAGACAGATGTCCGCTTCATCACGTCTCTGTTGAGTCGCTCCCCACATCTCACCGTGCTTCACGTAGTTGGATTGAGACCTACTGGTTCCACTCAAAGACAGCTCCTCTCTGCGATCTCAGGTAAGATCCCCTGCCTTAAACTGGGTCTGTGGCTTATGAACCATGCAAACATAAACATTACCAGTGGACCAAATTATACTCATGAAATGAACTAGTGATTCACCGATATGAAATTTTTGCGCCGATACCGATATCCTATATTAATATCACTGTTATGGCAGATAACTGATGTTTGCCGATACCGATATACTATGCTTCTAAAATCCGCAGATTTTGTGTAGAATGAAAATGATTAAAGCTGAATTTACGTTATTATTTACACACACCACACACATTTATGCTTCTGAGATTATTACAATCACTGTCACATGACTAAACAAATACACACCTTCAGCCCGGTTTAATTGATCGGGCCGATACTGATATGTTAAAAAATGACTAATATCGGCCAATACTGATTATAATGCCAATATATTGTGCATCTCTGAAATTAACCGTTATAAAGGCCACATTCTACATATATTTTCTCATTTGTGTACCTGAAATTTAACATTCAGACTTTAGTTTTGGGAGAAACTGCAGAATTTACTACAAATTAACTGGTTTCAGTTTATTTTTATGGCATTAATTCAGAGCAAACATCATCTTATCCTAGGAGCTCTTGTTATTTACAGGAAAGACAACTAAAGTTATCCTTAAAGATTTTCTAATACAACACAGTCTGATTATTAGGGTTTGTAAATTTAAACACTTTTATTTTTTAACAAAGTGTTAAATGATCACATCATGGGTACTTTTCAGAGTCAAATCGCCACTTACGGTTCCTCGACTTTGAGGACATGAAACTGTGTGGCTGTCTCCCTGAGATCCTAAACCTACTGAGAGCCTGCAAGCTGGAAGGTAAAACACTTGAAGAAAAGCAATTTAGCTGCAATTTGTTTAGAAAATGTAGAGAAAGTTGACTTCTTTGCCATTTCCTATTCATTTTTAAACCAGATAACGTTTTAGTCTGTGGAGTCCAGACAGAGTCAGCAGGTAGCTGTGAGGACACGACTGTCTTGTGCTAACTGAATGCTTGGAGTTTGTGTCTTCCTGCTCTGAATCCTGTCTCAGCTGAACTCTTTTCCTTAGAGCTGCGGCTGGGTGACTGTCGTCTTCTTGAGAACTGCGTTAACCAAGAAGAGAGTGTGCAGCAACTGGTGGCTGCTTTGAAGATGGTGCCTTCTCTCTGCAAACTAAGTCTGGCACAAAATCGCCTTTGTAAGCTGTTTTCATCTTCATCTTTCACTATCCAAACTACTTCTGGACAATGGACACGGGCTAACCCAGTTGACATGTCCTCCTTAGGTCCTTCATGATGTTTTTTGTCTGAGCTTCGATCATTTTTAGAAGACTTGTTTGTAATTAACCATGAAAATTGATCTAATGGTGACTTCGGATCCATTATCATCTTATTAGACATCTATTAGATCCCAGGTATCTGGTATCTAGAACCCTGGACCTAAAGATGGTGGACTTGATGTTGGGGTTTGTTCTCCACTCTGCGACTATGAGAAACCATAGTTCAGGTTATATTAACAGGATTCAAATATAAACTGTAGATCTAGATTTTATCGTAGCGTCATGTTAAATGATGACCCGCACTTGTATAGCACCTCTCAGAGTAAGGACTCCAAAGCGCTTTACACTACAGTGTATCATTCATCCATTCACACACTCATTCACACACTGATGGTGATGAGCTACGATGTAGCCACAGCTGCCCTGGGGCGCACTGACAGAGGCGAGGCTGCCGAGCACAGGCGCCACCGGTCCATCCGACCACCACCAGCAGGCAAAGGGGGTTAAGTGTCTTGCCCAAGGACACAACAGCAGAATTCTGTCCGGAGCCGGGATCGAACCTGCAACCTTCCGATTACTGGACAACCCGCTCAACCTGCTGAGCTACTGCTGCCCCAAAAAAGAGCACATTGCTGGTTAGAGCCTCCTTCGAGCAGTGTTTAGAGAAACATAGCAGGAACTCGTTCAAAAAATGTGCACATACACACATATAATTTAGGCTTTGGAAGTCATTTTTGTGTGAAAAATGTTTTTTCTTTCAAACCAGATGTGACCTGCTGGCTTGATCCAGAGGAAACTTTAAATGTTTATAATTATACTAATGATGGACCACAACCATCCAGTTATGAGCCTGCTGCTTGCCCCAGAGAACCGAGACAAGCCAGAGAGAGAAACGATGGCCAAAGAGAGATTTAGCTACTGTGTCAGGAGGTTCTGTGGAGCGAGCAGGTGTCTCAGTGAGTGAACGATGCTAGCTAGCTAGCCAGCTTAAGCTTGTGTCAAGTCAAGTTTTCTTTATGCCGGACTCTTAGTCCATTTCACAGAAGTAAAAAAAAAAACATTGTACAAATAAAATGAAATGAGCACAATATGATACTCAGACAAAGTAATCATGAGAACAAGAGATGATAACGTAGTGTGAAAATAAAGTATAAATTATTATAACTGTCTGTAATCTAAAAAAGAAGACTGTTATGATAATTTCTACATCTTTGACTGGTAACGTCTTGCATTGACACAGGTACTGGTTAGATTTAAAACAATCACGTTTTAAGAATTGTTCAGCCTACAACCTCAACAACTGCGCTAACATCACAATATCGCACAAATTACTGTCATGTACCAGAAAATTCAAATATTATTGGTCATTATGAATAATATTGATTCTTAACAATAATAAACTAATGAGCGTCTGTCAGCTGTTTCATACTCGTTAATATCCGTTCACGTAACGTAGTGTAGAGTTAGCATACGTATGTATTTTGGGTGCTTTACACTACATTTGACCAATAAGATGTGAATTTCTATATAAATATGGAAATCCAATCTGATTGGTCTTTGAATGTTTAACCAGAAGAATTAGAATTCTTTGTTTATTCAGGGATCATAAGACACTTCGTATTAATTCAGACAGAGTCAAGTTTATAAAAAGTAAGAAATTTATTTTCTAAACAATTAAAAACATGACAATTAGGAAACACTATGTGATGAATGAATCTAAGTGGATGGAATGTGAGGTGTGGTGATGTGTGAGTGTGATGTTATCAGAACCCTCGTATCTGGAGAAACTGAGTTTTGAGTGGGAGTGAATTTAGTCTGCTGTAAACTATAAGTGATGGTTTATAAATCCACATCAGACACAATCTGTCATGTCTACATACCCTCTCAAAGACCCTCGTGGTAGACCCGGAATGTGTTGAAGTCATTGGACCCCAAAGGCACCGAAGTCCGTAGAAGAAACCGCAGTGCCACTAGACCGGTCTTAGAGTTGTCTCCGGGTCACAACAGGTAGTTATTTGTGTCTATGGAAGGGCTCTTAAGGAGTCGGAGTTGGTTAGCTTTATTCTGAAGGAACCGTTTGCGATCAGCTGTAGCGTGCAATGGGTTTTGACAGCTTGTCAAAAGATGAGATGGGAGAAGAGTTTTCCTCCGGTGGCCAGTCCAGAGTTAGGCTCAACCGACTCACTAGGAAGTGAGTTCTGTTTTAGTAATTGCCGTGTTTTGACTTGCTGACAAATCACAATCTTACATGTAAAGGGGTTTTGCCAACAAACCTCAGAAACCACACCTCGCATAGATACAGGAGCTCTGATTTGTGGAACAGAAAGCAATGTGTCATGAGATTAGTTCAACCTTGTCATCGTCATGTGTGTGAGTGTGTGAGCTGTCAGTAGATAGTGATACACTTGTTAAATCAAACTTTACTGATCATAACATAATAATATTCATTTCAACTTCAGTAATTTAAGCACAGATTAATCAAAACATTGTTATTATTCTTCAGCCATTAGCCATTATTATTCATTCAACCATATGATTGTTTACGTATTTCATTGCAGCATCCAGTATTCCTTATTATAATGGTTCATTCTTATAAAAGTTCATTCTTCTTGTTCTGTGAAGCAAAGCAGATAAAGATAAGAGGAAACTTGAGAGGGACCTTGGTCCAGCAACTGTATCTTTCTTGCAGATTAAAGGTTCCAGTTAAGACTTTTGACCCCATATGACCGGATACTGAAGAGGTCACACTGTAGGTGAAAAACTGACCATTTTTGGACGCTACAGTAGCTTAGCTCTTAGAGAGAAGGAAAGACACCCGTCATCTTGTTCAGGGCAGGTAGTTCCGACCTGGGTCCGCTCTAGAAATCGGCTTCCCTGGCCTGCTAGGGAGTTTTAAAAGCTCCCCATCCTCTTCTGGACCTCATCGTGGACCTCCCTGACCTGGTTCTGACGGTGATCCGGGCTCTAGGAGCCTTCAGGTGTTTTTCAAAACTCCGCCATGGGGAGGATGGTAGGCCTGTTGAACTCCCATCACATCACTGGGATAGTAATCATCCGGTCTGAAGTGCACACCACGAAATGACCTTCTTTTCAGCAACACAAAACACACCAGGCATGGAAGATCGTGCCTTTCATTCTCTTATTTGGAAACTCATGGACTCGATGTCCAGACATGCTGGAGTTTGTACAGCCACTACACAATAGTTTACCATTTTTAAGAAAAATGGAAGCAATGCAAACCTAGTGAACACACACTGACTCGATAACATGACCTCTCTACCTTAAAATTACCTACTTGCCACACTGAGCTTCAGGCAGGACTAGCTTATAACTCCCCCTCGTTACATCAGAGGTTAAGAAATCCACAATAAGCGTTTCAAATAGTATTTTTTGGACAGCATTTTATATAAAATCAAAATACAATTTAACCTGCAATTTGCTCTTTAACATTACTCGTGGTCAGCCAAGTCCACAGCAGCCAGACACAAGTTTCTTGATTTAAAGGTTGAATATGGAACATGGCCACTCTGGCGATATCTAGTGTTTAGAGGTGGTAGTGCAACAACAGCAAACATTTTCCGGTTGGGGTGTTTATTCACTGCTGACAAGTTAAGTAACCAGTCAGCACCATGTCCCGTGACAAATCATACAGGGTAAGAACTAATTTCCACTAATATTATTAATTATATGGATTTTAGCCAACACGTCACACAGCCAACTCACAACCGGGGCACACCCTAGATTTGGTCATCACGCATAGCCTGTCTACCCGTGTGCTCTCTGTTGTTGATTTGGCTGTCTCTGACCACTATTGCGTGTTTTTTAAAATCACCGGTTTCACCCAGCGGGAGACCTCTGTGAGAACTGTCAGGAAACGTCATCTAACGCCTGAAGTGGCTACAGGTTTTATTGATACCTTAGAAAAGATACCTCCTATTGCTTTACCTGCTCCCTGTGATTTTATAGTGAACAATTTTAACAGCAGGCTTCAGTCCACCCTTGACCGTATGGCCCTACAACAATTTAAAAAGATACAGCCTAGACTTACATTCCCATGGAGAAACAAAGCTCTCAGAACACAAAAGAGGAACTGCAGGGTGGCAGAGAGAAAATGGAGAAAAAACTAAATCACTATAAACTATCAGATATACAGAGAAACTCTTAAGTCGTACAACAACGCAGTAAGGAACTAAAGTATGCATACTTCTCCAAAATCATCTCATAAAATAAAAAGAATCCATAAATCCTGTTTACCACTATCAATAAAGTTTTTAACAAAAACGCTGATGCATCTCAGGAAACACCGTCAAACTCTCTCTGTGAGGAGTTTGCAGACACCTTCAGAGGGAAGGTACACACAATCAGATGCAACATTTTATCCTCTCACAGTGACATGGTTTTATCGAAATCTGAGTGTGTACCTTTACCAGAGGAAACACTAGATAGTTTTGTCCTGGTTGAGGCTGAAACTCTAGATAAAGTTTTCTCTTCAGTAAGGCCCACCACATGTCTTTTAGATCCAGTTCCTACTTAGTTTTTTAAGCCATTTTGTGAATATTTTAGAGATGAGATTTTAACCACGATGAACTGTTCTCTTCAAACAGGGGTCTTTCCTGCTGCCTTTAAACGGGCAGTGGTGAGGCCCCTGTTGAAGAAGAGAAACTTAGATTTTAGTGATTTTAACAACTTCAGACCGATATCTAACTTACCATTCTTAAGTAAAAATTTAGAAAAGCTTGTTTTAATACAGCTTAATGATTTTATTATTGCACATAATGTCCTAGAGAAATTTCAGTCTGGTTTTAGAGTAAACCACAGCACTGAGACGGCCCTGTTAAGAGTTTTGAATGACGTAAGAATAAATTATGATGCAGAGAAAGTGACGGTTCTGGTTCTACTGGATTTAAGCGCTGCCTTTGACACAGTGGACCACAACATTCTTTTAAACCAGTTAAAACACATCAGCATCTCTGGTGCTGTCCATAAATGGTTTACTTCGTATCTCACAGACAGGACTTTTATGGTAAGTCTAGATACCTTCTGTTCTAAGACCCGTGAGATTACTTGTGGTGTGCCCCAGGGTTCGATTTTAGGCCCAGTGCTTTTTAATCTTCCACTTGGTGGTGTCGTCGGGCGACACGAGTGCAATTTCACAGTTATGCAGATGATACACAGTTGTGCATCTTTATGTCTCCTGATGACGCACAACCATTGGATGCCCTTTTTAATTGTATTTCGGATATTGAATCCTGGATGTCAGAAAACTTTCTCCAGCTTAACCGGGACAAAACCGAAGTTTTAGTCATCGTTCCTGAGACCTAGAGAGAGAAACCTTTTCCAAAGCTACAGTCACTAACTATTAATTCGTCTTCTCAAGTGAAGAACCTGGGTGTTATTTTTGACTCTGAGCTAACTTTTATTCCCCACATTAAGAATATTGCAAAAATTGGTTTTTATCACCTGGAAAACATCGCCAGAGTCCGCCCCTTTCTCTCTCTGGCCGATACAGAGGCACTGATGCATGCTTTTATCACCAGTGGAATTGATTACTGTAATGCCCTGTTTTCTGGTCTTCCCAAAAAGAGTACCTCAGGTTTACAACTCCTACAAAATTCAGCAGCTCGTGTCCTGACTAAGACCAGGAGGCAGGAGCACAGTACACCTCTCTTAAACAAGCTGCATTGGCTTCCTGTACATTTCAGGATCAATTTTAAGTTTTTTTTAATGGTTTTTAAATGTCTTAATGGTCTTGGGCCTTCTTATCTCTCAGAACTGCTTCATAAATACGAGCCTTCGCGGTCCCTGCGCTCCTCTGGCAGCCATCTCCTCATCATTCCAAAAGTCAGGACACACTCCCAAGGCGAGGCATCCTTCCAGTTTTATGGCCCTCGCCTCTGGAACAGTCTGCCAGGGGACCTCAGGGCTGTAGAGAGTGTTCTTGTTTTTTAAAGCTAGGCTCAAGACTCACTTTTTTAGTATAGCTTTTAAGTGATTTTGATCTAGTTTAGCCTGTTTTTACCATCTTTTATATATGTTATCAGTGTTTTATTACTTACTCTTTTAATTAAATAACACATTTTCTTACATATTTATTTTTACTTGTAATAATTTTTTTTAACCAGTCTTAATACTTTGTTGTACAATATTTTATAAGCGTAATTATATGTTTTCTACTTGGTTATCTTTTATCACTGTGTTTTATTTAGATTTTTATTTATCAGCTGTTTATGCTTAATTTGTTTCTTAACTTGCTGTATAGTCACTGACACTAGTCAGTGACTTGATGCAATTTGCTGGGTTCCTTATATAGGAAACATTATTTCTGATTGGCTTAATGAGCTGACCTGAATTGGAATGTTTATTATGTGAAGTGCCTTGAGACGATTCTTGTCGTGATTTGGCGCTATATAAATAAACTTGAATTGAATTGAATAGTCTCATTAGTAAACTAGTGTTTCCTCTGTGGGGGCTGGCTGCCCCGGGGGCACCGGTGGGCTGTGGCGGCCGAGGTGCTTCCATGTCTACTCTTGCCAAGACTATTGCTGCCCATCTTGGTGCTCCCGGTGCAGTTGGCTCCTTTGATGACGTTTTCGTCTTCTTTGTACCTACTACATCTACACTCAGCCAGCTGCCCTTACTCTATTACGCGCACGTGTGTGTGTGTGTGTGTGTGTGTGTGTGTGTGTGTGTGTGTGTGTGTGTGTGCAGGAGTTTGCATCTGCTTGGGACGGGATTGAGGGTGGGAGGAGGGAGATACAAAGGGGATCTCTTATGTGAATCTGTGTGGGAGGGGTGGGGAACCGACTGCTGTCTGGTTGTTTTTAATATTGTAAAGCGCTTTGAGCTGCATTTGAATGAAAAGCGCTTCGTAAATACATTTAGATTTGATTTTACAACAACATTTACGTTAGAACATCTCATGGTCTCAGAATCAGCTGCTCGACTTGTCAAGTCTGCCATTTTAGTCACAGCCTTAACGAGCGGACCTTTTAGCACCACAGTGCCCCCTAGTGGCTGGTAGATGTAAACGTAAACCCTAGTGTCGTACCGACAACATTAAACTTTATTTGCTTTTTGGAATATAGTTTTTAAAGGAAAAACTGTACATTCATTCTGCACACCTCTAAACACCATGTGTCGGTGTTATTAATAAAAATTACAGCTTTTTTAAAATGTTCCATATTCCACCTTGGGTGGATGGATGGATGGATTGATATTCCACCTTTACCGCAGTTTTTTTATGTTGCTAATTGCTTACCTGAAATAAAGGCTGGAGTTTCTCCAGTTCAGATATCCATTGTGAGGGAATTATATATAAATGTCAATTATATGAATTCACCTTTATTGAATAGATGTTTTTTTTAGCAGATTTGAAGGGAAACTGCCAAAATGTTTTAAAGATCTAAACAGAAATTGGTCCAGTTTCATAGCATTTGTGTTGTTCTCAAAAGAGTTGATCTCATGATGTGAAGTAATCTATTTTCCTGTTTCAACAGCCAAAAGTGTGTGTGTTCTGGCACACCTGTTTTCTGGATCCTCCCAGAGCCCAATAAAGCATCTGGATATCAGGTGAAAGCTGGATCCTCTCATGTTTATTTTTTTGTCTGCAGTGTGAAAATTCTAATTTACAGTTGACACTAATGCAGGAGAACGTCATTCATCTTGAACTACTGACGGAACTAAAGCCTTTTAGTCTCTGAGGGAGTTCAGTTTCATTTAGAGTACAAGCTCAGCCTTTAGATGATTGTCTGAATGTGGTGTCCTTTTTGTTCTCAACAGCTCCAACTTCATCCTGCCTGCTGATATGCTGGAGTTTGCTAAGAGACTGAGAAGTCTGTCCCCCCTGCAGGGACTGACTCTTGACCTCAGGAAGAACCCAGCTGATCGAGACCTTGACACATGGAACAAAGCACTGCAGAGGCTCCGTCCTTTCAGGCTTATTCTAGACAATGGGTGGAAGTCCACTGACACAATGCTGGACCATGTGAGCAATATGTGAAACCTAAAGACTTGACCATGACGACAGGCTGACCAGACCTAGGATTGATTTAGTTTTGTCTGGGACAGTTCACGTTGATTCGGTTACCAAGTCTAGTTGGATTAGTTTGGACCTGAAGACAAAAAAGCCTGATGGGAGGTTGTTCTGCTTATTAATTAGTCAGATTTTTGTTTTATTGTCCAGTTCAGGTTGTTGTCCTCTGGCTCTGCCAAGGAAATAAAAGATCAGTCAGTTTGACGGTTGAATCATTTATTACCCCAACATCAGTTACACTTTCAAAGCTTTTGCTCAGACTGAAAGAGTGACAGAAGACATTAAAAACAGAATTCAGAAACATAGATGAACAACAACAAGGTGAATAATAGCTCCCAGCAGCTCTATTCGTCATGGAATCAACCACCAGTCTTCATTAGTACAAACCAGTTAGAGAAAAACAGTCAGGGATCATCAAAAAATAAAAGAATTTAGATTTTTAAAGCTACTCATAAACAGTTTTATTATAAATTCAGATTGTATTTCTGGTTCATGAACAAAACAGCTGAATTGTCTGGTCTGTTTATGACAAACACACCTGCCCATCTCTGACTGTTTACTCACTCAACACTCAGTATTTGTACCTCGTGAAGATGTCTGTTATGAATGGAGAAAAAACTGGAAGGATGAGCAGAAGTGATCATTTATATTGCATCATACACAGATTCTGAGCAAAAAGAACAACTTGATTCTATAACGGCCAAAACTGTTGGCAGCCAAGAATGAACAAAATCTCCCTGAAGGTCACACAACATGGTTCAAGAGTTTCCATGTCATCAATTATTTTCTGTTACTCTTAAATAGTTTTCCACTGAAACTTATAAACAGACAGCAAAGTTTAAATTAATAAAACAAATATTATACTTTGACTCTTTTTTTTTATAAAGGTAAACAGTCCATTATCACACAGATGTGAGTGGCTGCACAGTGCGACAACATGCTTCCATCTTCTGCCCAACTCGTTTCTCGCAGCTCTCAGAATTAGGACCATGGACGTAATTTTGGGGGGGGGGACAGGGGGGACATGTCCCCCCCCCCCCCCCCCCCCACTTTTTCCAAAGTCAAGTTTTGATCCCTGCACTTTTTACCATCCAAAAACAATATTACGCTATATTGAATTGACACTGGTTGAGCTCTAGGACCAAGCAGAAAACAACAGTTTGTGTTGAAGCCGGTTTCCCATTAGAGCATACTGTAAAGATCCCCCCACCCACCCAACCCCCGTGTCCCCCCCCCCACTTCTAAAGTGAAAATTACGTCCATGATTAGGACGAACCATGCACACCCAGCCCACATACTGAATATTGGCAAGCCAAAGATGTAGATAATGGCTGTTGCCACCTGACACATGACAACTAAATTATGTTTAATGAATAGAAGCATAGCTTGTGGTCGCTAACTAAGCTGTGTTATAGGTATGTGTGTGTGTTTGAGAGCTGCCATAACAGTGAATGCAGTGAGAAATCATGCCTTATTGGACTGGGATTTGTTTTACAACTAGCAAGGTCAATATGGCTGTTCATTATTTTTTAGATGCACATTTATGACCATTTCTGCTTTGACATCACTGTTGTTTTTTTAAAGGTTCATAACTGTCAAATTTACCTGTGGTACCTTGCACCAGATGAAATGGCCTAACAAGCTGTGATTTTTATTTATTTTTTTAATTTTCTCCAAAGTGATAAAAGATTCTGACAGACTAAAAGTGAGTTTCGGCACAGAAGTCTCTTGCCTTTGGTATAGATTTTATTACATTTATTCTGGCGTATGTTATAACCTCTATTTTTAGTGGGGGTTGAGGGAGGATGTTAATTTTGAGGTGTACAGTGACACCAACCCTTACAGGGTGAAGTGTGGTCTTTGGTCCTTACCTCAGGGACACTGGTTCCACTAACAAGGAAACCTATTTTAGATCTGGTGCCACATGAACCCGGCTGATCCATCTCTAGCAAATCCTTTGGGAATGGGGGAATTCCTCTGTCAGGAAATCCTGGTAGCCATGTCAGCAGCCAGTAGTCATTCCTAGAAACTGGTGAAGAATGCTCGTAGGGCTCATCCCTCTGAGCCTTTAACAGGTGACCTCTGTCCTAGAGCACTTGGAGGTGATTTTACTAGCATGAGCCATCCAAGCCCTTGACTGGATGGACTACTATTATAGTGAGCCTTTGTGATAACAGAAAATGGGCCTTGGAGCCTATGAAAAACGCCTTATTGCTTTCAGGGTAAAAGTATAGGCTTTCTCTTAAATCCTGCATTTCTTATTTGCATCCTGTCAAGATCCCACAGCCATTCGTCTACTGAGCCGTGCTCCTTCTATAATCAAAGAGAAGTTTTCTACTTTTGCAGGATTTGAGGACTTGCCTTTATCTGACACAGGAAACAATGGCTGTCTAACAGCCCAGGTTAGACTAGTCTGACCCTCCCTAAAGCAGGGCCCTAGCTGTTCTGAGTATAAACTTACCCTGCTTCTAGAGTCTTCTAGTGTTATGGTGACCTTTAACCCTTTTATAGTTGACCTAAGGGCCATCTGTCCCCCTCTTGTGCCAAAGCTCTGGCTGTTTTATTGATTGGACACACCATGTAACACATGGGGACATTCCATTCAGCAGGTCTAACTCAAACTGCAGGAGCAGCTGGGTTTATCTGGAGAATCCTTCATGTATACGAAGGATGGAGAGATCATCTGGACACTCCTCTTCCTTTGGGCTTTCAACACCACCTAAGATGTTGATTGGTCTTTACTGAATGACTCATTCTCTATTCTATCCCATTTTGAAATGGCTAGTTTTTATACTTTAAAAACTAAAAAAACTTTAGTCTTTTAATACTATACCTAGTTCTACTCTTTTATTCACGTCTAACTTGATTTTATTGTACTTTCTTATTTTAAGCTATGTGACATGTTATATATTTATGTTGTACAGAACTTTGACTTTACAGATTTTGAAGCACTTAATAACCGAACTAGAACTATATCGGCCGTGCTGCGTGGATGAGGGGAATGTGGGATGGTGTGAATCTGGGTTACAAAGTACAGCAGATCTCCAGCTGGGATAAACCTACAAAACAGTTATAAACTGTCACAAAATGAAGGTAATTGAGGAGGTAATCCAGCAGATGATCTTTGAGGTCCTCAGAAACAAATGCAAATGGATGAAACTTTAGTGATAAGTGCAGCATTATGTTAGGACTCCTAATCAATAAATAACCATCATACAGTGAGACACTGAAGTGGTATTGGGTGTGCTCTCTTCCATCTTGAACAGAGTGATAAACTAATGATGGCTTTTGATTTATTTGTGTAGCTAGAGTGGTTTGATGGCCTGTGGGGATCCTCCGTAGTAAATGCCTTGGTAGTGCTAGTAGAACATAAAATGGGCCATATGTCTTAGAAGGACCTGATTTGTGCAGCAGACACGAGAAAACCTTTCCATATCCAAGATAACCAAGTGGGTTATCTGAAAGAATAAAATCGTCTCCAAGATAATACCTCACTGAGAGCTAGTAAAACTGGCTGCCACTCACACATATGTGATATTGAATATTTTACCCTAATAAAAAAACGTAACACTTTTTGCTTCATGTGTTTGTCTGGATGGATTTTTAGGGTTGAGGCTATCAAACCTTTACTGATAAGGTTTATCCAACTGTGTACATTCATACTCCGACCCAAAGTTAGAGTACCGTCTGAGCATCAAACCACACGTAAAGCTTCTTCAGCCTTCAAACTAGAAAGCAGTCAGACACTAGTAGACATGGTTACACGGTGTGCTGGAAAACACAGTCTTTTCTAAGTAGAATTCACATATACGTCCCGTTTGATCTTACTTTTGTTCTAAGGTGGGGGGCCTTTAGGGATCCAAGCCCACAGAGGCAATGGGAACCGTGTTGTTCTTGTTTTTCATCTAATAAAAGTCCCACTGGAGCCTAATTCACTAAGAACATGGAGTTCATTTACAAAGGGCCCATAAAAGTACTCCTGCAGAAGGTGCAGTTTTGGTCTTTTAACAAACTAAACACGCTATTAATCACTTTACATCAGCATGATCAACACTGATGAATGTCAATTCAAATGTGTGCCTCAAAAATGTAAACTTTTCATTTAAAATCACAAGCAGTACATAACACATGTAAGTAAAGCCTTCCCGAGTAGCTGCACGTAACCTCAGCAGTTTCAAAACACGAAGAAGTGCTTCAACGTGTAAATCTGATTGGCCAGATGGACATGTGCAAAAAAAGAAACATGTTCTGGTATAACTTCATTCAATATGGGAATTATATGACAGCGTATGGGAAAACTAAGGTTGTCATTTTAAATAAAATCTCATGAATCTAAATTCCACTTTTGAATTCAGTGATTAATCTCATGGATGATCCCAAAAATGACCTGTACTGAATTTATTATAGGTCCATTAGAGTTAAATATTAGTATCTCTGCACCAGAAAGTGGCAGGTAATCCAGAATTATGTAAATAATAATTTCTCTAGTAGAGCATAGTGTAAAGACTGCACCAGACATTGGAACTGCCATTTCTTCATGTTCTTTATTATGGAAGCTAGATTTTCAATACAAAGCTTGGCAAAGGTTGTCCACTAGGGGGCACTAAAAGGCGACAACCAAATTTCTCATCAATGGCATTTTGTAGGTGGAGGAAGTCTAGAGTGGAATTATCGGAGTTTCTGCTCATGAGTTAGACTCATGTTAATGCTGCTCTTAGTCTTCCTCGTTTCTGTATTTACTTTTTTTTATCAGTCACTTACATGAACACAGCGGTTCCTTATGTGACGTGTACACATAAACACACACACACACTGAAACGTAACATGTCAGTCTGTGGGGTGCAAATAACCGAGCGAACAAGCTGCTAACGCAACAAAACCCACAAGAGTTTCAGAAAATAAATTCACATTAAAAACCATCTGGTCTCTGCTGCAGAACTTGGCTTTCTAACAGGCAGTTCTGAGTGTTTGGCTCACAATCGGCCTTTGAGTTGTGTTGTGGTGAATAAATCAGACTGGCACAGCTAATTTCAAACAGTCAAGTGTCCACATGTGGGAAACACACACACACACACACACACACACACACACACACACACACACACACACACACACACACACACACACACACACACACACACACACACACACACACACACGCCTGTGCAATAACAAAAACACTTGAGCCTACAATACAATATTTCAAGAAGGCATTAAGGACATCTCAAATAAATATGAATAAATTAAGTCTTATAAATGTGTTAAAACACAGATTCTGTTTAAAGAAACATAATAAACAACAGTACTTGTTCATAGACAAAGTATGAATGGATGTAGGAAATGTACAGAGATTTTAAACAAAGACAGACACAGCTGACGAGACATTCACAAATCATCGGAGCCATTAGGCCCACGGGCTCTGTGGAGATGTCTGGGCCTTCAGTAGGAGCTGTCACTTCCCACTGGAGCCGTATGGACACACCGTGCTGTGTTCACACACAAATGGACAGAATTTTTGGCAGTGCTGCTGTCATCCTTCATGATAGACAGCCACAGTGGCTGAACAGCACCAGGTGATGTGGCAGAGTGGGAAGATATGTCAATGTAGAGCAAGCTGTGCTGCTCTATGGGAAGTCTGAATAAGTCCCAGTGTCAGCAGAGAAGTCACAGCCTCATTTCCTCTAGTTCCGCCTAACAAGGACAAACCGAACACCTTTAAACCAGCAGTTCATGGTTTGGCTGGGTTTCATCAAACCACCCTTTCTACTTAAGTTCAGCTTTACAAAATGATCCATTTGTCCTGATGTGTCCAGATAATGTTGTGGTACCACAGCCGTGCTTACTGCAGGTCTCGCTGTTCAGTGAGGAGCTGAACTCTGGTTTGATGGAGTAAATATGTCACATGACACTTTACGAACAGAGGCCGAGACCTCAATGCTCTGACTGGAGAGCACCGACACCCGTTTCAGGAGGATGGTCAGTCAGTCTGCGTACCAGTGGACATCTGCTATGAGGGACTGATGCAATGAGAAGCTATTACAAGACAAAAAGGTTAGCAAAAGCTATGTCGGAAAAGCGGTGAAGCAATGAGTCGGGGCACTGAGCAGCAGAGGAAGCTCCACTAGGCTCAGAGAGAAGAGCCAGCTGTGGAGACCTCGGAGCCAGAAGAACCAAACTCCTGGCTCAGAGGTCTCTTCTTGTTGATGTTCACGCATTTTGCAGACGCCTTTATTCAAAGCAACTTACAAACCAGCTTAGCTTGGGTGAATGTTCTATCCAGCAGCTGCAGCCGGGCTTTAGGAGAATACCCAAACAATAAAACCGCTTAGCTTAGCCAGTGTCATCCAAAGATAAGAGTACGATTGGCACGGTTTTGTTCACCAAACAAGGATGAAGTATTTTTAAGGCCATGAGGAATTTTCAAACCTCAGACGTTTGACTAAATTTACTCAAGGTTGCTCAGGCGAGCAGGAAACCTAATGGTGACCCCGGTAAGACCGTTTATCAACAGTACTATCACACGGGCTCTGCAGTAGAAAGCAGGGCACAGGGGGTTCTGGAGGGCGGAGGTCAAAATGCAGCTGGTTTGATGTTCTTCACTGCTGTACCACCACCTGTCCTCGTGTCTGCTGGCAGTCAACAGCTCAGCACCGATCTACCGGTTGGTCAGTTTATGTCCACATGGGGCCCGTCTCACACAGCTCAATGTTGCCAAAGCCATAAACCAGCTGATTCTGAGCTCTTAGGTCCGACTAAGATGAGAAGGTGTTTTAAATTTTTTCATTTTATAAACCTAGTGCCAGCAGGAACAGCTTGTGATGGATGAGACAGGATGTTTGATAAACATGCGTTTGGTTTGTTCTTCTTGTGTACTGCAGAGGCTGGAGTCCTCGAAGCGTGTGCACGTGGCAACGCTCGTGTGCGTAAGCAGAGGGACAGTGTCACATCAATCTTTTTGGGTTTAAAACAAAGGGATGGTGAAGCTGATGTACTGATGAGCTCTCTGCTAGTATCTTCATGCTAAATGTGTGTACTGTAATAATGTAAGTGAAGGCACACACAGTACGGTTCAGTCCAAACCACTTCAACACCTAGTTCTACTCAAAAACACTGAGCGGCTGCAGTCAGACGGAGGGAGTTTCTGTTTTGTAAAGTCAACATGTGGCCGCAACAATGTGCTGTGGGGGGGTGCAGGGGTCAGTGATGGAGCGGGTTAAAGGGAGGCCGAGGGGCCAACTAGAAGGACTTAGCTAGGTGTGGAGGGTTGGGGGTGCTATAGGATCCCGTCCATGAAGCTAGTGTCCAGCCGCTGAATCAGCACCCGGATGAAGGACATTTCCTTGCGGGTGTTCTCAAAGATCACTCTGGGGTCGTCGGACTGACAGCGCAGACAGTTGGGAGCCATGACCATGGCCAGGTTGTTCACATCCATCTTGGTGATGGGCACGTTGGCTGGCTGGGCGAATACCTAAACACACAACACAAATCTCTGTCACTGTTGGGTTATGAACAGTTACGTTTTATTTTTAACAGCAGTTGGATTTTAGACAGGAATGTGAGATTTTAGCTTAGCCTAAAAAATCACCTTCATGTTTCATTTGGAGCTGCTAGGTTAGCATTAGCTAGCCTGGCCAGACATGCCAATGCTTCCTTCTGTGTAGAACAGACCAAGGGCGAGTCTGGGAGGCCAGGCTAAGCATTAGCATAGACAGGACCAGGACTTCTACATAGAAATGATTGTTATTCAGGACAGTTTATCGGGTGCTGTTATTTTATCTACTCATTCATGTTTCAGGTTTTAGAAGTTTGTTTTCCTGAAGAACAGAAGTGGAATGCCTTGCAGTGATTGTTGTGGCTTTGGCTGAAAGACGTCTGTGTGGTGCACAACACAGGACTCTGATGATGTTGAGAGCCTGTGAACCATGCTGCCTTTCTCACAACTCCTTTTCTGTTTTAGAAAACGACCTGTATTGTTGTACTGCTGCAGAAGGCATGTGGAACCAAAAAGAGGTCTCCCTGCTGTTGTTCTGGTCGTCAGTTCTGCTGTAGTTGTTTAGCTCTGCGGCTGTGTATGGGACCGGTTCAGACCAGACTTCTCCAGAATGCAGATGGTTGATCTCAAAGGTTTCTGGTGGTGCTCTGATGGATATCCTTTTTACCATCTATACTGCGGACTTCTCCTATAACTCTTCTCAGTGCTTCTTGCAGAAGTTCTCTGATGACTCTGCGATTGTGGGTCTCATCAAGGATGGGGATGACAAGGAGTACAGGAGACTGACTCAGGATTTTGTGGACTGGTGCCAGTTGAACTATCTACAGATTAATGCCAGCAAAACTAAGGAGCTGGTGGTAGACTTTCGTAGGCATAAGCATTCCTCACTTCAACCATTGAGCATACAGGGCATGGACATTGAGACTGTGGACAGTTGCAGGTATCTTGGGGTCCATTTGAACAATAAACTGGACTGGACTCATAATTCGGATGCCCTGTACAGAAAAGGGCCGAGTAGGCTGTACCTACTACGGAGACTGAGGTCATTTGGAGTTGTGGGCCCTCTCCTGAAGACCTTATATGACTCTGTGGTGGCCTCTGCCATCTTTTATGGTGTGGTCTGCTGGGGCAGCAGCATCCCTGCGGGGGATAGGAAGAGGCTGAACAGACTGATCCGCAGGGCCAGTTCTGTTCTAGGGTGCCCCCTGGACCCTGTGGAGGTGGTTAGTGACAGGAGAATGACAGCTAAATTGTCATCCCTGTTGGATAATATCTCCCATCCCATGCAGGTGACTTTGACAGCTATGAGCAGCTCCTTTAGTGGGAGACTGCGGCACCCGAGGTGTGGGACAGAGAGATTCCGGAGGTCTGTCCTCCCCACTGCTGTCAGACTCTACAACAAATCTGTTGGATGAAGTGTACTCTGTATTTCTAAGTTGTATATAGTATGGTTATTTTTTACTCCATTCTTAAGGTATAAATTATCTATTGTATTGAGTTTATTTTATCTCATTACGATCGAACTTATTGTATTTTAGTGTTTTCTCCCTCTGCTGCATAACTTTTACTTTACTTTTACTTTGGCTGTAAACGAAACAAATTTCCCACTTGTGGGACTAATAAAGGTTATCTTATCTTATCTTATATCCTCTGGTTTCAAATGGAAGTAACCACAATGTGAACTTAATCGGGATTTGTGTGGTTGACCGCTGCATCTAACATCCTCAGCAGATTTAAAATCCAGTCTGATTTGAGATCTTTGTCTGAAACGGACCCCACTGGTGTAGTACAAAGGAAAACTGCCTCATTGAGCTCAGTCTTGGTTCAATGTCTGACCCATGACATGCAGAAGAGCTACTATCTGTGTATTCAGTGGAATTTTCATTCCAAAGTGGGATTATGAAAACATGAATTGTGGACTCCCTGATCTCTGGATTGTTTTGTTAGTGTAGTACACCTGCTACCTGTTGGGTCCACACATACATACACACACCTTTCCAATCCATTCAGTAACGCAGCTTCATTCACAGACAGCATAGATACAACGATCCGACGCAGCCGCGGAGCTCCCCCGTCTCTTGCAGCATTGCCCTTTATAAGCAGCCGGCTAGCGGCTAATTGTTAATGGCCACCCATCGTTCACTGGCGGGCTCCCTGCAGCTCTTCCCCTTCAATTCAATTCAAGTTTATTTATATAGCGCCAAATCACGACAAGAGTCGTCCCAAGGCACTTCACATAATAAACATTCCAATTCAGGTCAGTTCATTAAGCCAATCAGAAATAATGTTTCCTATATAAGGAACCCAGCAAATTGCATTACTTTACAGCAATCCTCATACCAAGCAAGCATAAAGCGACAGTGGAGAGGAAAACTCCCTTTTAACAGGAAGAAACCTCCAGAGAATCTTGGCTCAGTATAAGCAGCCATCCTCCACGACTCACTGGGGATCGAGAAGACAGAGCAGACACACATACACACACACACAAACACACACGCGCACACACACACACACACACACACACACGCACACACACCCTTGTGGGCCCCACCATAGTTAAGCTAAGTTTCTGACGTGTGTTACCTGTAAAAAGCGGATGAGGTAGCAGAGCACCAGCTTGTTGATGTGTGGCAAGCCCAAAACCACACCGATAGCTGCCTCTGGGTTGTCGTAGCTATTGATACACTCCTCGTAGAACTCGTGAGGGATCAGCGGCTCTTCAAGCTCCCTGTACCAGAGTTTCAGCAGAGAAGCTGGGGACACAGTGGAGGATATCAACTTACAGACAATTCATTGAGGGGCTGCCAGATCAAACGAGTTTCATTAAACCATGAAAGTAAAAAAAGCCAGAGTCTGACAAATATGGACTCTTGTTTCTGTATTTTTGGTCCACAGTACCAAAGGTTTTCTAATGTGCAAATGATTGAAATGTCTCCAATCAAAACAGAAATAGAATAAAAACAGTTAAAGAAATGTAAAACAGGACAACGTTCTATAAGAAAGAGTTGTTCATCATCTGCTTCATCCTAAAATCCTGAAGTAACATCATGTTGCTTCTGCTACTTTAAACAGCCACGCCCCCTTTACAAGTAGATGTGCTTTCAGTCTAGAGCCCGTTCCACTGCGCCCTACACCCTTCTGTGGAGTGCACTTTGAGGAGGTGCACAGTGTGACTTTGAGTGCGTAGTAGCCAAGTGTGCTGAATTGGGACTGTTGATTGAACGAGATGCATTCCAGGAAGCCAATCACCGTTTGGGCTACTTTAAAAAAAATCTCTATTAACAATTTTCAAACAAACAATTATTTGACAAAACTTTGAATTCATTGCTATAGCATGAAATCTTACTCTAAAATATCCAGAGCATGAATAAACATCACTAATCATCTTAAATGAACGTCTTTCATTTGAAAAGACATGTTTTCAGAAAAGGCATTTGAGCTATTGCTCTGCCTTCTTCTTAAAATTCCCACGCAGCGCTGGTGATAGGGGATACCCTCAGCCAAAGTGTGCGTTGATGCGTACTTGGCCAAAGTGCAGATCAAAGGTGCAAAAGGGGCGCAGTCATCTTCCGCACTTGAGAATCAGGACACCCTACGCACTTGCACCCCTGGCCAGGATTGCACAATTGAAGGGTGCAAGGGTGGAAGTGGGAGTATTGGGATTGGGCCTAGCTAAAGCCTGCTCTACACCGATTACAGTACGGAGGCAGGCCGGTTTCCGTACAGCTAGTGAACGAACTGCCATTCACATCAACAAAAAATGGCCCTTCAGACGGCCTGGTCAGGTGGAGACATGAGCACATTGTGAGGTTAATCTAGTTCTTGTAGTGGAAACATGCCTATTGATGTTTGATCAGTGCTAAAGCCAGGACTTTACTTGTTTTGGATCCAAATAAGGACATAAAGACTCCTGAAGCTGCTGCGTAACACACTTAAGGATGCTAGTTAGCATGCTGTATAATCAGATACATTGGCAGCTAACACACACACACACACACACACACACACACACACACACACACACACACACACACACACACACACACACACACACAGATCAAGGAGCTACATGGAAATCAGGGATCAAACTGCCCTCGCTTCTCCTCCTGAGCCTCAGCTGTCCCATTGACTGTCTAAACACCAGATTTCACCTTCAAAATAAGAGCACCGTAAAAGTAGCAAGCAATATAAAAACAAAAGCGTAGCATTTAGAGTTTTCATTTCATATTGTCTTCAGTGTTCTGGTTGGGGACATAGGAGCAACAGGATGTCTTGGTCTGCCTTAAAGCCACATGTACTGGTGCAGGTGGCTAAATGTGGGTCACACAGGCCTCATAATGGAGCTCAGACTGGCTAGGAGCAGCTCTTTTGCAAATGAAACCGTTTGTGTGCACCTGGAATGTGAGGGTCTTCCAGTCCTGTGGGGATTTTCCATTGATCCACTTGCAGCTTTAGAGCATTGACTTCATCTATGTCTCCTGGCACCCTGGAGGTGAAAGGTCAAAGGATATTTAAAATACAGCCCCTTCTCTCGTCTCCACACGCTGTGAAGCTATCCTTATGAGAACATTGCATAACCATCCTTACACTGCGCTCAGACTAACTACAACCAAATAACTACTCAGTCAGTTCAAACGAAGATCAGGACAACAGAGCTTATGTTCTACCTCATTAGAAATCGTTTTATCATGTGATAACAATTAAAACCTAAACTTTACCAGTAAAAACATTAAATACAAAATTTTCTCTACATTTAGCTCTTGAAATACCTTTTTATTATGATCCATGAAGATGACAGCTGGTGTTCTAAAACATGACTTGTTTGTTAAAAATTTAAGTCACCTGCAGCTTGCTTAGTAAAGTCTTACAAGAATACCGTTGTTTTACCAGCTTTTTCTTGTTTTTCATGCTTCACTAACCTGAAGATGCCTTCTGTTTGGTCCCCATTAAGACCAAGGACCTCTTCAGAGAGACGAGTCTGCACCCAGGGCAGCTGACGATCGGGGTATCTCTCCTTCTGCAGTGCCATCACCTCCTCTAAGGAAGAGCTAAACATGGATGGATGGAATATGGCGTTCCTAGCATGGTTGATTTCCTCCAGACAGGGCTTCTGCAGGCCCTGAACAGACAGAAATGAGAGTGTCTAAGAGTCAGGCAGCCGGGTGATAAAGCAGCAGAACAGATGAAATATAAGAATTTAGCAAACAGGCAAGAGAAAATATCTGTACTGTGTGAAAAGGTATAAAACAGAACACAAAACATCTAAAGTTCTCTAATTTCCCTCTGGGATTAATAAAGTATCTTTGAATTTGAATTTGAAAACCATTTAACCCACTGAGAGATGCTGATGTGAAAGGACGTGTCTAAATGTTGGAGCAGCAGATTTCTAACATGGTCTCAGAGGCTTGTCCAGGACTGGTTTTTATCTTGACAGGTGCTAATTAATTAATTAATTAATTAATTAATTAGCTCTTTCTTTCTTTCTTTCTTTCTTTCTTTCTTTCTTTCTTTCTTTCTTTCTTTCTTTCTTTCTTTCTTTCTTTCTTTCTTTCTTTCTTTCTTTCTTTCTTTCTTTCTTTCTTTCTTTCTTTCTTTCTTTCTTTCTTTCTTTCTTTCTTTCTTTCTTTCTTTCTTTCTTTCTTTCTTTCTGCCTCTTCATCTGTGCTACCAAAGTTCTACCCAACGTTCTTCATACTGTGATTTAAAAATGCAGGCTTGACTGACACCTTTGAATCCACAAACCTGTTGGTCCCTGTTGCACATATGAGATATTTGAGAGGCTGGACATGCTTGTTCATCTTCTTATCAAGTTTCAACACAGCATCTCATCTTAGTCTGAGCTGAAAATATCCCTCTACTTTCACAGAAAATCTGGTGATATGAAACGACTCAAAGCTTTTACCTTCTTGGCTCCAGTCAGTGCACCTTTCGTCAGCTTCCTGTAGCAGTACTTGGCATAGCTGCTAATAGCAACTCCTGGGGCAACAGAAAAATTAGACCCACTTAGACATCTTCCTGTTTGCTCCTTTGTTGTTAAAACAAAGCGTCTGTATCATCATGACATTCTCAGCAGAAATAAAGAGATCTCATGGAACACCCTCTATTACACTCTGATGTGGTAAACAGTGTAGCGTCATGAAGGAACTGTTTTCCTTTCTCAGGAAGAACTTATCTCCTTCAGATATGCTCAAGGCCTTTTGATGCCTCTGCATCTAAACTGTTTTAACTAGCTATTTGCCTCCCCCTACAGCTCAAGAGAAGAAAGAAGATCAAAACTCTTTTCTATTAAATAATGGTCAAATACCTGTGTTAGTCCAAATAATCATGTAAAGCTCAATGTTAAATCAATCTGTGAAATGAGAATATTAATTACTTGATATTGTAATCCTATGATAGTATTTTAATAAGTAATATATAACTTTTAAACTACACACTAGACTGATCACACGTAATGTTAAGATCACCAGACACATTCCTTTGTCTCTCCAATCAGAGCTTTCCTTTCTGACGCGTGGGATAATCTGTTCGGTGTTTATATTTGTTGTCCAATTCTGATTCGACCATAAATCAAAACATCTGAATTATAAAACTAACTCCCACATCACCCTTAACTCAGTTCAAATGTTCTAGAGTTGCGAGCAGGCCACTCGTAACTTTTTAACCACAAAGAACCTAATGACAAGCTGGAAAATAAACCTGTTGCAAGCTCCACTTGACGCAACGCTCCTTCAGAGTAAAAGCTGAACTCACTGCCCCTTCGGAGTCCCGCTGAGGCTGTCAACCAACTGCCGCTTACCTGGAGGCATTCCAAGACTAGTCTGTTGTACCGTACGCTGTTTCATCGGCTTCGGTACCAAAAGGGGGTTCGAGAACCTGGCATTCTGGATCTGCTTTGAATAAAAGCTGAGCATGAACATGAGAGTTGCTCCCTCACCCTTGGTGTCATTTAATGGATCCATGTGTCTGCAGATGTAGCCCTCCAGGTAGGCATGGAAACGGGGAGTCGGAGGGAAGAAGGCCAGACAGATGGCCATCAGCTCCCAGCCACGCTCCAGGCTGTCATATCGGAAGTTCTCTGTGGTTTGACGACACAGCTGAATGTAGAGCTCATCACGTAGACCCTGGTTACTCCACCCTCGCACCACCACCTGACAGTCAAGTGAATTGGAGAGTGTGGCTTTCATTCTTTTGGTAAGTCACTGGAATTTACTGACTAAAAAACTTAAGATAAAACCTGATATCAGCCTTTTTGCCTATTGTATATTTTTGACACTCAGCCACTGTTTTCAACTGAACTAATAAACAGTGTTAAAAAAACAGTTATACAGATTACCAGCTCTTTTAATAGCATTCACTTGTGTTTATGGATCCTGGTCATGTACAACTCCCATTCTCAGTGGTGGTATGTGTGTGTGTGTGTGTGTGTGTGTGTGTGTGTGTGTGTGTGTGTGTGTGTGTGTGTGTGTGTGTGTGTGTGTGTGTGTGTGTGTGTGTGTGTGTGTGTGTGTGTGTGTGTGTGTGTGTGTATACATATATATACAGTACAGGCCAAAAGTTTGGACACACCTTCTCATTCAATGTGTTTTCTTTATTTTAATGACCACAACCATTTACAAAGGGGCCAACAAGTGGTAAACACCTCTGGGGACTCCTTCAAAACTGGTGGAAAACCATTCCAGGTGACTACCTCTTGAAGCTCATCAAGAGAATGCCAAGAGTGTGTAAAGCAGTAATCAGAGCAATGGGTGGCTATTTAGAAGAAAATAGAATATAAAACATGTTTTCAGTTAGTTCACCTTTTTTGGTTAAGTACATAACTCACATGTGTTCATTCATAATTTTGATACCTTCAGTGAGAATCTACCCATGTAAATGGTCATGAAAATATTGAAGGTGTGTCCAAACCTTTGGCCTGTACTGTATACTGGGTTGTCAAGTTATCCCAAAGACCAAAGCAAGTTAAGTTAAAGGCATTGATAAGATGCGGCAGGGATGCATGTTTAGCTCACAGACCTCCAGAGCTACAGAGAAGGGGTCAGCTTTGGAGCGACGATCTCCCATGTACATCTGGATGAGCTTAAAGATGTCCACAGCTTCCTTTTTCACTGTGCGGTCTGTGGTCACTATCATTGGCTTCTTGATGGGCTCACTGCTCCAGGCTAGCATGTTGGCAATTGAAACCTTACGTCTAAACAGCCCCTGTGGGGAAGGGTGAGGGAAGAATATAGAAACAAAGCTGTTATACTGACATGAGGTAGGACCACAAGGCCAGTAGATCCATCCATCCATCCATCCATCCATCCATACATACATACATACATCCATACATACATACATACACACATTTTCATCCGCTTATCCGGAGTCGAGTTGCGGGGGCAGTAGCCTAAGGCAAGAGGCCCAGACTTCCCTCTCCCCAGCCACTTGGGCCAGCTCCTCCGGGGGAATCCCAAGGCATTCCCTGGCCACGTGAGAAACATTGTCCCTCCACCGTGTCCTGGGTCTACCTTTAGGTCTCCTCCCGGTTGGACATGCCCGGAAAACCTCACCAGGGAGGCATCCAGGAGGCATCCTGACCAGATGCCTGAGCCACCTCAACTGGCTCCTCTCAATGTGGAGGAGCAGCGGGTCTACTCCGCACCCCTCCCGAATGACCGAGCTTCTCATCTTATTGCTAAGGGAGAGCCCAGCCACTCTGCGGAGAAAACTCATTTTGGCCGCTTGTATCCGCGATCTCGTTCTTTCGGTCACTACCCAAAGCTCATGACCATAGGTGAGGGTAGGAACGTAGATCAAGCGGTAAATTGAGAGCTTCGCCTTCTGACTCAGCTCTCTCTTCACCACGACAGACCGGTACAATGCCCGCATCACTGCAGATGCAGCACCAATCCACTTATCGATCTCATTCTCCAGTTTTTCCTCACTCGTGAACAAGATCCCGAGATACTTAAACTCCTCCACTTGGGGCAGGACCTCATCCCTGACCCGGAGAAGGCGTTCTACCCATTTCTGAATCAAGACCATGGTCTCAGATTTAGAGGAGCTGATTCTCATCCCAGCTGCTTCACACTCGGCTGCGAACCGCTCCAGCGAAAGCTGAAGATCACGTTCTGATGAAGCCAACATGACCACATCATCTGCAAAAAGCAGAGACCTGATCCTCAGGCCACCAAAACGGATGCCCTCAACACCTTGGCTGTGCCTAGAAATCCTAGAAATTGTAAGTCGCTTTGGATAAAAGCGTCTGCTAAACAAATAAACATAAACATAAAATAAACATCCTGTCCATAAAAGTTATGAACAGAAACGGTGACAAACGGCAGCCTTGGCGGACTCCAACTCTCACTGGGAACGAGCCCGACTTACTGCCGGCAATGCGGGCCAAGCTCTGACACCGGTCATATAGGGACCTAACAGCCCGTATCAGAGGGCCTGGTACTCCATACTCCTGGAGTAGGCCCCCCGAGGGACGCGGTCAAACGCCTTCTCCAAATCCATAAAACACATGTAGACTGGTTGGGCAAATTCCCATGCACCCTCCAGGATCCCCCTAAGGGTATAGAGTTGGTCCAGTATTCCACGGCCAGGATGAAAACCACATTGCTCCTCCTGAATCTGAGGTTCCACAATCCAACAGACCCTCCTCTCCAGAACCCCTGAATAGACCTTACCAGGAAGGCTCAGGAGTGGGATCCCCCTGTAGTTGGAACACACCCTGTGGTCCCCCTTTTTAAATAAGGGAACCACCACCTCGGTCTGCCAGTCCAGTGGGACTGCCCCCGATGTCCATGTGATATTGCAGAGTCGCGTCAGCCAACACAGCCCCACAACATCCAGAGCCTTAAGGAACTCCGGGCGGATCTCATCCACCCCTGGAGCCTTGCCACAGAGGAGCTTTTTAACCACCTCAGTGACCTCAGCACCAGAGATTTGTGAGGCCAACCCAAAGTCCCCAGACTCTGCTTCCTCACTGGAAGACGTGTCGGTGGGATGGAGGAGGTCTTCGAAGTATTCTGCCCACAGATCCACAACGACCCGAGTAGAGGTCAGCAGCACACCGCCCCCACTATAGATAGTGTTGGTAGCGCATGCTTTCTCCCAGAGGCGCCGGATTGTGGACCAAAATCTCCTCAAAGCCGTACAGAAGTCTTGCTCCATGGTCTCACCGAACTCTTCCCATGCCCGGGTTTTTGCCTTGGTGACCGCCCGAGCCGTGTTTCGCTTGGACTGCTGGTACCCGTCAGCTGTCTCTGTAGTCCCACAGGCCAAAAAGACCTGATAGGACTCTTTCTTCAGCTTGACAGCATCCCTAACCGCCGGTGTCCACCAGCGGGTTCAGGGGTTGCCACCATGACAGGCACCGACGATCCTGCGACCACAGCTCCGGTCAGCCGCCTCAACAATGGAGGCATGGAACAGGGTCCATTCAGAATCAAAGTCCCCCGCCTCCCCCGGAACATTTTGGAAGTTCTGTCGGAGGTGGGAATTGAAGCTCCTTCTGACAGGAGACCCTGCCAGACTCTCCCAGCAGACCCTTGCGATACATTTGGGCCTGCATGGTCTGACCGGTATCCTCCCCCACCATCTGAGCCAATTCACCACCAGGTAGTGGTCAGTTGACAGCTCCGCCCCTCTCTTCACCCGATTGTCCAAAACATGTGGCCGCAGGTCAGATGAAACAACAAAGTCGATCATCAAGCTGCGGCCTAAGGTATCCTGGTGCTAAGAGCACATATGGACACCTTTATGTCTGAACATGGTGTTCATTATGGACAATCGATGACTGGCACAGAAGTCCAGTAACAAAACACCACTCGAATTCAGATCAAAGGGGCCTTTCCTCCCAACCACACCTCTCCAGGTCTCACTGTCATTGCCCACGTGAGCGTCAAGTCCCCCAGCAGAACGAGGGAGTCACCGGAAGGAGCACTTTCTAGCACCCCCTCCAAGGTCTCCAAAAAGGGTGGGTAGTCTGTACTGTAGTTTGGTGCATAAGCACAGATCACAGCCAGAACCCGTCCTCTCACACGTAGGTGGAGGGAAGCTACCCTCTCATTCACTGGGGTAAACCCCAACGTACAGGCACCAAGATAGGGGGCAACTAGTATGCCCACCCCTGCTTGGCGCCTCTCAGTGGGAGCAAATCCAGAGTGGTAGAAAGTCCAACCCCTCTCAAGGAAACTGGTTCCAGAGCCAGAGCCAGAGCCATGCCTTGAGGTGAGTCCGACTATATCTAGTCGGAACCTCTCAACCTCACACACCAACTCAGGCTCTTTCCCCACCAGAGAGGTGACATTCCATGTGCCAAGAGCCAGCTTCTGTAGCCGAGGATCAGTCCGCCAAGGTCCCCGCCCTCGACTACCACCCGTCACACACTGCACTCGACCCCTTTGGCCCCTCCCACGAGTGGTGAGCCCATGGGAAGGGGGACCCACGTTTCCTCTTCGGGCTGTGACCGGCCGGGCTCCATGGGTGAAAGCAAGGCCACCAGGCGCTCGCCAATGTACCCCACCTCCAGGCCTGGCTCCAGAGGGGGGCCCCGGTGACCCACGTCCGGGCGAGGGAACATGGTTTCCATTTATAGGCCAGTAGCTGTTACATAATTTCTGTTACTAGCTGCTAAGTAAAGGAAATAAAAGAGTGCTTTTGTAAAGTTTTGTGTGATGTTCTCTGCTGAAAGCTGCAATGTAAAAAATTATCTGAGGTAAAATTTCTAATGAGAAGACTGGCCAGGTGGGATCGGGTGGAGCTCATCACATCTCCAATGTATGTAAAATGTTTGTAAGTAAGTAAGTAAGTAAGTAAGTAAGTAAGTAAGTAAGTAAGTAAGTAAGAAAGAAAGAAAGAAAGAAAGAAAGAAAGAAAGAAAGAAAGAATAGATACCTGAAACACAACTATCAACCAAACAATGTGTCTTAGGGAAGCACATTACAAAAATGTAGTCTAAATATGCAGATGGGACTGCAGCTAGCAGCCCTTTAAGGGCTTGTGCAGCCAACAGAAAGGAGGGAAACATTCTGTTTATTTTATTCAACTTTTATTAAGTGGTTTGTATTTGTATAGCCCCTTGTTGGGGGTTCTACAACCCCCCAAGCTGCTTCACAACACAATCAGTGATTCACCCATTCACACAATGGCGATGATGAGCGCCCCACAGTTGCCCTGGGGCGCACTGACAGAGGCAAGGCCTGCTAAACACAGGCGCCGCTGGTCCCTCCGACCACCACCAGCAGGCAAGGTGGGTTAAGTGTTTTGCCCAAGGACACAACAGCAGCATTCTCTGTTCGGAGCAGGGATCAAACCTGCAACTTCCCGATTGCTGAACAACCCGCTCCACGTTTGGAGCTACTGTTGTTCCTAAACAGGGATGTGGTTCCAACTAGGTTCCATCTTCCAAAAGGGCAACAGAATTGTCACAGTGAGTTCCTTCTCAAATATGGAGCAAGTACAAATAAAATGTTTGGGTAGTAAAAAGGGAACACACAGGTTGACTGGGACAAGGCCCAAACATGAACAACGGGCCTGGAACATAGGAAATACACAACAAAAGAAGGGAGAAATGGGCAAAATCTGGAAGGTGTTTATGAGTCAACTGTAACAAAAAGGCTAAAGGCAAATGAGCTCACCCTCCAGAACAGCTAAATATAAATCACATTTCCAGCTAAAGGGAAGAAAGGCAGGTAGCAGTGGGCTGATGGGGAAGCAGTCTGACTGTGGAGGATAACATGGAGGTGAGATTCTGGGATGAATCACCACATCAAACAGCTGAGCCAAGAGGTTGGGACAGATAAAACTGATAAGAGATTAGCTGGTTAAGAAAATGCTCATTTTGTGCTGATATTTCTAAGACATTTTACTGCATTTAGCATCTTACAATAAGACAATCATTGGATTGTGAACTGTCACACATTTGTTAACATCAAAGGTCATCAGAAAGCTCAAACCTAAATGTGGGATCATCTGACCTAACGTTTCACTGTTGGAAAAAATAACAAAACAAAAAAAAAGAGACAGAAATCATCGACAGCCAAAAGAAAACAGTGTTTGGTCTTACCTGTGTGTGTTTGTTGAAGTGTTTTGATGCCCAGTTCTCAATGTCAGTCTCTGAAGATGGCTTTCTCAAGCTGAATTCTGGGAAAATTCCACAACTGGCACTTGGCATCATATTCCTAGCATTTCGTCTGGCTTCAAACTGGGCACAGGCTCCAAGGTCCTCTGACTGACAGGAGGAAAGAGGAAACTCTGTAATTGACTTTTGTAAACATGCTTCAGATGGATTATGATTTAGACTAAACAGAGGAGACATGGACATGCTGATTTTTGTGGTAAAGCATATCGCATAATTTCCTAATTGCCCAGCTTTTACTTGGTTGCGTTCTCTTAGTTCCCCTGAGATCAGTGAAGATTATGAAAGGTTTGCTCCCTATTGCAAGCCAAAGTGTGGAAGGTATTTCAATTCAAAATCTACAGTGGGACAAATACTTGGCAACCACTAATTGTGCAAGTTGCCCCACTTAAAAAAATGAAAGGTCTTTAATTTTCATCATAGGTACGCTTCTACACTTTTGTGTGAGAAGGAACATAATAAACATCCAGGAAATCTCACTGTCTGATTTCTAAAGAATTTATTTGTAAAATGGTGCAGAAAATCCCTTCAAACAAGCAAGAACTCTGGCCCTCACAGACCTGTAACTTCTCTTATACTCTCCACTCGTTACCTGTATTAATTAATTGTTGGTGCAATAATTAGAAAATGGTATAAATCGCTGACAGCCTCTCTCGACCTGGGGCTCTGTGCAAGATCTCCCCTCGTGGGATTGAAATGATCTTAAGAACAGTGACAAAATAGCTAAAAGTAAAAGCTAATTATCTATTACTTTTATTTTGTTTAAATATTTACCTTAAACTGATGTATTGGAAGTTATATGCTCATATGATGTAAATGCTTTATTGTAAAGATTTTGAGTTTTAATAAAAATAATTAGAAACAAAATATAATATATATATATATATATATATATATTACTATTATAAATGTAGAACCTCAACAACACACTTATTAAAAAGCCAAGAGACACTAAAAGGTTTCTAAAATAGAGTAGAATTAAAATTTACTGAATATAATTTCTAAAAATAAATGTAAAATTGGTGTTGATTAAAAAGATGAAACACAGGACCGGGTGATAATATTATGACTACAGCTTTAAAACCAGTCAGATCACCAAGAGCTGATCTCACTGCTACAAAATTATTGTAACTGTAGTTTAAACATTTAATAAACTTTCTGCCTCACACAAAGACGATGGTCAAACAAAGTGAAGTTTGACTCACAACGTAAGTTGTATTACTTAATTATGTTATTTTTATTATTAGTTATTATGTTATTAATATAGCACTAGAAATAATTTGGGGGATTTTTTTTATCATATAGTCTTCAGTCTGATTTTCTGTAAAATATGTTGTTAGGTTGGTAGCAGATCACTCAAATTTAATGTAACGTTCAGAGTGTGATCATGTCTACTTGGAACTGTCTAATTACAACCAAACATATGAATGATAACTGGTAAAGGACAGATTTAGACCTTTTAATTTAACCCTGAGTTAGAGAACCTTAAAAACAAACACCAAGAACAACGCTCAATGCTCCAAGTTCCCTGCAGCAGCTCAGTCAAAAAAATTAAACCAACTGACACCGAAAGACCCATAAAAAAATAGAGACATTTTCTATGGCAGGAAAAAGATCACAGCCAAGATAGCAGTATTTATCACACTGGGTAACTTTCTGTGGTTGCACACTGTTCCGTGTACTTCCTGGATGAGTGACTTTTTATGGATAAATTAACCAAAGTCAAATAAAGAAGGAAATAAATTATAATTGCAGTTTTTCTCAACTGCTAAAGCACAATTCCTGAAACCTTGCTCCCTTTTCTCAAAACATTAAACACAAAACCTCAGCTTCAAGCACAATTTACAAAACCTCTCATTCCTCTTGCAAAATCAAACTTTCGCCTCGAAACAGTTTTAGCTGTGCTCAAAATCAAACACTACTCTCAAATCATAAACAAATTACTCAAAATTACATACACCATCAAGCAGTCAGTAAACAATACACCAAAAAATAGAAAGCACAATGTTCAGGGCCATACAATTTGTTTATTGCACCATACATATGCAGCCTGCAGTCCAATGCGCTACAGTGTTAAATGACAGTGAAAAAAAAAATGAAATGAAAAACATCAAAGGACTAAACATGTTATCAATGGGCCTCTTCTTGTCTGTGGGCTGAGTGAGGCCACAGCACTTCATCGACATCACATGCAATATTTTCCCTCCTGAGGCTCAAATTGGGTTGCACTCTAATGGGCCATTCCCATCTGTACCGGGTCGGCCCGGGCCGGGTAGCCCCAGTCGGCCCCAGCCTGGCCCGGTTGATTCCACACATCCTTGCCTGAAGCCCATGTGGGCTGATTCTACCCACCAATCAGAGGCTTGCTCTAATGGAAGGTGTGAATTTGCTGTCAGCAGTGGGTGTGTTGGCCCTGGTCGACCTGAAGCAGACCCCCTCGAGAAGAGGGCTGAGAATGAGCCTTGGTTGGCCCGGAAAAATACCAGGCCACCCAGATATGTAAACAACCTACGCTACCCGGCCCGGGCCGACCCGGTACAGATGGGAATGGCCCATAAGTCCTGCTTCCCTCATTGTCAGCCCATGAACCACAACATGGTCTATGATTGTTGCTCAGCTTTTATTTCATATTTCCACCCTTTGTCTTGCTCTTCCTCTTCATCCTCCTCTTTCTCTTTCTTGCCCTCCTGAACTTGCTTATATTGGTTGTCACATCATTTGAAACAAGTGAAATCTATTTTGACTGATTGTGTTCAACCAATGACATTTGTGCTCTTGTTATGGGTAAATGTGTGCCACTTGTGTTTACCGTTATGGATGACATGTACATTAGAGTGCAGAATGTGTTTCAGGAATGAGAATGCGTTTAGTTTTGCTAAACCGTGTGAAATTGTTTAAGGTTTTGACAACAGGCTCAACAGTTAGCTTAATGAGTTCAAGCAACTGAGAACTTTCTTCAGTCAATGGATTTTAGTGTTTTAGCAATTGAGAAAAACTGTTAAAAAAAAGAAAGAAAAAAAAACAACAACCTTACAGGGCAACTTGGATGTGTTCTCCATTTTTCTTCTTTTTTTTAATGTGCTGAACTATAGGAATGGGATTCGGTATCATCGGTTATTCAAAATCAAATAACTTGGGACTCGGATCAGGGGCAAAAGATGTGGTCAGAACATCCATAGCACTAGTCTGCTTTAAACACGAAAACAATGAAATGAATGGAATAACATTACCTTCTATTAATAACATGAAATAAAAAATTGTGCATAATATGTTGTTACTTAAGTCTGAATTCTCAGAAACTTGTTGGATCGTGAATCTTCTCTATGAGCCTTTTTTAGGTATTGAGCACCCACCCCTTCAAAGGTCTCGGTGTTGTGTTAAACCCCAAAGACGAGATTAAAATTACATGCACCAAGACTGTATTAATAACTTGCTCCCATAAAGGTGTTTCGCAGAAATATAACTATTTCACTAGTCCTGCAGCACTGTAGTATTGCTTTCTAAGTTTGAAGTTAAAAACTTCAACAACTAGACGCCACAGAATAAATGTATCCGTTTTGTTATTTTAGTAATTATGCAGTTTTAATCTGTCTTGTGGTCTCTTTGCTCTTTTGTTGTTTTTATGTTAAGTTCAGCGCCTTGGGCTTCTATGAAGGCAGTGGAAGGCGCTATACAAATAAAATTTGATTTGATTTGAAAAAGCTTTGACCATTTTTACCTGCTGGAAAGAAATGTCAAACTAACCACAGAAATGTAGCTTAACTGACAATTGTGAATGTAATTTTTTTCATTATCAAGCTGATTGTTGGACCAGTACCTGTGAAGGGTGGAGGTAAGGTTCAGGAGAGGCCAGGTTGGTCTGAACAGAGAGGCTTTTCTCCAAAAGGGCCTGAGGGAAGCCCAAGCGATCAAAAGTGCTGTGTTTCCAGTGGTGACCCTCACTCTGCGCCAGTGCCTCATCCTCGCTGAATGCCCTCACTACTGGTCCTGGAAACGGCAGAGGTACTGCCCCATCGCTCTCATAGCCATCTTTGGAGCCTTCACTTTGGGCCACTCTCCCTCCATGCCCAGAATCCCAACTGCTTCTCTGTTTCATCACCTGCTGTGCCTCCCATGCCAGCCTTGCCTGGGCCATCATTGCTTCTGATGCTGTGCCCGATAACTCCGCCTCTCCGCAGTGTCCCAACTCCGGAGGGAGGGATGGTTTGCGGCTTTTGCGTTTGCGGTTACTACTTGGGGAGAAAGTCCCAGGCCTGGCTGTGGAGGAGAGTGAGTGAGTCTGGCTAGATGTCCAGGATATGGAGTCTTCATAGAGCAACCTCTGGTCTCCTTCTCTAACCTCCCCACGATAGTCTAAAAGCTGGCGAGGGTCTCGGATTAGTGACTGGCTGTGTTGGAGAGTAAAAGATCCCCCATATGGACCACTATAGCCCCCGGTGGTGCCATACCGCAACAGACGGTCCGCGGTCTTGAAGCGAGGGCTGGAACATGATTGCTCTACATACACTAGCTGCTTGACATACTCTTTTCCCACAGGGCTGTACTCCAGACTCTGGGTTTTTTCTGGGCACTTCTGTCGGGTGAGAACCAATTGGCCATAGGGTGACTGACTCTGCTTTGGAGAGAGGTAGAGGGGAGCTGGAGACTTGCGTGCAGGTGATTTTGTAGAGCCATAGGGAGAACACAAGTCAGACAGATGCATGTCTGCAGGAGGCTCTTCGTAAATGGGAGGGGGCTGACACTCTGATGGTGGCTCCTCATACAGTGGGGGCTCAAAGGCGTAGCGAGGTGACGGAGGCTGTGAGTCGGCTGAGGGGCGACGATGAGAGCAAATGCTGCCCAGCTCCGCCCGCTTCAGAAATGGAGACTGACGGCGGTCTCCATACAACACAGGGGAGCCGTCAGGGTCTGACGCTGAGACTCCTCCAGACACATGGTGGTTTCGGGAGAGAGCACTTGGTGTCGTGGGTTCACAGGGCGAGAGGCTATTTCCTTGATGAGCCAAAAAGCTGGGTTCTCTGTCCGTCACTTTGATCAGCATCCGCTCCTTTGTCCCAGTATTCCACCTAAAGGGAGATGTCCTGAGAAGGGAAAAGAAAAAAAAACACCATTCAAATACAGATTTTATATTCTTAACAGGGCACGGTGAACTAAAACCAGAGCCAGTTCCAAACATCACAAAGCTTTTCATCAAATTAACATCAAAGTGATCGGAAAAAAACAAACAATAAAACTAGCTCAGTCAAATCAGTTGCTAGGATCTGACTTTCATTTGGGTGTTTTTAAAAACTATTTGTAAGATTGCAGAAACTTGTAACTTTGCCTATAGGTAAATATCAAGGTAAAGAAACGGTAAACAACAAAAAAGCACTCCAGAAGTTTTCAGGTTCTGATCTTTGAACCCTCAGAGAACACAGGGCCTCACCCTGTAGCCAAGCCTGAAGAAGAGGCTTGCTGGGAAGCACCTAATAGGCGTGTGAAGTCCAGCTAGGAACATCCTAAGCATGTTACAGGAAACCACTGTCCTGTTATGATGGCATTCTGCTCCAGATTTGTTAAAATTAACTTTAGGTACATGGCACATTACTTAACAAAGGGAGAATGAGTCAGAAATTGGCTGGGACACAAGCCTAACCACAGGCTTTCACATCTGGGTAATCTGTGCAATTTTAAGTTGACGTATATTTTTTTGGACCTGCTTTCCAGCTGTCAGTTTTGTGCGAAGCCGATCCAACACACTCACAATGGACTGATACGTTGGCTGAAGTTCATGCCTGACTTCTAGAGGGAGCCTCTGATTGGTGGAGATAATCAGCCAGCAGCGGCTTTCCACATGCCTGATTCATTTTCAGTCTAGATGCAGTGGAGTAAACATCTTCTGCGACGGCTGCTCAGAACTACCGGTCCAGCCGCGGCAGCATGAGGACAGACTGCTGTGAGGAGCACACAGCAGTCTCTGTGAGACAGGAAGCAGTGTGCTTCTCATCAGTCTCCAAAGGCAACACTGCTCACATGGGCCATTCCCATCTGTACCGGGTCGGCCCGGGCCGGGTAGCCCCATTCGGCCCCAGCCTGGCCTGGTTGATTCCACACATCCTTGCCTTAAGCCCATGTGGGCTGATTCTACCCACCAATCAGAGGCTTGCTCTAATGGAAGGTGTGAATTTGCTGTCAGCAGTGGGTGTGTTGGCCCTGGTCGGCCTGAAGCAGAACCCCTCGAGAAGAGGGCTGAGAATGAGCCTTGGTTGACCCGGAAAAATACCAGGCCATCCAGATATGTAAACAACCTACGCTACCCGGCCCAGGCCGACCCGGTACAGATGGGAATGGCCCATTTGTTTACTAACTTAAGGAGGACAAAACAAACTTCTCCGCGTGTCTTCTGCTCCGCCCAACCCTAGTGCTCACTCCTCAAAAAAAAAAAAAAAAAATAAAACTCCTGGGGGTCATTGGACCCCATTAGGAACATAGGAGGTTAAATTCAAAAAGCTTAAGTAATGACAGCTGGCATCATCAAAGGATGAGGTGAGGTCCATTGATGGTTTATGAAATTAAAAAGGGGCAAGTCTCTGATGAAGACCTCACCTTTGTTACAAGCAGACTTCCAGCAGACCCAGATTCATGACAGTTGAGAGAACAGAAGTGGGACACAAAAATACATCAGCTCTTAGTAGTATATAAATAAACAAAACAAAATTATTAACAACTACTGCTAATATATTTTTTATGTTGTACACTGCAGGGATACAAGCTCCTCGTACAGAGCATAAAAAGGTTTGAGGAACAAAGCATCTGCCTTTGGTTGCCAGAAAAACAAGACTATGGCAACAACAGACCTTTACTTCATCAGCTCCCAATCAACAGGCTGTTCCATTCAGACCGTCCAACAGCCGTATTGGGGAGGAGGGTCGGCGAACAAGAGGTAAACAGGGTGAGAAAAAGGGACGTGTGAAATTGATTGGTGCCTTGGACACCCTCCGCTTCTAAATAGTTTTACAGACTGATCTCCCAGGCTGGAGCTCAATAGCAGCTCTGTGAGTGTTGGTATGTGTGTGTGTGTGTGTGTGTGTGTGGGTGTCAATACGTTTGGGAGAGAGGTAAAAATAAGGGCAGGATTAAGTTTACTGGGTTTTGCTATCAAGTATCACAAAACACTTTGTCTATCCATGTCTCGCATGCTTCTCCACTCCTCTTTATTTTCTTCTCCAACTTTATTTGCAGCCTTTTGAAATTGGCTGATAAACCATCTTCATTCGGTTATTACTGGAGGGAAATTATTTGTCACAATAACGCTACATTTAAGTTTTACTAAAGAGTTTTTGTGTCTGGTTGTAGCTGTGGCAGTCTGTGTTGCAGCAGACCTGGAGAAGCCTGACTGCAGAAAATCAGTTGTTGAATTACTGTCTACTGAAGAGGACGCTCAGGGTTGTCAATCTTGTTCTTCATTTTTTGAAACATCCTCCTTTGTCCAGGAGGATGAACAAGTGGCCCCAGATCAATCCCCAGAACAGAACCATCCTTGTTTATCAGCTTGTTAAACTTTTTACGATCACAGGCTCTGATGCTTCTGCCCCAACAGATGAGATTTCCCTCTTCACAACATAGAAGACATGTTTCACTCTTGCTGCCAACAATGAAAGATCTCAACTTTGTTCTGTTTGTTCTGTCCCCTCTTGTCTCCAGCTTCACTGTTGTGTGTGACTCCAGTCTGCTGTCCAGGTGAACATAGATGCATTTATTTTCCTCCACCACCTCTACTTCTCTCATTATGGAAAAGTGTGTGATATAATCCCGCTACTCCTAAAGTTCACAATGATCTCATTTTTTCACATTTAAGATTACATGTATCTTCCAACATGGTACCATAGTGTTCCACCAGTTCTCTGTAGACAGACTCTTGTTCATCTCTGAGACACTCAACAACAGCAAAGATTTGCATATTTCTGTAGATCAGGGGTGTCAAACTCATTTTAGCTCAGGGGCCACATGGAGGGAAATCTAGTCCCAAGTGGGCCGGACCGGTAAATTAAAAAAAAAAAACTTCAGATTGTTTTCTTTGTTTTATACAATCAATATAAAACAAGGCTGGAGCCTGAGGACAGTGTATCCAAAATAGTACAAGTACAACACCTGAAGTGTACTTGAAAATTTTAAAATAAATAAATAAATCAACAAACAAAAAAAAAACATTCCTTAGTGATTCAAAGCTTACAGATCACATGGCTGGATCAGTTTCATGCAGCACTTAAAGTATATTTGACTCATTTTACTTTACATCTTTTAGCTTTCATCAGAACATCAGTATCAGAAGTCACATCCTGAGTGGCGGCCAACTTCAGGATGTGATTCAAGTTCTTGTGTGGGCCTTGAGCGCAGCTTTGTTTTATTTATACTCATTACAGAGGAAACTTGCTCACAAAGATAAGTTTATTTTAACTCTACATTGTAAAGTATGAAAATAAAGTTCACACAACCATCTCGGGGGCCGGATTTAATCCGCTTGCGGGCAGGCTCCGGCCCGCGGGCCGCATGTTTGACACCCCTGCTGTAGATGGAAGGACTCTGGCTTGTACTGAAGGTGAGAGCAGTCCCCTGGGAACCTGACAACCTGAACTCCCAGCTGACTGTCTAGATGTCCATTTTATGTCTTCTCATGTTTCTTACAATAATAACTGTTTAACTTCCAAACCAAGAAAAAAAGCTATGAAAATTTCCCCCTTTTTATTTTTAAAATTTGAGGCAATAAGGGATTTAGTACAATGTGAATTAATAATAGCAATAAATTAATAATTGTCATGATATTTAAATAACGATAATACAATGTAATAATGTCAAGTCATTCCTTTAAATGACTCCAAATTTTTTGCTTTAGTTGTTTTAATGCTTCAATGAAATGTAGGGATTTATGTTCTACTAGCCTTCAGCACCATCCACAGCCTTCAGAATCATCCACAGCCTTCAGCACCATCCACAGACTTCAGCACCATCCACAGCCTTCAGCATCATCCACAGACTTCAGCACCATCCACAGCCTTCAGCACCATCCACAGTCTTCAGCACCATCCACCGCCTTCAGCATCATCCACAGCCTTCAGCAGAATCCAGAGCCTTCAGCACCATCCACAGCCTTCAGCACCATCCACAGCCTTCAGCACCATCCACAGCCTTCAGCACCATCCACAACCTTCATCACCATCCACAGCCTTCATCACCATCCACAGCCTTCATCACCATCCACAGCCTTCAGCATCATCTACAGCTTTCAGCATCACCCACAGCCCTCAGCACCATCCACAGCCTTCATCACCATCCACAGCCTTCAGCATCATCTACAGCCTTTAGCATCATCCACAGCCTTCAGCATCATCTACAGCCTTCAGCACCATCCACAGCCATCAGCACCATCCACAGCATTCAGCACTATCCACAGACTTCAGCATCATCTACAGCCTTCAACATCATCCACAGCCTTCATCACCATCCAGAGCCTTCATCACCATCTACAGCCTTCAGCATCATCCACAGCCTTCAGCACCATCTACAGCCTTCAGCACCATCTACAGCCTTCATCACCATCCACAGCCTTCATCATCATCCACAGCCTTCAGCACCGTCCACAGCCTTCAGCACCGTCCACAGCCTTCAGCACCGTCCACAGCCTCCAGCACCGTCCACAGCCTTCAGCACCATCCACAGCCTTCAGCACCATCCACAGCCTTCAGCACCATCCAGAGCCTTCAGCACCATCCAGAGCCTTCAGCACCATCCAGAGCCTTCAGCACCATCCAGAGCCTTCATCACCATCCACATCCTTCAGCATCATCTAAATCCTTCAGCATCATCCACAGCCTTCAGCACCATCCACAGCATTCAGCATCATCCACAGCATTCAGCACCATCCACAGCCTTCTGCACTATCCACAGCCTTCAGCATCATCCACAGCCTTCAGCATCATCCACAGCCTTCAGCACCATCTACATCCTTCAGCACCATCTACATCCTTCAGCACCATCTACAGCATTCAGCACCATCCACAGCCTTCAGCACCATCCACAACCTTGCGTACAATTCTCAGCTTTCAGTGCCACTCTCAGCCTTCAGCACTATCCACAGCCTTCAGCACCACCCACAGCATTCAGCACCATCCACAGCCTTCAGCACCATCCACAGCCTTCAGCACCACCCACAGCATTCAGCACCATCCGCAGGCTTCAGCACCATTCACAGCATTCAGCACCATCCACAGCATTCAGCACCATCCACAGCCTTCAGCACCATCCACAACCTTCAGCACCACCCACAGCATTCAGCACCATCCACAGCATTCAGCACCATCCACAGCATTCAGCACCACCCACAGCCTTCAGCACCATCCACAGCCTTCGGCACCATCCACAGCCTTCAGCACTATTCACAGCATTAGCACCATCTACAGCCTTCAGCACCATCCACAGCCTTCAGCACCATCCACAGCATTCAGCACCATCCACAGCATTCAGCACCATCCACAGCCTTCAGCACCATCCAGAGCCTTCATCACCATCCAGAGCCTTCATCACCATCCACAGCCCTCAGCACCATCCACAGCCTTCAGCACCATCTACAGCCTTCAGCCTTCATCACCATCCACAGCCTTCAGCACCGTCCACAGCCTTCAGCACCGTCCACAGCCTTCAGCACCGTCCACAGCCTTCAGCACCGTCCACAGCCTTCAGCACCGTCCACAGCCTTCAGCACCATCCAGAGCCTTCATCACCATCCACAGCCTTCAGCATCATCTACAGCCTTCAGCATCATCTACAGCCTTCAGCACCATCTACAGCCTTCAGCACCATCTACAGCCTTCAGCACCATCCACAGCCTTCAGCACCATCCACAGCCTTCAGCACCATCCACAGCATTCAGCATCATCCACAGCCTTCTGCACTATCCACAGCCTTCAGCATCATCCACAGCTTTCAGCACCATCTACAGCATTCAGCACCATCCACAGCCTTCAGCACCATCCACAACCTTGCGTACAATTCTCAGCTTTCAGTGCCACTCTCAGCCTTCAGCACCATCCACAGCATTCAGCACCATCCACAGCATTCAGCACCATCCACAGCATTCAGCACCATCCAGAGCCTTCATCACCATCCAGAGCCCTCAGCACCATCCACAGCCTTCAGCACCATCCACAGCCTTCAGCACCATCCACAACCTTCAGCACCATCTACAGCCTTCAGCCTTCATCACCATCCACAGCCTTTAGCACCGTCCACAGCCTTCAGCACCGTCCACAGCCTTCAGCACCGTCCACAGCCTTCAGCACCATCCACAGCCTTCATCACCATCCAGAGCCTTCATCACCATCCACAGCCTTCAGCATCATCTACAGCCTTCAGCACCATCCACAGCCTTCAGCACCATCCACAGCATTCTGCATCATCCACAGCCTTCTGCACTATCCACAGCCTTCTGCACTATCCACAGCCTTCAGCATCATCCACAGCCTTCAGCACCATCCGCAGCCTTCAGCACCACCCACAGCATTCAGCACCATCCGCAGGCTTCAGCACCATCCGCAGGCTTCAGCACCATCCACAGCATTCAGCACCATCCGCAGGCTTCAGCACCATCCACAACCTTCAGCACCATCCACAGCATTCAGCACCATTCACAGCATTCAGCACCATCCACAGCATTCAGCACCATCCACAACCTTCAGCACCACCCACAGCATTCAGCACCATCCACAGCATTCTGCACCATCCACAGCATTCAGCACCACCCACAGCCTTCAGCACCATCCACAGCCTTCGGCACCATCCACAGCCTTGAGTACCATTCTCAGCTTTCAGCATCATCCACAGCCCTCAGCACTATTCACAGCATTAGCACCATCTACAGCCTTCAGCACCATCCACAGCATTCAGCACCATCCACAGCATTCAGCACCATACACAGCATTCAGCACCATCCACAGCCTTCATCACCATCCATAGCCCTCAGCACCATCCAGAGCCCTCAGCACCATCCACAGCCTTCAGCACCATCCACTGCCCTCAGCATCATCCACAGCCTTCAGCACCATCTACAGCCTTCAGCCTTCATCACCATCCACAGCCTTCAGCACCGTCCACAGCCTTCAGCACCATCCACAGCCTTCATCACCATCCACAGCCTTCAGCATCATCTACAGCCTTCAGCATCATCTACAGCCTTCAGCACCATCCACAGCATTCAGCATCATCCACAGCCTTCTGCACTATCTACAGCCTTCAGCATCATCCACAGCCTTCAGCACCATCTACAGAATTCAGCACCATCCACAGCCTTCAGCACCATCCACAACCTTGCGTACAATTCTCAGCTTTCAGTGCCACTCTCAGCCTTCAGCACTATCCACAGCATTCAGCACCATCCACAGCATTCAGCACCATCCACAGCCTTCAGCACCATCCAGAGCCTTCAGCACCATCCAGAGCCTTCATCACCATCCAGAGCCCTCAGCACCATCCACAGCCTTCAGCACCATCCACAGCCTTCAGCACCATCCACAGCCTTCAGCACCATCCACAGCCCTCAGCATCATCCACAGCCTTCAGCACCATCTACAGCCTTCAGCCTTCATCACCATCCACAGCCTTCAGCACCATCCACAGCCTTCAGCACCGTCCACAGCCTTCAGCACCGTCCACAGCCTTCAGCACCGTCCACAGCCTTCAGCACCATCCACAGCCTTCAGCACCATCCACAGCCTTCAGCACCATCCAGAGCCTTCATCACCATCCAGAGCCTTCATCACCATCCACAGCCTTCAGCACCATCCACAGCCTTCAGCACCATCCACAGCATTCTGCATCATCCACAGCCTTCTGCACTATCCACAGCCTTCAGCATCATCCACAGCCTTCAGCATCATCCACAGCCTTCAGCACCGTCTACAGCCTTCAGCACCATCCACAGCCTTCAGCACCATCCACAACCTTGCGTACAATTCTCAGCTTTCAGTGCCACTCTCAGCCTTCAGCACCACCCACAGCCTTCAGCACCATCCACAGCCTTCAGCACCATCCACAGCCTTCAGCACCATCCACAGCCTTCAGCACCATCCGCAGGCTTCAGCACCATCCACAGCATTCTGCACCATCCGCAGGCTTCAGTACCATCCACAGCCTTCAGCACCATCCAGAGCCTTCAGCATCACCTACAGCCTTCATCACCATCCACAGCCTTCATCACCATCCACAGCCTTCAGCACCATCCAGAGCCTTCATCACCATCCAGAGCCCTCAGCACCATCCACAGCCTTCAGCACCATCCACAGCCTTCAGCACCATCCACAGCCCTCAGCATCATCCACAGCCTTCAGCACCATCTACAGCCTTCAGCCTTCAGCACCATCCACAGCCTTCAGCACCGTCCACAGCCTTCAGCACCATCCAGAGCCTTCATCACCATCCACAGCCTTCAGCACCATCCACAGCCCTCAGCATCATCCACAGCCTTCAGCACCATCTACAGCCTTCAGCCTTCATCACCATCCACAGCCTTCAGCCTTCATCACCATCCACAGCCTTCAGCACCGTCCACAGGCTTCAGCACCATCCACAACCTTCAGCACCACCCACAGCATTCAGCACCATCTACATCATTCAGCACCATCCACAGCATTCAGCACCACCCACATCATTCAGCACCACCCACAGCATTCAGCACCACCCACAGCCTTCAGCACCATCCACAGCCTTCAGCACCACTCGCAACATTGAGTACCATTCTCATCTTTCAGCACCACCTGCAGCACTATCCACAGCATTAAGCACCATCTACAGCCTTCAGCACCATCCACAGCCTTCAGCACCATCCACAGCATTCAGCACCATCCGCAGCCTTCAGCACCACCCACAGCATTCAGCACCATCCACAGCCTTCAGCACCATCTACAGCATTCAGCACCATCCACAAACTTGAGTACCATCCACAGCATTCAGCACCACCCACAACCTTGAACATCATCCTCAGCCTTCAGCACCATCGACTGCATTCACCACCAGCACCATCCAACCTTCTTTGATGAGCTCAGGATGGATATTGGAATGTCAACTGTCCCCTGGTTTGCTGATTATATGTCAGACAGACATCAATGTGTTTAGCTGGGAAGGATCCTGTCTGATGTATTGATCAGTAACACAGCATTACCACATGGTGCCTGTCCTAAATCTAGTACTGATCAACCTTCACACCTTGGACTTCCAGTGACTTTCTAATTCAGGCCACATTAAAACTTGTGGGGTGTAGAAGGGGGACAGAGAACGGGAATCTGATGAACATCTGGTAGAATCATGGGGGGGGGGGGTTACAGTATGTGCTAACGGGAAAACAGGCTTCAACACAACAGGCTTGTTTTCTGCTTGGTCCTAGTACTCAATCAGTGTCTATTTAATATAGCGTAATATTGTTTTTGGACGGTAAAAAGTGCAAGGGTCAAAACTTGATCGTGCCCCCCCCCCCCCCCCCCAAAAAAAATTACATCCATGGGTGAAATTATCTTCTCCTGATCATGCCCTAAACCAAAGAGATTGTGACTAACTTCGAGAAAAGATCTTCAAACAGACGGATCAACATTGTTGGCAATGAAGTGAAGGCTCTAAACAGCTACAAGAAGGAGATTAGTAGACTATTTTTTGAGTCTTGAATATTTTATTTAAGATCTCAAATCAATCTGTGGTGGCAGGTGATATGTACAGTATCAATGCCAGAGAAGCCATCTGGTTCGATTAGCCTTTTTACCACAAACAATCTGAGATTCTGACCGTCAAACTTCTCATATCTTCCAAACGTAAAGGATCAGCAACTAGTGACTTGATGCCAGAACCCACACCAGGGCTTCAAAGGCCTAGTAAAGGTTTAACCTAGAGGGTCAGGGCTGTGATTGGTCATAGTGTTATAGGTGACCATTTAAATAATAAACTAAGTCACAATCTTATATGTTGATAGCGTTAACCCATTTTAAAACTTCATGGTTCAAAGTGTCTTTATTCCCGTATGTAATTTAATTTAGCAGAAAAAATGATAGCATTTGGCATCCTAACATAAAACACGCACACACACACATTAAAAATGAACAGACAAACACGTTTGACGATTAGAAAAGTGATCAAACATTCTACAAAGATCCAAATGTACCAAATAAACATTTCTTATTGAGTTCAGTAATGGCAAGAGAGACTTCAGTAGCCTTACCTGTCTGATTCATCTTTGCTGACTTGTTTTTCAGAAAACTCTTGGTCCAGAGAGGAGGAGGTGCTTCCCTCTTGACTGACCCCACTATTACGTCCTGGGCTGTTATCAGCAGATACTCTCCCTCCACCTGCAGAATGGGGGTTGGTGGCATCTGTGTGCTGTTTTAAAGTCTGAAGCTTGGCTAGTGGGATGATGTCACATCCCTGAGGCCTGTGCCACACTGTCCTCTGAGTGGAGGCATTATAGTAGTAGAAGCGTGAGGTTTTAGGATCAAAAAGCTCCCACCACTGGTTATCATCAGTTGGCTTGAAGGGAACTCCCTGTGGAGGGTCCCACACACACTCGCCCGTCAGCAGATTGGCGTACATACGTTCTCTTGTGCGAGGCTCAATGATCTCCACCCACTCCAACCTGCAGAGAAAGAGGTTAGAAGGAAATCTTTAGCAGAATAACTATCAAATAAAATGAATGACAGCAGTCATTAAAGCTGTAATTTCACCTCTACCTACACTTTACTGCTTGCCTCTTAAGGGAAAGAAGATGATGCCATCGACGGCTAATGCAGGAAATAGGGATAGAAGAGTAGTTTCACGTTCAGCCTGCATGTGAAATTCAGAGTGGCCAATTATATTTAAATATGTAAAAATATTTATATGTAAAACAGTGTGGGCGGGGGTTTGGTCTGTAGAAGACATTATATAAATACATGTAATTTATCGGCAAATAAAGAAAAGCCACATTTGTTAATATATTATTGATAAGCAGGTAAATAAAAATCTAATTGTATCATTTGTTAATAATAATAGATTTATGTAAGATTATGAAGATAATAAACCAGTAAAAGAATAAATCTATCCACCCATACGTGTTGGATAAATGACTTTAGTCACTTATTTCTCCCCTTTAATAATAATAATATCAACTGGAGGAAAGACTGATAAATGACCTTTCCTTCAAGCTATAACTCAGATTGTGCCTCCACAGCTTAGGGATGCACAACTGTTATGACCTTAAGACAACAATAATCATCCAAACCAGAACCTTCATTGTGACGAAGATCCTTAATCCACTGATTGAGGCACTGAAGTGAATCTGAATGTCCTGATCCCTTCAGACTTAAGCAGTATTGATAGACTACCTTCAGAGCTGCATTAGCTCCTCATCCGCCAGTTTCCTGTGCTGAACACAGTCTGACAGCTGACACATGATAATGACTAAACTGCCAAACAAGTTTTGTTCAATACCAGTGAAACACACAAGCCCCGGTGAGTAGAGGTCAGTTAAATGTGCTGGCCAGTGTATTAGGACATGTGGCAACTGTTCTAAAAAAATAATGGGTTCAATTTGACCCCTAAAGAGAATCCTGCCGATAAACACATCAATAAATGCTCTAAAACATTATTGTCAGCTGACCTTTCTTTTTCTTTACCGGTTTGGTATTTTTAACACATTCCTGTAATTTTTGAAAAAACAAAAAAAAAATAGTTTTTTCCCAAAAAATATATACTTTTTCTTCCTGAGGCATCGGATGGACGACCATGACCTCAACATATCAGTATTGGCATTAGAAAAACCTATATTGAGCAATCTCTAGTTTTAGCCCCAAAATTCTTTTCATCTGCTTTATTTAAATAGAAAACAGAAATAAATAAATAATATTCAAAAGAAGAACAATGGAGGGAGGTGGGGTGGGGTGGGGCAGATTGAAATAAAATCGTATATGAGTTCATAGGCAGTTAATGGACCAACTTCCTAGAGTGCTTTCCTAATCCTCCAGACCACACAAAGTGCCCTTAAGTCTTTTCGAACTACTTTTTTCTTGTTTTTTTGTAGTTTTACTGCAGGTATTTTTACACAGCTTTCAAAATCACATCTGTGTGTGTCTTTCCTTCATCCTTTCTTCAGAAAATTATATTAAAGATGATGCCGGGAACACACCTGGCAGCACCTGAAGCTCAAAACAAGAGTGAACCCCAACAGGAAAAATTAGCAGGAAAAATTGGCACATTTTTTGGAGGCATTACCCTAATACCCACACATTCAGCTGTGCCGGTCATGCTACACGTATAATCCTCGGCTCCTAGTAAAGCTGTCAAAGATACTAGATTTATTGTCAAGGAGCACTGTTACAACAAATGACATGTGACCTGACAAAAATATCTTCATTCTGTTCAAATTTTGTATAAGAATAGAAAACTTTAGTAAAATGCACACAACTAGATGAACTAGTGGCCCTGCAGAGTGAGTCTAACTGTGTGTTTGGAACATCACACAAACTAAGCTTATGGTATGTCTGAAGCTGAGAAGTTTGACTATGACTCGAGTGGATGAGAAGTAAATGACGTTGGCTTCCCTTGTTTTAAAAAAAATGTGATTTCAGTATTGCTCCACATATTGGAGACCTTGGTATTTTTTTCTATTATTGAGGAGCCCTTCTCTGCAGATGTGTTGTGAATAACTCGACTACTAACATGCCAGATTTTAACCTAATATATAAGCTGTATACCATATATTATTTATATGGCAGCCATCTTGAATTAGATTATTCATAAGGGAATGCACGGTGCCACAGTGGTTAGACCTGTTGCCTTGCAGCAAGAAAGTCCTGGATTCACATCCCGACCTGGGGTCTTTCTGCAAGGAGTTTGCATGTTCTCCCTGTGCTTGCGTGGGTTCTCTCCAGGTACTCTGGCTTCTTCCCACAGTCCAAAAACATGACCGTCAGGTTAATTGGTCTCTCTAAATTATCCTTAGATGTATGTGTACTTGGTTGTTTATCCTGTGTGTCTCTATGTTGCCCTGCGATGGACTGGCAACCTGTCCAGAGTGTACCCTGCCTGCTGCCCGTTGACTGCTGGAGATAGGCAACAGCACCCTGCATGGACAAGCGGGTTCTGGAAATTGATAGATTGATGGATGAAGATCAAATTTCCTTTATTAAAATCCATCTAGTGAGACATTTTTCTCAGAAAGAGAAAGAGAGACAGGGATCAGCTGTCTTTCACTATTTTACAGTGTTAAGTATAGCATAGACTCTCCATGTCTAAAGGTATTTGAGGATAGGTGATGGATCTCGTGTTGAATTGACCATCCACCTGCAGCACTGATTCACACCAGGCCCAATATCCTGCAACATTCATTTAGCAGTCATCAATAATGAAGCCAAGCCTGGAAGCTGCTGCTGCCATTATCTCTCTGCTGCCTCTTTCACGTTTACATCAGGATGAGAATAATTAAAAGCACGTCACTCCTCTTCCAGCACCGTCCCACTCCAGTCATCACGTTCAGTGAAGGGTACATTTAAAACAAGGTCCCGTCCGTTTAGTAGACATGTGCTGACAGAGCCTCTGGTGTTATTAAAGCGTGCATTTGTCAGCAACTGTATTTATCTAGTTATGCTTGCTTGTGCGTGAGAGACAGACATTTTCCGCTCATCGACACCAACAGACCCGTTAGGAGTCAGGATTGTTCCGATCCTGGTCGCTCTTCATGGGGAGGCACCTCTATCCTTTCGGAGGGGGATGCTGCGAGCAGTAATCTGACCAGCCGAGGCTCAACCCCGCTGAGCCAGGCTAACCGAGCTGGGGAACAGCTCGGGGACAGATGTGCTGCTAGCATCAAGTAAGCAAAGCAAATTAAGTTGCATTCCAGCGAAGAATCGGGGGTTCGGTACGACAGGTGCAGTGGCAGCATCACTAGCACCACCCAGCCTACACACGCCACAACCATGCCCAGGACAAGCCCTAACCAACCAGCCAGTAGCGAAAAACACACCTAACTTAACTTGCCCCATAGATTTTTTTACTGGATGAAAAACGTTCATTTTTTAAAGCAAATACGTGGCGAGCTAGCTTATCTTCAGAGAGACCGAACGCACCAGCAGCCTCCGAGCCTGGCTCGTGCTGCCTATCCGCCTTCCTTTCGAACAGCAGCGACTTGGAAAAGAGCACATGCGTTCCAAACTTACCTGTCTGCCATTTTCCCCACGGCTTCTAAAACCCTCTAACAATAAATCCCATTACAACGTCACCCATGTTGCCGAAATTGCTGTAGCCGCAGTCGCCGAGTCACTGGGTTCGCATCATATTCACTCCGGCGTACGAATAGGCGGAGTTTGCACATATGAAAAAGCGCGTCAGCCGGTGTTCTGTGACACCGGCTCACATGCCAGAATTAACTTGAAATGCTTCACACAATTATGAGATAATTTCACTGGTAAAACCATTATACAGGTTTAAAAAACTAATAAAATAATTGAAAATTAGGGCACTGATGTATCTAACTAGTACACCTATTATCCACTAAAAATGTTTATTAATAAATATTATATTACATGCTTTGAGTAGGTCGTCCCGCCAGCCAATGCTTTCCCTTCAGTGCACAACATGAAATTCTCCCTTTTCGTTTTTCCATTCAGGTTATGTGCCGGTAATCTCGTAAGGAGTTGACCCTCTCTTTCCAGACAATTATCAAAGCAACACCAACGTAATATGATTGATACTTTCATAATAAAAGCCTCCATAATAAGCCACTTTGGTAATAAAAAACTGGATTGCAAACAATATTGATTTCATTCATTTTTCCTTCTCTTTTTTGGGCAAAAATCATTTTATAGCAAAAAGTGTTTTATCTAGTAGCTGAGTTTTTGTACTTGGTAGCATTCAGTTGTTACAGTTTTTCAATTGTTTACACAAGTTTGAAAACCGGGTTCATTTTCTAAAAATATAAACACAATTATCCAAACACTACACTCAATTTGAATAATTCCTAGACTGTTTTGCAAAGTGACACACACTTCATTCAAAACACACACACACATATGTTAAAATACTATTATGTTAAAATACTATTAGTTTTCTTCTAACCAACACAGTCCTCAATGATCAGACACTGCCACAGCCTGTTTCACACTGCTGTGGTAAATAAAAAATACAGTTGTAAAAGAAACTAAACTTAGAAAATAGCATGTGCTAGATTTTTGGTTTGATGTCACAATGTAAGGGATAATTTAGATGCAACAAAAAGAAAATAAAGACAAACCCACAACATTATTCATGATTAGTTGGATATACAGGAAGAATGAACACAAATAGGCCTACTTACGTAAAGTAAGTAAGTACATTTTTATTTTATAGCACTTATCACAAACATAGAATCACAAAGTGATTCACCGATAAAAACAAAATAAAACAAAGTCATAAAATCTTAATGATCTCAAAACAGAATGTCACGTTGAGAGCAAAGAGGTGGTTAGGACCCAAGATGCAGATTACCCCAGATGACACGAGGCAGGAGCGTTTTAAAAATAAATCCTTTACTTAGGATGATGAACTAAAAACCCAAAGGGGCAGGAATCCAAAAACAAAAATCCTGAATCAGGAGAACAAAAGCTCACATAGAGCACAAAACCTGGAGACTAGAACTAAAGCTCACTTAGAGCACAAAACCTGGGGACGAGACACAAAGCTCACACAGAGCACCAAAACAACGCTGACAACAACAATGGACTGACAAGACACTGAGACAAGACAGGGCTTATACACACTGGGGCATGATGGGAGGCAGGTGGGCTGCAGGTGTGTGGAGAGAGAACCAGGTGAAAGCAATTAACTAATCAGGGAGGAAACTAACATGACCTAAGAGTAAAGAGTAAAAAACCTAAAGACAAGATGAGCAGCAAAATAAACTAATATTCTAAGGGGAAGGGAAACTACAAAAACCTGTGGAGAAAACACACTAAAGAGACTAATAGAATGAGAAGCTGAACCTATAAAAAACTGCAGAGGGGTGACTGGGGGAGATTGAAGCAACACAGGACCTGGGAGGGAATATCTGGAGGGCTGAAGACCAAGGGGACACATGAGGAACACAAAGAGACACATAAGGGGGATTCTTAGGGGGGAATGGAGCACACAAGGAGACACATGAGGGAGACGCAGACACAGACCATGACACAGAATTAGATTAGCATCAGAAAAAATAAAGTAATAAAAATATTAAATTTCATAAACAGATTAAAGATCAAAAATTTGAGTTAAAAATAAGAAAATAAAAGGTTTTAGGTAAAAGCAAAAGGGTCTTTAGCTGTTTTTTAAAAGTGTCCAGACTGTCAATGCTGCGTAAGGATAAAGGAAGATCATTCCAAAGTCTGGGTGCAACAGTCTGGAAGGAGCAATCACCTCGACTTTAGTATCTGGTCTTTGGAACTTCTAGAAGGTTCTGGTGTGTGGACCTGAGGGCTGGGGTTGGAGCATAAGGCTTTAACAGTTCAGTAATATAGGGAGGAGCTTGACCATGTAGAGCCCTGAAAGTTATAGTCAGGATTCTAAAGTTAACGGGTAACCAGTGCAGAGACATTAGAATAGGAGTGATGTGTGCTCTTCTGCTCCAGTTAGGAGCCTCACTCCAGAGTTCTGGACCAACTGAAGGTGGCCAAGGACTTTGTTGTTAAAACATGTGAAACATGTGAAGAGTGTGTTACAGTAATCTAGACTTGAGGAGATAAAGGCATGATAACCATTTCAAGTTCATGTTTTGACACCAACCTTCGCAGTTTGGAGTATTGTACTGTCTTTCTTACAGTAAGTGATACAAACTGTTTCGGACCAAAGTTTTTGAGTGACCAAAACAATTACCCAAATTCTTTAAGTTCGTCTTGACTGCAGAGGATAAATGACCAAGTTTTAGACTAATCAGGGGAACCATACTCTCAGGGGCAATGATCAGACATTCAGTCTTTTCAGAGTTTAACTGAAGGAAGTTATCTTCTAGCCAGCTGGTGATAGCTGATAGACACTCTAGTAGTTCAGACAGTTTGTAGAGCTCAGAATCCTTAAAGGAGCAGTACAGCTGTATATCTGCATATAGGTGATAAGAGACATTATGAAAAGAATTAAGTATCTGTCAAAGAGGGTGTGTGTAGAGTAGAAACAACAGTGGACCCAAAAACAGAACTATGTTGTGCAGAACAAGCATTGCACAATATAGATTCTTCAGACTGAATATTTCAAGTATTTATTTCAATACTTACAGTTTTTCTTACCAAAATCAGTTACAGTAATCAACCAACAATGAAATAAATTACACAAATAAAAGCTGTAGATAAATAAAAATTACTTAATGAAGTTAATACACTTTGACACTGAAGAAAACTTAACATAAAAGTGACAAGAATACTGTCAACTATTTATCATCTCTTCATCAGGCTGGATCAGACCATAAGTACCACATCATAGGCTATGTCTTCATTGGCAAGGCACCGTTGGAAGAGTTGCCTAGTGTGACAAATCCACCACTACAAAGAAGCAGCATTGATTTGATCACAGGCCTGTTCCGTGGCCTGAATGAGGGGCAAATGGTCATAGGGCCACAGGTCGTATACCTTCCACCGTCATGCTGAAAAAAACTCTTCTATTGGATTCAGGAAGAGGTAGTATGGGGGAAGGCATAGACTTCAAATTTGGGGTGCTCATGGAACCAGTTTTGGACCAGAGCAGCCTGAATTAGTGTGACATTGTCAGCCTCATCCACACTGCTTGACCAAAAAATAAAGAGTTGCCACCTGGATTTAACTAAGCAAGTAGGAGCCTCTTATTGGATTGCATTGATGATTATATTTCAGCTGGCAACAAGTTATTTAACCCCAAATGGTGCAATGAGTTGCTTGTCATTTCTTAAACAACCATGTGGAAAGACACATCTGGTGGTTGTGGAAAAGATGTTAATCTGTTTGAGAAGGGTCAGATCATTGCAATGCATCAAGCAGGAAAACATCTAAGGAGATTGCAGAAACAATTAAAACTGGTTTAAGAACTGTCCAACGCATTAATAAAAACTAGTCTGATGAGTCCAGATGGACCCTGTTCCAGAGTGATGGGTGCATCAGGGTAAGAAGAGAGGCAGATGAAGTGATGCACCCATCATGCCTAGTGCCTACTGTACAAGCCTGTGGAGGCAGTACTATCTGTGGTTGCTGTAGTTGGTCAGGTCTAGGTTCAGCAATAGGATGTGCTCCAAGAATGAGGTCAGCTGACTACCTGAATATACTGAATGACCAGGTTATTCCATTTTCCCTGATGGCACGGGTCAGGGCCGGATTATCCTTGCAGGGGCCCCTGGGCACAATGTGCTTAGCCCCCCCGCCCCCCCCCCCCCCCGTCTCCTGTCTCCTTCCTCCTGTTGTCTTCTGTCTCCTTCCTCCTCTTGTCTCCTGTTTCCTTCCTTCTCTTTTCTCCTGTTTTCATCCTCCTCTTGTCTCCTTCCTCATCTTGTCTCCTGTTTCCTTCCTTGTCTTGTCTCCTGTCTCCTTCCTTCTCTTTTCTCCTGTTTTCATCCTCCTCTTGTCTCCTTCCTCATCTTGTCTCCTGTTTCCTTCCTTCTCTTGTCTCTTGACTCCTGTCTCCTTCCTCCTCTTTTCTCCTGTTTTCATCCTCCTCTTGTCTCCTTCCTCATCTTGTCTCCTGTTTCCTTCCTTGTCTTGTCTCCTGTCTCCTTCCTCCTCTTGACTCCTGTCTCCTTCTTCCTCTTGACTCCTTGCTCCTTCCTCTTCTTTTTGTTTCCTCTTGTTGGTCTCCTCTCTTGCCTTCAGAAAAACTGCTTTCTGGCCTTTCTATTAGTAAATTCATTTACAATGTCATCAAAGTCCAGATTCCTGACAAGCTGAGATTCAATTGCCATCAGTGACAGTGCACTGAGGCGCTGCTGACTTTGTATTGTTCTCAGTTCATTTTTTATTCTTGCCATTTGTGAAAATCGTTCCCCTTCTCAATTTGTAACTGGTAGCAGGCGCGTTGCAAGTTTTTCAAAAGTGTGGGGGATGTTGTCTGTGCCTAAAATAATTATGTTATTCATCTTGTTAGTTTAATTTCCATAATAGCTGAGCAGGTGCAAACTTTAGATGTGTCACGCACGTCTCCGTTTTAAACATGTTTAAACTGTTCAGAATACAAATCCAGGCTCTATCTCGTTAGACTGGTGCGACTAAAGTTTGTACTCAATGAAATTTTTACACCAAACCATGTTGAAAAGGTAAGAAAAGGATCCGATTAAATAGTTTTTCCCCTCATTTACAGTCACGGAGTACAGCGCCGTGCGCGTGGCTCTGGGGTTAATCAAGTTTAATTGTTTCTCTTTGCAACAATCTTCACAAGAAGGCAAAACAGTTAAACAGCAGGTTACAGATATTTCCATTTGACTGTTTATTTTGACGGATAAACTCAAGGATGTTGGTTGTTTTGAAAGAATTACCACGACGCACACTGATGCGCACACAGATGAGCTGACATTTTAATCGTTACACACATCGCGGAGGTAACTAAATAAATCAAGAAAAGATTCCCATCGGAACATCAGAGCTTTATACTGGACACTGTGCTCAGCGCAGCTCGCAGCGCACACAGTGAACAGTCGGCCGAAGATCTGTAGAGGGGTTCGCAGCACAGAACCACAGCGATGCAGTAAGACTTCCTCCCACTGAAGCAGTCTGGAAACCCTGTCTCTCTGAGGGATGTGTCACTTGGAAATATGTTCTCTGATTATGAAACTTTGGCTGAATAGCGCTTGTTCCCATCTCTAATATGGAGACGCATGACACATCCAGTCTGTCTGAGGCAGAATAGCCTCTTCAGCTCAGAAAGCACTTGTAGAGACATTTGATTACGCACAAAGTTTATGTGGAGCAGAAGCGGTCGGGCCACGGCAGGTGAAGTGTTCCTAGCCTACATGAAGTGAAACTGTTTAATTGTAACATTAATATGTTACTGGACACGCTGGTCTGGTTGGTTAGACCAGTGTTTGAAGTGGAAAACACACACACACACACACACACACACACACACACGCACACACACACACACACACACACAAACACACCAATTAAAACAATGGTGATAAAGTGGACTAGAAGCCAGGTGATGGTTTATGTATTTAAACATCCAGACAGAATTATCCTCTATTCTGTCTCTATTTTCTCTGCTCTTGTCTGGGCTGATGTAGCTGATGGTGCGGTACCCTTGTGAAAGAGTCCTACGTTGAGAGGTACATATAAGAAATGTAGGTAGAGTTAGAAAAATCTGCAGGGCCACAAACACATTAGGGAAGATGGACTGTAAACTATTTTTTAGCCCGTAAACGATCATGGTTCTATTTATATTACATAATTCATGTGGACTCTGCTGGGATTATTTAGAGCTGAGAGGCGCAGAGCTCTGATGGTTGACGCGCTCCAGACAGATACGTCCTGAGAACGGCCAGCGTGACATTCTCAAAGTGTCGCCACCTCAAAAACAAATTTATCACGCGATTGTTCATGTCGGCTCATATCCTTTTATATTTTCTGTCTTTTATTTGTGCCTGATGCATTTTACTGCTGCGGAGCGGAAAACCTGTTTCGTCCTCCGGTGATTTCACCTCACCGGTGCGGCCGGCATGCGGTGCGCACTCCGCTATTTTTGCGGTCGGTAGATCTTTTTCAACTGCAGTCCAAAGGTTCATAAGGTGAATACATATGAAGCCATGTGGCAGTTTTTTTTAGGACTGAGAGGAGATGCAGGAAGATAATAAACAGACAGGACAGAAAAAAAGTCAAATAAAAACAAGTTGGTTTTTGTACCTGGTGGTTGCAACAAATAGACACCTTTGAAGGTAATCAGAAGTGAGGAACAGAAAATTAAACAATTCTTTCTATGTTTAGAGCAGCAGGAACTCTGAGAGGCTGCAGGTGCATCAGTGAGTTTGCGGAGGCTGCGCAGGGGGAGGGGGGAGAGGGCTGAAGCAGGAACAGTAAAGATGAAAAAACTACCGTTGTTAAAAGAAATGTGTGTTAACTTAGAAAATGTGGGAGCAATTTTAATTACTTCTCAACATTTTTCTTTAACGTTGACTGCTGCACAAAAAAAAAAAAAGACTGCTGCTTGCATGGGCCCCCTTGTGACTGTGGGCCCCTGGGCCTGTGCCCAGTTTGCCCATATTATAATCCGGCCTTGGCACGGGCATATTCCAAGATGACAATGCCAGGATTCATTGGGCTCAGACAGTGAAAGAGTGGTTCAGGGAGCATGAGATATCATTTTCACACATGAATTGGCCACCACAGAGTCCAGACCTTAACCCCATTGAGAATCTTTAGGACGTGCTGGAGAAGATGTGTGGACTGGTGTAGATTCTGCTCGATCCAGGACATGACAACAATAAAAGTAACAAATGTCAAAAGAGGAAACTGGGCTTCTCTTGTTTTGTTCAAGCAACAAAACAAGTCTAGCTGCCTTTTTTGAAAGATTTTTTACTCATGCTATGCACTTTTTATGTAAATATTAAATAGTAAATTTTCCAAATAAAAATATTCAGCAGGTTGGAAATAATTTGGACTGGGCTGGGGCATCATTGTATTTTAAAGAAAAGGTCAAAGTAATGTCTCTTTTCTGAGATGACTGATGTCTCTGGTGTTTGCCAGAAGATTCTCAGGGTGTGTGTGATGAGTCTGCGGTGCAGCAGCAGACTGAGGGTGATGGACGGCAGCAGATCTCGTCTCTGCATACTCGTACTGGGCGTTTGGGCCTCTGGTAGCATTTTGTACGTTGTCCAGCAGAGGGCGCGCGACCAGGAGGGAGGAAGAGCTCGTTCCCGCAGCAACAGGGAAGATGGCAGCCCTCGCATCTCTTACCCAGGTAACGATACAGCTATTATACTCCTCTGCTTTGCCTGAGGAGAAGTAAAACTGCAACACGTTTCTCCAGTTATGTTGGTGTTTGAGGGAGATCTGAGTAGAAGACTAGCATCCGGTGAGACAGCCGTCATAATAAAGCTGTCAGCTAGTCGACCGAGGCCTGCAGTACCGTTAGGTAGCGAAAGGGTTAGCATCGGCGGCGGCTGCTTTGTTATTTACAACCAGTGTGCACACAATACGAATTTTAGCAATGCGTGGGATGGATAGAAGCTCTGTGAACACCGTTTATAAAGTCAGAGCCAGGCTGAACCTCCGGGTCGAGCTTCCATCGGCTCTTGGAGCTAGCTGTTCCCCTAGCAGCTCTGATGTGGACGGCTCGTGAAGGGTTAATGATGAGCTGATGAGAGTCCTGCACGGCAGCGACAGCTAACTGTTTGTGGGAACATCTTGTCGGGACGTGTTATCTCATTCTTATTAATAATGTTCGTTAAAAACCTATAATGTCAGATGTCACTGGTTTGTGTAAACCAGGGGTCATCCATTCCGGGCCCGGAGGGATGGTATCCAGCACGTTTTAACTCTGTTTCAAAACACCTGATTTCAATCTGATGGGCTGCTGCACAGGTGAATCAAGCGTGTTAAGTCAGATAAACCACTAAAACGTGTTGGATACCGCTGTTACGTCGATATGTGTTTCCCCCCTTGAAATCTGTTTCTTTTGCACCCAGCTGCGACTTTGAAGCATCCACTCGCAAAAAAATGTGCCTTAACCCTTACCCCAACCCTTAGCCTAACCATAAACCTGAAACAAACATAACAATTGTGCTACACATAATATTTTCTAAAATTATATTTATGCAAAACATAAATTTTTGGTGACAGGGTGGTTTTGGTTTGGGTAACGGTTTGGGTTAGGGTGAGGAGGGTTATTATTTGTGATTGGGTCGTTTCCACTTGCAGCTGGGTGCAAAAGAAACAGATCTCGAGGGGGGAACACATATCGACGTAACACCGGACCCCGAGAACCGAAATTGAACACCCCTGGTGTATACAGTGCTGTTATAATAGTTTCACCTTCTTACGGCTGACGCTGCAGCCTGAAACAAAAAAGAAGCAAGTGGGTTTTCTAAACCACGTGATCTGATCAACACCGTCCAGTCACAGCTCACTAAACCATCTGATCATCAGATCTGACCAACAAGGAGAACCCACATCTCTGCTGAGTATCAAAACCAGCTCTGACTTATATTTAATGACAACAACACCCTGACAGTCAGCTCTGCTCAGTCACACTGAGTGTTTTTTTTTCAATCATAGCTTGATTGTAGTTAGCTCTCATGGCTTTAACTTGTTTTGTGAGATTTGCATCTTTAGATGTTTAAAGAGATATAAATAATTTATAGATACTAGTTTATGTAAATTAAGAAACAACAAATGTTTGCCTGCTTTTTTAGTGCCAAAACTATTTTTGTCTCTGCACAGCTGTCCAGCGGGAACCCTGGTTTCGAGAACTTTTACAGACAGGTGAGGAGAAGACCATGACCTCTTATTAATAAACAGTAACAGTCTTTGTTTAGAAGAGAAGGATGCAGTTAGTGTGCTCCAATACGAATTTGCTGGCTTTGCCTCCCAGGTGGATCCTGGGAATACAGGGAGAGTAGGACCAACAGAAGCTGCCCTGTTTCTAAAAAAGTCTGGACTACCTGATGTTACACTGGGAAAGGTAGGTAGTCATGGTTTCTGCTATGGCAGCTGCCAAACTGCACACAATAGGACTGTTAAAAGTAATATAATTAATCTCTTCCTCTAGTTGTCACTCAGCTGCTCTCCTTATGATCAACTGCTGAACACAACCTACCCTGATAGGGCCCTATTGTCTCCACCAGGTGATGATATTTCCTTAGTAGTACATCACTGGGGACTTTCTTACCTGGATCTCGTACGGTGATTCTGACCCACACTAGACCTCAACCTCCTCATTTCTCTAACTGTCCAGTCTCTTGTCTTGACATCAGTGGTTTCTGTCAGAGGTGTGGACTTGAGTCACATGATTTGGCTTCAAATCTGACTCGTCATTAATTTAATGACTTCAGACCTGACTTGAAAAACTGTTCAATGTCTTGGACTAGACTTGGCCCTGAACCTGTTTAGTTGAAAAGACTTGACACAAGTATGGACTCGGGTGTTTCTAACCCATAACCTAAGGCTGTAGTTGACACGATACACACTACAATTTATTACCGTGCGCTTTTCAGCAAAAATCGCTTCTTATATCCTCATGTTGTTGGCACAGTGATATTTTGGTCCTGTTGTATTTTTGTGTCCTCTTTTTTTTCTTTTCCTCTTTCTCTTTCTGCAGGTCTTGAAGAGGATTATTGTGCATCCTTTGTTTATTTTTGTGAACCTTTTTTCCCCAACCTCCTCCTCCTCTCCCTAGGGATGGGTACCTTTGACATTTGAATCGATTCGGTACTAATTCCCGGTACCTACGAATCGATACCGGTACTTAACAGTACCAATTTTTGATACTTTTGAGTGTTTATTATTTTAATTCTCATTTATAATTAAATATATATTTTTCTCAATATATAACAATATTTGATAAATATCACGATAAATAACATTCAACTGTTTGTATTTTAACATCGTCCTTGTAGTTTTATAAGCTGATAATTAAACTGAAGCAAACATCTTTACTGTGAACTAAATTTTGTGTGTATCTTCATTCCTTTTGCCGTCTTTTTTCATTTGATTTTTCCTACTGGGAAGTTAGAATTTCCGACGAGAAAGCGAACGCACCATTAGCTGACAACAACGGTGGCAATGGAAGCTAACATATCAAGCTAACATTATCTTAAACAGTTTATTTAGCTGCTGGAGCAGATTAAAACGATGATGCCTCACACTTAGATCGTTGTCACTGGTTTCATCTTCACCCAATTACCCGTCGCATTTAGTAAAGTGAAGCCAAACTTTAGAGCGCGTTCATGTTCTTCTAGTCGGAAATTCTGAGTTCCGAGGAGAAAGCGAACAAACCATTAGCAAAACGGAGCCTAACATATCAAGCTAACGTTATCTTAAACATGTTATTTACCTACCGGAGCAGATTAAGATGAGGATGTCTCACTTAGATCGTTGTCGCTGGTTTCATCATCACCCAGTTACCCATCACATTTAGTGAAGCGGACCCAAGCTTTAGCGTGCGTTCTTTCTACCATGCTGCTCTGTTTACAACTGGCTCGCAGCGAGCGACGACATAACGCTCTTGCGCATGCGCAGCTGTCTAGGCAAGTTCTCGTTGTGAAGGACGGGTACCGAAACGAGGCACAGTTTCAAATGACGTGAATCGGTGCTCGGTCGGTACTATGGAATTCGGTCGGTACCTTAAAAAGTACCGAATTCGGTACCCAACCTACCTCTCCCCCTTTCTCTTTAATTTCTGTCTCCGTGTCCGTTGGGATTTAAAACAACCAAAAGCATTTCTAATAAAGTTTTGATATCAGGTGGGGCATTATAGCTGAATCTATAATGCTCTACCTGCGAGAGCAAAACTGTAAGGCTTGTTTTCGGCACTCTGACTTCTATTCAGATTGCTTTACAGCTGGGCAGGACTCAGAAAAACAAGAAGAAAAGTCTTGATATTTTATCCAATATCCACTTTGAAACATCTGTTATTTCAAGGTTGCACACATTGAAGTTATTTCACTCACCTTGTATTAACAAATAGAGATGTTTATCTGACTCGTATGTGTGCGAGAGCTGCAGTAAAGCCGATCAAATGAGCCAGTTCATTCTAACCCTGTCTCTATAAGCAGTGCTGCAGCTAATGACTCCAGTAATTTCAGTTACATTCACTACAAATTAGTTGACAAAAAATACATAGCAAAATGTAAAGAATGTACAAAAGTCATTTACAAACAATAACGACAATGCAGAAAAGGGCTATCAGATTAATAACAAATGCAGGATATTTGGATCACACAAATGAACTTTTTATTAAAACGCGGACAATGAAGTTCCAGGACTTGGTTAAATACAAAACAGCACAAATAATGTATAAAGTAAGAAATAAATTAATGCCTGATAAAATACAGAAACTGTTCACAGAGAGAGAAGGAGGATATAACCTGAGAGGGACACTAAACTTAAAGATACAGAAGTTTAGAACAACATTAAAACAGATGTGTATCACAATAATAGGGGTTAAATTATGGAACAATTTAGAAGAAGAAATCAAAGTAAGTACAAATATAAATGTGTTTAAAATGAATTATAAAAAAACATATTCTGAACAAGTATATGGTGGAAAATAGATGATTTATGTGGGTGTCTATTCTAAGGAAAAGTAAATTGTATCAATTGTAAAAAGATGTTTCTTTTTTCTTTTTTTCCATATGGTTTGGTGGTTTTTGGTTTTTTGGTGACTTGTACCATTTTGTTTGTTTTAATGTAGGTTTTGTGTTAGATTTAGTAAACAAGTAAAAATTACTTGTATAAAGGGGTAGGGACATATAAGTTTCCACTTCAGCCTACTCCTTTTCAAACAGAGAAGAAGGGATGATGATATGTATTTTTTCTGTTTGTGGTATTTAAAAAAAAAATGTATGTTTTCTTTGTTTGAAATAAACTAAACTAAAAAAAAATAAAGCATGCAAGAAGAGAATTACAGTCAGAGATGGAACAACTTAAACTTTGAACTTAGAATTGTTGCATTAAGAATGGCAGGTAGTCCATTTTATTTTTTTACAATGAAATAGCTGACTTAAGCTAATTCATCTCATAATCAGATGCTCTCTGGGCTGTGTTTATGGCTTTGTTTGGCTTCAACATGTATGCAGCTTTTGTCATGCTATTTCAAATCCTGTTTTCAGAGTGAATAACTGGCAGCTAATTAGCTCAGGATTGTCGGTCGGGTTCTGTATTATTGTTTACAGAAGACAGAACTATTGGCAAAGTGCAACAATCAATCAGTGCTTTTATAGGATATCTGGAAATGAACTTGGTGTTGTTTACATTAACGTGGAGCAATGAAGTTTATTCAGGGATGTCCTGTATGTGCTGGTTCAACACAAGACTCATGTTGGCTGTAGTCGAGCCAGACGGAGGGAGAAAATGCTGTAAGAAAAACAAGATTCCAGTATTCCGACCTGGAAATTGATTTGAAACGTGCCTGTCTTGCCTTGAGACTTGACTTAAACTTGCCTGCATTTACTTGAAACTTGACTCGGGACTTGAGACTTGCAAAACAATGACTTGGTCCCACCTCTGGCTTCTGTCTCCACCTTTGGCCAGGCAGATCACTGCTGGGGCATATGTGGGGGTGGCTTGGACTTCAATCTCAATAGAGGATAGTTATATCCACATCACAGGGCTGTAGAAACTTCCATAGAGGTGAATGAAGGAAAATCCTGCTTGTTTACCTTTGAGCACAAGATCAACACAGATATAAACAAGTGGGTATTGCCCCCACCGCAGAACTCTAGCTTTCTTTTTCACTCTTTTTCTGAGTTGCTGAGCTCTATTTGGTTCCCACTGTTGGGATCCTCAGGGGCATGTGGACTTATTAACTAGAAGCATTGGTACAACAAAGGAATAATCATCAATAAACTTTCCTTTTGTCAAGAGTCAGATACCAGTTTCAAATGTTACATATTATGACAAAAAGAACATCCAAAAAAATGAAAATTCAGTGTGGTATTTGAAATATTTCCATCAGGTCTCTTCCTGACCAACCTTCCTTTGATCCTGGAGCAACCATGGTTGTGTTACAGTGGGGCAAAAAAGTATTTAGTCAGCCACCGATTGTGCAAGTTCTCCCACTTAAAATGATGACAGAGGTCAGTAATTTTCATCATAGGTACACTTCAACTGTGAGAGACAGAATGTGAAAAAAAATCCATGAATTCACATGGCAGGATTTTTAAAGAATTTATTTGTAAATCAGGGTGGAAAATAAGTATTTGGTCAATAACAAAAATTCAACTCAATACTTTGTAACATAACCTTTGTTGGCAATAACAGAGGTCAAACGATTACTATAGGTCTTTACCAGGTTTGCACACACAGTAGCTGGTATTTTGGCCCATTCCTCCATGCAGATCTTCTCGAGAGCAGTGATGTTTTGGGTCTGTTGCAGAGCAACACGGACTTTCAACTCCCTCCACAGATTTTCTATGGGGTTGAGGTCTGGAGACTGGCTAGGCCACTCCAGGACTTTCAATTGCTTCTTACGGAGCCATTCCTTTGTTGCCCGGGCGGTGTGTTTGGGATCATTGTCGTGTTGGAAGACCCAGCCACGTTTCATCTTCAAAGCTCTCACTGATGGAAGGAGGTTTTGGCTCAGAATCTCACCATACATGGCCCCATTCATTCTGTCCTTAACACGGATCAGTCGTCCTGTCCCCTTAGCAGAAAAACAGCCCCAAAGCATGATGTTCCCACCCCCATGCTTCACAGTAGGTATGGTGTTCTTGGGATGCAACTCAGTATTCTTC